TACATGGTGTGCTTTGTACATTTTCACTTCGAAATGTGCTTCGCGCCACAACGGCGTACACTTTTTCGACATCTCAACTTCCAAAAGTGGTCCGAAGCTGGTGTGTTTTGCACATTTTGATTTGGAAATGTGCTTCGCGCCACAATGGCGTGCAATTTTTCATCTCTCATCTGGCCAGCTGGCTCCGCACCCGCCGCTTTAGCGAGCCTACTTTTCGACCCTCCGGAGCCACAAATCAGTGGAAAAACACAGTGTTTCGCGACTTTCCTACCTTTTCTTGCATCTGCATCTTCTTTCTTCTGACTCTTTCTCTTCTACTCTTCTCTCTTCTAATCTTTCTCTTCTCTCTGCCTCTTCCCTGCTCTGCTTTTCATCTGTCCATATTGTCGGAAGTTTGACTTCTAAACTTCCTTCGACGAACTATGGTTCTTATATGAACTAGTAATTAAATTAACTTAACCATAGGACCATAGTTCAGATAAAAACCTAGAATCGTGTAATTTTGTATACGTACTATTTACATTATATAATAAGCTATGGTATGTAACCATAACAATAACGTGGTATATAACAACAATAATTTGGGGATATGTTATTTCAAACCTTAGTCTCTTAAATTTGGATTCCTGTAGATTTCATATGTCCAGGGAAAGAACTATGGAAAGAACTATGTAGCAATCCATGGAAATAAGGGGTGTTTCCACTAAAAATGTCACCCAATGAAGAAACCCACCACTTTGAAAGAAAAACGCATTGCTCCAAGTTCTTGGACAAAAAACCTTTCAACATCAAGTTAGATGTTACATACAAACTTCGTATTTGAAAATATTGGTCCGTAAGTTGGAAAGGAAAACAGTATACAACAATATACAACATCTGTGTAATTCGGGGCCCCATAATTCTTCAAAAAGGAGAACACCAAAGAATGCATGTGCGCAAGCTCCAACTAGAAAAAAGAAGTCATAAAAACAATATTACGATGTGACCCTGTATACTGTAAAATTGGTTAACTAGTGCATTGATGAGTGTATGTATGGCTGTGTGCCCATGTGCATGGATGAACTGCAAATGCAAAGCCACAGTTTTTAAGTATTGTTTTCGGTGCTGCGAAGACCACGGTAAAACTTAGGTAAAACATGGTGAAACAAATTTATAAACTGCAAACGGAATCCTACGTATTTGTAGCAGATCAAAGATGTGTTACTGTATTTCTGTCGCTACGCTGTTGTGCATTGGTCCGTAGCAGCGTTGCAGTAACAGATTACAATCATTATAAATATGTCATAAATTTTATCCAAATACAACGCTTAAACTTCATTGTTGCGTTTTATACAAACAAACCCCGTCGATATACTTCCAAACTTTCAAACATACACGAACAAACAAGAACATATAATTCATCTAAAAACTCAAACAGTCTTATATAAATCATAAATACAAAGCAAGTAAAGTAAGGCAAACATCAAAAATATACTTATAAAGTTAAACAGTTGAAGTCAAATCGAGAAGTAAAGTCAAAGTTATGTTACAAGTTAAAGGTTCTAAGTTTTAGTTATAAGTTGTAAGTTCAAAGTTAAAAGGTTACACAGTTATAAGTTACACAGTTTTTAGTGTCAAGTCATAACTAGAAGCTCTAAGTTGTAAATTAACAGTTATAACAATGTGGTTCAATTTTAAAACAGTTCCTAAACCTTATAAATTGATTTATTGAAGTTTGATAGTCAAGAGTTATGGATTATGAGTTGTATTTTACAAAGTAGCTATAAGCTACCAGTGTGTATATTTGGTTTTATCAAGTTATATACAAGTATAAAAGTAAGTTAACATACAAGCCATTATTTGGGGTTTGCAGAACGGTTCGGAACGGTTCCGGAGATTTCCCCAGAACGGTTCGGAACGGTTCCGGATACTTCCAAAACCTCAGAACTATTTAGAACTATTTAGAACGGTTCCGGAACGGTTCCGGATTCAAAGCCTATAGACCCCAGAACGGTTCGGAACGGTTCCGGAGACCTCCATATAATAGCATATGTTAACTTGTATAATAGCATATTTTGACTATATAATTATTTAACTTTAATACATAGAGTTTGAACAAATAAACACATACTAGTACCACAAGCAATGATGATTCGACACAAGCGATACTTTCAAACGGATATTTCAATACAAACTACACAGTTGTATGATTTTGTTAGAACAGATTCCACAGAACAGTTTTCAAGACAGGTAATATTTTGAAAGGGGCCACGCCTTCCATGAACAAACAGCTGAGAAACTTCCAGCCTTTTGTAGCTACATCCAGTTTCACCTTCTCCCTTGTGCTCAGCATGCCTTTGCACTGCCTGTTCAAAGACTTAGGCGGAGAAGTTGCCTTCCCTTTGTCGTTTTTCTGACTCCTTTCTCTTGTAGCCTTGGCCCTTGGAGCAGTGTGGCTCTTTGGAAGGTTTTGAAAATGCGAAACAGGAGGAACTGCTCTTGACCGTTTTTTGGGGGGGTTTGGAAGCTGTGGAGAAATATCTCCGTGCAAAGTTGATATCTGCAGAACCGTTCCGAACCGTTCCGGAGGTCTGCAGAACCGTTCCGAACCGTTCTGGAGACCTCTGCGCTAAGAAAAGTGTCACGTAAATGGGTTTTCTGTGCCAAGAATCCCGGGAATAGGAAGGCACGGACAAGGTTGAGCAATTCCGGATGCATTAGTCCCAACCTGAAAGTAACCCATCATCACCCTCAAGAACCCCACCGCTAGCGCTATATCTATATATATATATTCTGAAAAGTATCAAATCATGGTCCAAGAAATTATCGGCAGCTATATACAATATAGTTTGTTTCTTGTATGGGTAGTAGCACGGTAGTAGCAACAGTCTTGCCAGAGTGACAAAATACCAACAATATAGCCTGGATGTTGCACTGCTACCGCTATTGCATATTTTTGATCCAGTCCAGAACTGGTGGGGAAAAAGACAGCAATGGGAATGCAGCCAACAACCAGCATTGCCTTTGTTCTTTTTTTGAAAAGGGAAGTCACATAATCCCAACAGCCTGAACGCATTGCAGAAGCCAGCTCAGCGCGCCCAAACACACATGGACTGCCTTCCAAATAATTGAAATTACATATTGATAGAATTCGACTTCAGCGCCTGTTCCTTCCACCTAAGTATTTCTCCAATTGCGCTTAAACCGCCTGAATCTTCCCTCAAACAAATGCAGCATCATAAATTAAACCCACTATCTGTATGCGGGTTGTGTATTTATTCAAGGTTTCAAGTATTCGGGGCAAGGTTGTTAAGTAATCAAAGCTGAATTTAGCCCAGTCTCACACTAGAAAATTAATTAGCTGCAAATAGAATTCCACTTCGGCGTTTGTTTCTGTCGCCTGAGTATGTCTCCCATCTTGAAGAAAAAGCAAACCATATTTTCACCCAAATGCCAGCCCCAGACTAGAATTTGGAATGCATAATCTACTTAAGCGCACATAGAATTCTACTTAGGCGTCAAATGGTGACGCCTAAGCAAAATTATGTTTGCGCCTAAGTAGATTATGGATTATGTTTTCCAACAGCCCCAGACTAGATTTCCTATTTGCGCATAAGTAGATTATGAATATAAATTATGTCTTCCAACAGCCCCAGGCTAGAATTTGGAAGACATGGTCGAATTAAGCGCAACTAGTAATAGAATTCTACTTAGGCGTCAGTTCGTGACGCCTAAGCAGAATTCTTTTTGCGCCAAAGTGGATTATGATTTATGTCTTCCAACAGCCCCAGACTAGAATTCTATTTGCGCCTAAGTAGATTATGAATATAAATTATGTCTTCCAACAGCCCCAGACTAGAATTTGGAAGATATGGTCGAATTAAGCGCAACTAGTAATAGAACTCTACTTAGGCGTCAGTGACGCCTAAGCAGAATTCTTTTTGCGCCCAAGTAGATTATGAATTTTGTCTTCCAACAGTTCCAGACTAGAATTTGGAATGCATAATCTATCTGGCGCAAATAGAATTCTACTTAGGCGTCAGTTCGTGACGCCTAAGTAGAATTTTATTTGCGCCTAAGATTACCTAAGTAGATTTAGGCTTCAAAAGAAAGACCGAAACATAAGTTCACCCCAATCTCACAATCAGAATTTTATATCTATAGACTGTGGATCAGATAGGTATAAAGTATCCATGGCAAGTTTTTGTTATTAGCAAAACTGAATTCATCACCGGTCCACAATACAAATTCAATTTAGGTCAAGTACTTCACGACTTTGAGTGCAAACCCAGATTGACGAATCTGGATGTGTCCTCGCTGTGTGCATTGTTTTGTTTCTTTACTTCTTCAAAAGCTTGCTAATTTTCCCTTGACATGGTTTCTAACATCACTTTCTATAAGATATCCTTATTGCCCTGGTTTCTTCCATAGTCCCTTCCATAGTTCCCTCCATGGTCCACAGGGCCCACAGGTTAAGAGGCTAAAGTTTGAAATAAGGGATATGACATAACTTTGGGGATATGACTACCTATAAGAATAATTAGCAATAACTATAATTATAATTGGATGTGGTATGATGTGGTCATTAACTATTATGTGCATTTATGTGCTATATAATGTGGTATATAATGCGCTATATAACTATTATGTGGTATATAACGATAACTATGTAGTTAAATTGCCACCCCATAGTTCAATAATTCATACTTAGTAAGTCTATATGGATTGTTATAGTTATGGTTTTTGCAACATTGAACAACCTATTTGTGATAAAATGTTGGATTGCCTACTATTGATTTAGCATTTCGTTTAGTGTATGGGACTGCAAACCACCTCATTTTTTTGGGGGTCATTGAACCACCATCAACATCATCAACCGTAAAATTTGATTAAACATCATCAACCATCAACCATCATCAACCATCATCAACCATCACCAACCATCATCAACCATGAAGCACCTACACAGTGGGGCATTTTGCATCATTTCTATGGGAGAGTTGGCCCATGCTGGTTGGCAGGTGAAACTCTGGCGGGAACTCGTCAAGTCGGGGGATGCTGAGGCACGTTGATCATCACCATGGGAGAAGTTGTTGAAGAAATTGTACCCTTTGGTAAACAGCCACATAACTATGGAAAATCACCTTTTTTATGGGTAAAGCAACTATTCGACTGGGCCATTTTCAACAGTTTTTTGTATGTTTACCAGAGGGTATGTGTTGCTAAAAAATTGGACATGACCACCATGTTTTGGAAACAATAATTGACAATTGGTTTTGACAAACCTCCAATAGTTTTGAAACAATTGGCCACTTAGCCCTCCAAAATGGTTTGAAACAATTAGTATTTGGATGTATTTGGTTATTTTGGTTGCGAATGACCACATTAGTTGATGACTTGGACATGTTTGTTGGCTAGAGGGGAATGATGAACTTAGATGGCATTCCAAAACAGCTGCTACAGGTGTCCCAACATACCATGGTTGTCGTTGGGCTAATATGGTGCCCCTTTGCAGGAACTAAATCTAGCTATGAACCATGAAACCCTGGTTGCTTTCACACTGCATAGCTGGCATAGCTTGTTAATCCCTCATAGATCGAATATGTGGATCTCTGGCCATTTTTTTAAAGGTCCGAAGTGTAAGACTCAAAATGACCTGACCTTCATTCTGGAATCGCTGGAATGGTTTTAAAATTTCACAAGAAACACATCATGGATCATTTGTTGGGAGGATCCCAGGATCTCCCAGCTCCGTTTGCCAGGCCCAGTTCCAGCTGGGCCGTTGCTACGCCAGCGGCTATGGCAACTTACCGCTGAAGCCCAGCAAGGCGCAGGCCTTGTTTCGCAAGGCTTCGGCGCAGGGCCATGCGAAGGCGATGGAGGAGCTGAAGGATCTGAAGGAACTGGAAAAAGGTGGAAAAAGATATGGAACTGATGGGTGAAAAAGTGATTTTTCATCGGAGATTCACAATATGGGTACATTATAGATATGAGATGATATGACGAAATCAATGGAATTAATGGGATATTTATTGGGATTTAATGGCATATGACGGAAAAACATGGTGATCTAATGGGATGAGATATAATCGGGAAATAATGGGATACAGCGGGATGTATGATATACCAACTATTCAAATGTGCGTTCAAATATGGCTAAACTTATTGGGGTTATTCATTCCATCATTTTATTTTTGCATGCATTTGCAAATTTGGGTTGAGGTCTATCGACATTGGGGATTTTTATCGTTTCAAACGGTGGGAATGTGTATGAATGTGTTCACCAATTTCAAGCGTGAACATGTGAATGATTTTGAAAACTGGACAAACAAACATATGCATGGTTTTCCTACAACTTCAATTCTGCATAGCCACATATAGCCACCCTGCCTCTGCAATCCCTCGAGGGAATGGAACGTGAAGGGAAACACCTGCAGGATGCTCATACATTTGTTGCTTCCACTTTCGGAATAAGATAGAATAGGAACATAAATGTTGGCACATACGTTTGCTTTCTGTGTTCGATTCTGGCTTGTTTCAAAGAGTATGTCGCAGTGTACGTTGACAGGGGGGGCAGGGCGTCCAATCAATTCAGTGATGCGACAAACTCAGGCTGCTTTGATCATTGCAGTTTTTTTTTTGTTTAAGTTGGAATTGACCCCTTTGGAAGGAGATGGGAAAGGTTTGTTTCATGAATTTCAGTATATATACCTTTCAGGCAAGACTTGGGTAAGCATGGCTGCTCGCACTTCATCTCATTTTTGCCGCAAGACCAGCAGCTCATTTCCTGGCTGCTTTGATTTAACATGTGAAGATATTCAAATAGAATCACTTCAGGAACTAAGAAGATGATTCCCATCAAATTCCCAGATCACAGATATTACTTGCTGGTGAGGCAATGCAGATTGTTGCATTTCACCCCACCTGTCTCCACAGTTGCAGCGCTTCGTTTCCAACACGCCAAGGGCAGCCACCGTTTCACCTGCCATGGAAACGGGCGAAGAAGCGCCCCTGGCTATGCCATACCCTCCAGAGGGCGTGGAATGGCACAATCGTTCCTTGACCTGGTGAACACGTAGGATCACAGCTCCTGCTTGGGACGTGGGTATCTTCAAGTGCCAGTGGATTGAAATCCTTCTGTAGCTATGATACGAGTCAATGTGGCACGGGTCAGAGCTGGGAAATTGATTGATGGTTTTCTGGTACTGAGCCGCAAAAAATCTTACCGGGACCAGCCCGTACATATACATACGGAGGTTTCCAAAAACAGGGGTACCCCAACAAATCATCCATTTTCATAGGATGTTCCATTATAAATCATCTATTTTGGGGTATCTCCATTTATGGAAACCTTCATATATGCTCTATATATATATAACACCTGTATTGGATGGATAATCTCCTAATCCTTTGCCTGATGCCAAGGCTGGGCGGAGTTGGAAAATGCCTATGCGCTCCTGGAGAAGCAAAATCAGTCCTTGCAGAAACAGGCGCATGTGACACCGAACTTGGAAGATGGGCCTTAAAAGGGGTTTCTATGGGACTCAGCCATCAAACATGGGGTTTTACATGGAGAATATACGGAACAGAATGTGTCATGGATTCGTTCAAGGGAAAATGTTGCTCGGATTTGTTTTTTTTTAACCATCAATTGATCGGGCGTTTACTTCAGATTTTTGGATCCTTCTTCCCAGTTGTAATTGCCACGGTTGAATTCCATGCTGGTGGTGCAGACTATCCTTAGAAGGCACTGCATGATTTGACACTGGGTGGCTACGAGATGCAATCCCCTTGCAGCAAGAATTCTGAAAAGTATAAATTGTCCCCTGAAAATGCCGCCACATGTAAATGTACATCATCACAGAATCGTTGTTCAACCATTTTCTGAAGTTCCCATGCGGAAATTAATGTTCTGTCTTTGGTTATGGCAAATTCGTCATGGTCAATGGTTGGAAAATGTGTCCTGGTAAAAGCCTTGGTACACTTGTGAAAACACACCAAGACAGCTGGCAGTTCTGGATGTTCATCGCCGTTCAGACAATTTGATTGGTATTAACCCCATCTATCCGACATTTTTGGCTGGTTCATGTTGGTTCGGATGTTTCTCTACATTGGGGACCCGCAAAATATAAGGTTGCTTACTAGGTAGTGCTGGTTGGTGGTTTGGAACATGCTTTTCCTTAATAGTTGGAATGATGATCCAATCTGACTAATGTTTTTCAGGGGGGTTGAAACCACCAATTAGAGTGCGTTGATCCTATTTCATATTGTTTTTTTGTATTTTGTTTTGTTCTGTGATCCTGAACCTTCATATTTTTGTGCGGCCGTGCAGTAGCCCGCAGGTGTCCGATCTGAAAGGAGCCCTGCACGAGAAATTGCAGGACGCCGCGCTGGTGTCAAAATGGGTAGCATGTCAGACTCACACCTCACTGTAAATTATAACGACCTCACTGTTCTCTCTCACGGGAAATCAATGTTTTTATATGCGGAATCATCCCCAAATGGCCTTAATTCAGGTTAGTGAAATATTATAATTTACCCAGATTAATATACCACATACATATCATGTATCCCAGAATCCAAGATATTTTTTTACTTAAATCATGTATAAATATGTATATATAATATCATGATATAACACCCAATAATCATGATGTGGCAAACCCATTTCACCATTTTTTCCATTCACAAGTCATCGCCATCTCCAGGAGCCCCCAGCAACGGAGGACACTGAGCTGAGGCAAAAGCTCCAGGAGCAGGTCCCGAGGGTCCCGAGACATGGAGCTGGACAGCGGAAACAGCGGGGATGTTTGGGGATGTTTTTTGGGGATTTTATATACTGTAGATTGTGTTCATACTCTATTATACCATACATATATATATATGTATATACACATATATATATAATGATGCAGAAAACCTATACTATATACTACACTGAAGGATAATGAAGTGTGAGGGACCCAAAATGTTTGGCAACGTGTTTTTTATAAACGATATCTGCAAGTTTTTGTTGATGTCCCAGGTTTGAAGCATTCCGATTCAAAACAAGGATATACAACATCACTTGAACATGTCTGAAGCCTCTGATTTTGACCAATGGGATGGTTTTGACATGTTTTGACCATCATTTGCTTGGGTTGGTTTGCAGCTTTGCCAAGTTGTAGGTGTGCAAGTAGCAGGAATCAAGACCCACGGGCCTAAAATCAAGTTTGGCGATTCTTGACTTCACATCATGAATCATGACGGTTTTTTTTTAATTCAACAAGTACTATACAGGATGGGGCCCCCCAGTTATAAGTTGGTTTATAAACCTTTATAATCCCCATTAACTATAGTTATATCTACTATAGCCATGTTTTTTTTTGGTCCATGCCTCTCCCTGGACATCCCTGGACCAGTGACTCGGTTCTCGCAGGTGGATTTGCTGCTCACAGAAGAGGTGCGCAAGGAAGAGAAGATCGCCAGGTGCCGACCGATGGCTCCAGAGATGGCGATGTGGAAAAGCGACGAAGAAACGCTGATATTTTGCTGTGGTATCTATTGAAAATGGCCAATTTATAGCCATTTATAGTTGATTTACGCATGAAACATGCTGATTTTCCATAGTTTTGTTCGTTTACCAGAGGGTGTTGCCGTTGCTCATGGTGACTTCCTGTTCTTTTTATATATACAAATTGGTGGTGTGCAGCCATTGATGGTGTCTTCATGGCTTCACCTTAGGAGAAGAAAGATCCAGAACTACCTCACCACTTGAAAATAGTTTCACCATTATTAATTTAACCACTATAGTTTGATATTCCAGAAACTCTGACTATACCACTATGCTGCAGATCCGATTCTTCATTGTTTCTCCAAAAAAGCACCTGCAGGAGTTCCTGGTGATTTCCACCCTTGGTGGGCGGATGATTTCGTTCCAGTATTTTTCTTGAAATGTAGAACTCATCACTCTTGCAAAGCGGATATTGATGTGTCTGAAAATTGCTGAACTAATATATTCTAATTACCGCCAAATTGCTCCATTTAAGAGTGAAAATGAGGATGCGCCACCTGAATTTGAGACATGGAACCTGAAACATGGGGGTCCCAAAGATGATACTACTCGACCCTGGTTGGGTTCCATTATCAAAGGAATTTGGGAAGCAATCTTCCGAGTTACGGATGACTTTTATTCAAGTGACTTTACATTACATAACAATACATCACGAAGGCTGGCATGAGATTTTACATCACATAACAATACATCACATAAAAGAGGGGAACAAAAGGTGGTGTGAGACTTTACATCACATAACAGTACATCATCACATAAAAGAAGGGCACGAAGGGTGGTGTGAGACTTTACATCACATAACAGTACATCACATAAGAATACATCACATAAAAGAAGGGCACGAAGGGTGGTGTGAGACTTTACATCACATAACAGTACATCACATCAGAATACATCACATAAAAGAAGGGCACGAAGGGTGGTGTGAGACTTTACATCACATAACAGTACATCACATAAGAATACATCACATAAAAGAAGGACACAAAGGGTGGTGTGAGACTTTACATCACATAACAGTACATCACATCAGAATACATCACATAAAAGAAGGGCACGAAGGGTGGTGTGAGACTTTACATCACATAGCAGTACATCACATAAGAATACATCACATAAAAGAAGGGCACGAAGGGTGGTGTGAGACTTTACATCACATAACAGTACATCACATAAGAATACATCACATAAAAGAAGGGCACGAAGGGTGGTGACTAAGGGAAGTGAGGAGGAAGGGTGATGACGAAAGGTGAGGGCGAAGGGTGGTGACGAAGGATGGTGACTGAGGGAAGTGGTGAATCAGGGAAGTGGTGACTAAGGGAAGCAGTGACTAAGGTAAGTGGTGACTAAGGGAAGTGGTGACTTGGGGAAGTGGTGGCTAAGGGAAGTGTGACTTACAGAAGTGGTGACGAAGGGAACATCTGAGAAAAGGAATCACCAATTCAGAGAAGAGAACCCGCAGGGACAAGCCCGAGGCAGGACAAGAGGCACAGGACTAGCAAAAAAGGAAGGTGTCAGTGCTGCATGGCATGGTTCATGTGAAACAAAAATCAAAGAATACTGTTACTTTGATATAAGGATATTTTTTTTTATAGAATATAGTTTCGCAAGTGCACTATACCCCTCAAGTTGCACCCCTGCTCAAGTATCTGCCTTCAAGTGCCATCACAAATCTTTCAAGTGTCATCACACACCGCTGCTTTTTTTCCCAGGGCTCACGGGAATGAGTCTGCTATGCAGACGCAATGACCGGTGGATGCCATCATGCACAACAGGTACATGCAAATAAACATGCATGACAAAGGAATGTACATAGATATTCAACAAGGCACCATGGCAATGACATGTTTGTATTTTTAATTGTCACTTTCACCTTAATTTGTTTCACCCCCGCGCCTCACTGTCCCGCTTCGTTTTTGACGAACATTGCGTTTTTGAAGTTTTCTCTGCCAGATGATGCCGAGGACTGCTTTCATGACCACAACCATGAGATATGAGCCTTCAAGTAACATGCACTACTTTGATTGATATAGACATATCATGATTTTAAACATCCATTTGTCAGCTTTGGCCGGGAGATCGAAAAAGACCTTTTCGCAGAGATGCTGGACACAGGGATGTTTAAGGACCGCCTGTGAGTTGAACGGAGCCATATACCAATATAGAAAATTCAGCATATTTATTTTATATATCATTTTTTTCATATAGCAACGTTTATACTTCATGAATGAATATTATTTATATATATATATCATTTTGCGCCAGGATGATGGGACAGAGTTCACCTGGGACTGCATGTATGCCAAGTGCGCCTGGCATCGTCAGAAGAAGTGGAGGATCCAAGAAGGCCATGGGTCTGGGACGTGCTTCATGCCTGCAATATGGATATATATAGAGAGAGAGAGAGAGCAATATATATATAGAGATAGATAGATAGATCGATAGATAGATAGATAGATTAGATAGATTAGAGAGATTAGATAGATTAGAGATATTAGATAGATTAGATAGATTAGATACGTTAGATAGATTAGATAGATTAGATAGATTAGATAGATTAGATAGATTAGATAGATTAGATAGATCAGATAGATCAGATAGATTAGATCGATTAGATCGATTAGATCGATTAGATCGATTAGATCGATTAGATCGATTAGATCGCTTAGATCGATTAGATCGATTAGATCGATTAGATCGATTAGATCGATTAGATCGATTAGATAGATTAGATAGATTAGATAGATTAGATAGGTTAGATAGATTAGATAGATTAGATAGATTAGATAGATTAGATAGATTAGATAGATTAGATAGATTAGATAGATTAGATAGATTAGATAGATTAGATAGATTAGATAGATTAGAGAGATTAGATAGATTAGATAGATTAGATAGATTAGATAGATTAGATAGATTAGATAGATTAGATAGATTAGATAGATTAGATAGATTAGATAGATTAGATAGATTAGATAGATTAGATAGATTAGATAGATTAGATCGATTAGATCGATTAGATCGATTAGATCGATTAGATCGATTAGATCGATTAGATCGATTAGATCGATTAGATAGATTAGATAGATGAGATGGGTTAGATAGATTAGATAGATTAGATAGATTAGATAGATTAGATAGATTAGATAGATTAGATAGAATAGAAAGAATAGAAAGATAGAAAGGTAGAAAGATAGAAAGATAGTTAGATAGATAGATAGATAGAGAGATAGATAGTATATATGAATCATGTATGTGATTGATATCTACAATATATCATATAGGTGTGTGCACATGTGTTTGTATATCATGGGTGTGACAACATCGCCAGGTACGCAGTTGCAGACCCATTGGCGCAACCTGTGCACTGATGATCGTGAGGTGCCTCCTGGGACCGGTCAGAGTCTGAGTGCAAATTCAGGCTGATAACATAAACTTGCAGATTTGCAATATATGAAGATGTTCTTATGTTCACATGATCATAAATGGTTGGGAGTTCATGGAGGACATCAACGGCGAGTGGAAGCCTTCTGGGCTGAAGGTAGCATTCTCAGGATATCTCAGGCTGATCATGATTTGTACATGATTCTTATAGAGTGTTTTGATGAAGAAGGTTGAAGCAACCATCGACAAGAGCCCCATGGAGGAGCAGACGAGAAGCGCAAGGCACACTAGGTGAACATGGGATATACGGCATACGCATATTGTTATCTTTCTGCATGCAGACGTCGTCGACATCAGCGCCAGTGACACCGGAGAAGGGGGAGATCCAGAAGAAGCCCATGCCGCCCACGCCGGTGACTGCAGATGTGGAGAAGTAAGTAATGCCAACATCGGATTAATCAACCCCTCCCCCCCCCTGGTAGGTCAGTCGGACCTTCTGGCTAGTTTTCTTGACCGCCCCTTAATAATAAGCAACTCTGAACCAAAAAACTTTGGATATGGCTTACGTCAATTAGATCTTAATTGAATTCTATTGGATTTGTTAAAATCTCATGGATCAGAAAGGTGGTTGTTTAATCGGGGGCAAACCATGGTTATTATTAATGGGGGACATGGGCTCATGGGGGGTACCCTTTGGGAGCTATCCAAACTGATGATTTTTATAAAGATTTTAATTAGAAATCGATCATTTGGGGAATAGTCATTTTTGAATTTTTCAATGATCAACCTAAACCTTAAGTATAACAATGATGATTAAACAAAAAGGTAAAAACAAATTGGAAATAAATAGAATTGGGAATAAAAATTGTTGGATAAAAATTTGATTTCAGCACAGGGGGTTGATTAATACCGCGGGTTTATTAATCCTGGGGGACCACCTCTTTTTAAATTACAAAAAAAAAATGGGCAGAGGGGGTTGACTAATACCGCGGGGATTATTAATCCTAACTTGACATTACAAGAAGGCCACTTGATCCTCAGGTTTGACTTGGTTTCAACCTTGACAGGCCAAAACTTCTTCCGGATCCAAGGATGTTGCCAAGAAGGTGCCTCAGGACAAGGGTTGATGATTGGGTTTGTTCCTTTCTTCATGTCAAGAGTGAAAAATAATCAAGCATGTTTCTCACTAAATTATTTGTGCAGGAACCTGACTACCCACCACCTGGAATGTGGAAGATCAATCCTCTTCCGAAGGCCTTGCGTTCCCACGTACGTTTCTTTGTTTCCTCAATGTGCATAATTCATATATGTCTTCTGTCAGGCTGTGATCCCCGGGCAGCCGAGGGTGGTGTTGCCACCGCACAAACAGGCACAATCCTTGTAATGAGATGAGAAACGTTGAGCTGCGCTTAAATGACATGAAAATAGGCAAGAAGAACTTAGCTGACATATGGGAAGACATGAAATGAGATGAGAAGAGCTCAGATGAGATGAGTTGAGATGAAGTGCAAGTGTGAAGTGTGGAGTGTGGGGTGTGAAGATTGCAATGTGAAGTGTGAAGAAAGTGTTCACTTGGCGTTGCATTGCGCTGGGGTCGCGCTGAGGTCATGTTCTTGGACATCAACAGCGCAACAGGTTCGCACAAAGCACGCACGAACGGGCCTGGCTGGCGCACGCCGCATGCAAGTTCTATAGATGAGAAAGGTCTTATAGTATAACCCTAAGGCAACTTCCGCCCCGACTCGTGCGGGTAATACTGGTATTTGATGGGATTTATATTGGATTTCTAGGATTTAGCGGGATTTATTTGGTATTTCTGATATCTAGAATCACTTGAATCCCGAAATTGGCAGGTGACATCCCCCATCTTTACCGGCGAAGAAGAGAGCCACGGAATTCTCCACGTCGTTCTGGATGCCAGGTTCGCTAAGGAACTAGAAGAACAAACCGGAAAGATGTCGGAGCTGAGCCGGGCGAAGTTTCAGTTGGAATATGAGAAGAGCAGGAGATGCTCAAAACACCTTGGGATCGGAAAAGGGGTTGGGTGACGCTTGCGGTTTCTGTTCTGGTTGTTCGCCCTACATCAATCCATTGATGGGATATGATTGGATTATTGTTGGTTAAGATTAGTATCCTGTTGCTTTTGTTGTTGTGGTGGTGGTCACTGCTTCGGCTGTGGCAGGACGGAGTCCGAGATCTTGCCCATCAAGGCTGAGAGGGATCGATTACAAAGCGAGAAACAGATGAAGGATCGCATCATCGATGATTTGCGGAAGGAGCAACAAGTCGCGGTTGTGGCTCGTGGGGGTTGTGATGGTTGGGATGGATATACATTTTGTGTATATGTATACATGCATACATATGTATACATATGCATACATACATACACACACATATATATAGATACATATATCATGTATATGTACATGTATACGTATATGTACATGTACATGTATATGTATATGTACATGTGTATGTATATGTATATGTAAATGTATATGTATATACATATATGTATATGTATATGTACATGTGTATGCATATGTTTATGCCTGCGGACCGAAAACCGTTCCCGTAAAACGCGCGTTTTTGAATATCGCGATTGTGGGGTGGGGTGGGGTGGGGTGGGGGGGCATGTTAACGTTCCTTGTACTTCGTACATGATATATTGCCATGCTGCTAAGATCTCTGGGATTATTTACTACGTTACATGTTGCTACGCTGCTGAGATCTCTGGTATCGTTTACTACGTTACATGTCGCTACGCTGCTGAGATCTCTGGTATCGTTTGCTACGTTACATACATGTTGCTACGCTGCTGAGATCTCTGGTATCGTTTACTACGTTACATACATGTTGCTACGCTGCTGAGATCTCTGGGATCGTTTACTACGTTACACACATGTTGCTACGCTGCTGAGATCTCTGGTATCGTTTACTACGTTACATGTTGCTACGTTGCTGAGACCTCTGGGATCGTTTACTACGTTACATGTCGCTACGCTGCTGAGATCTCTGGGATCGTTTACTACGTTACATACATGTTGCTACGCTGCTGAGATCTCTGAGAGCTTGGCAATGGAGATGCATTCACAAGAATGCTGACTGCCAGCTGTTTACTACGCATGCGTTGCAGCGATGACGCTGAAAAACGAAAAACCGCGCCCCAAGTTTTTCCAGGATTTCCAATCATCAAATTAGCACGGCACTGTGGTAAAATCACCATTTTTTTAAAAAAATGTGCGTTTTATGGGAACGGTTTCCGGTCCGGCGGGATGTTTATGTATATTCATAAAAGATGCAACTATATATGTCATGTGCACACATATGTAGATACAAAAATGTTACTGGTTGGCTTTAAACAACCAGTTCCAATTGATGATTTGAAATTGGTGATTGTGTATCAAACTATTCAGATTTCAGATGCATTTGTTATATTATAGTTGTTATTTCAAGATATGCCGTTTTATCCAATGTCATTATTGCTTTCCCATCCATCAGCCATTTCTCACCGCAGGAGTTGGCGTCCTCTCGAGATGAACAGGACAAACTTTTCCGGGAGAAGTTCGAGATGGCCCGAGACCTGCGTCGCCAGCTTCAGGCGCCGACTGGCGAATTGTTTGTTTTTCTTTGAAGGGTGACCTGAGATGGTGGGTGGGAAAAAACATGAAACAAACACAAAACAGCAGGGTGAAGTTGTTTCTCAGAAATTGGCAGTGGATGTATCAATTATGTATCATTATATATCCAGAATTTGATTTGGAAAAGATCCCGGTCGGAAATGATTGCCAACACTTTTAAATGAGTGTCATGTGATCGGACAAACAGTTTAACTGAAAGTGACAATCGGTCAGTGTTCTACCCATCGGTTTGCTCCTATCCACTGGAAAACACCGATCCATGGGGTCCACCCGTAGTTTGATTTATACCACATATGGAAAAATGGGGGTACCTCCAAATCATCCATTTATAGATTGGGATTTTCCACTATAAACCATCCAGCTATTGGATGCTATTAGGGCATCCCCATGTTTGGCAACCCCCATTTGTTGAGTTGTCTGTGATTCAGCAGGTTGTGACGGTGATTCCTCATGATTCCCCTTGTATGTTGATTCCAGAGTCTCCAGGGAATGGGTGTGTCTGAAAATGGTGTGTACCCCAAATAACAATTTGTTTGGGAAAATTATGATCAATCAATGGAGTTAGGTGTTGTTCCCATGTTTTTTTCAGAAAAAAACGCATACATATCCCATAAATATCCGATATTTTTCCTGAATTGAGCCTCTTTCAACGGTAGGCTGAAAAGGCTGCTGCATCATATCAGCAGCAAATGGCCGAGGAAGCTCTACAGGCGGCACCGTCATGATTCTGGTCCAAGAAACGGGAATTTGAAGCATCCAAAATGGTGTACATGGATTATATCTCGTTTGTGTCAAACAAATGAAGGATTATGTCAATTTATGCCCATAGTTAAGGAGGTTTAAGGCATGTTTCATGGGAAAACAATATTTTGGAGGAAACACATGATAGCATGGGGTATTATAATGTATAGTGACGGACAACTACTTAGAACATCATTTGGAAAAAAAAATCTGAAAATCGTCACAGCGGGGATGTTCTAAGTATGGGTTTCAAAAAAAGTAGTTAGAACATACCCAAAACCTATACTTAGAACATTTCCAACCTATACTTAGAACATCCCAGTGGGGAACCAATGGGAACCATACATATATGTATGTTCGAAGTATTTGTCCGTCGCTAATTATATATACACTATATAATACTATATATAGATATATTTATTTAAGGGCTGCCGCCCCTGCCGCCTAATTTCTGCCGGGGTCGGCGGATATTTATAAACTAATAGGCTAGGGGCAATCTCCATCATCAGTCTTACATTGATACATCATATTTACTATAATATATATATATATGTGTATGTTCCCGAAGAAAAGGTATAGAATGCTGCAGGAGTGAGGGGAGAAAGTGTTCTAAGTATGGTGTTCACCAAGGTATTTGTGTGCATATATGCAGATTTACCAAAGTAACAGGACATGTTCTAAGTATATGTGTGTTTTAATGTTCTAAGTATGCAAAAATCAATGGAGATGTTCTAAGTATCTGTTTTTCTGATGTTCTAAGTGCGTACTTAGAAACATTTCTGATGTTCTAAGTATGGTAATTTTGATGTTCTAAGAGGAGGTTTCGAAATTTTGGAAAAATGATGTTCTAAGTACATGTCCGTCACTATATTATATCACCTACTTTGAACATACCAAATAGGTCCAGACGAATTTCAGTATCGTTTCAAGAGGAGGGTTTTTGATGAAAAATCCGCAGATTCGGCCCTGAATCCCGGAGAATTCCGCTGTGTGACCGACATGTGACGCCAAGCATATGAAACAAAGCATGTGGGTTATTGCTATGGGACATTACTCCTGAAGTTGATATACACATTCATAGAAGTGTGGGTTTACAACTGCTGTCCCAAGAAAAACAAGAAAAGAAACGTGAAGCCATGTGAGATGGTACAAGTTGGGCACTGAAAGGCGTGGATATGTCAGGCCCAGTACCGAGAGAAGAAGCTCAAAGAGGAGCTGGAACGCAAGGTGGCTTTGGGCGATCTCCGATGGCTGATGGGTAAATACCGAGGTTTTTTCGTCGCTGGCAATGGGAAATCCTCAATTCAATGGAGGTTTGAATGGGAAAATCACCTTATAAGTAAGGGATTGAGCATCCATATCATGTCCGGATTTCTGGGTATGACTGGAAACTGGAAAAGAGCCACAATGTAGTACCTAAGATTGGTTGTGGGGCTTGTGAAAGATGCTGTCAGATTGATGATGTCCAGGAAAGTTGGAGCGAATGACACTACGCTCCAGTGCATGTTTCAATGGTTCTCCAGACATCTTCATACTGTCATTGCCTTTAATTGGAAAAAAAACGGCTGGTAGTTCCAGTCATATGACTGTGGTTTTTCAACCATACTTTTAAGGGATGATTGGTTGAGATGACAAACCTATTTTTGGGGATGGCTTCAAACCACCAACCAGATCAGACAAGAGATAGAAAAAACTGCCCATGTTGAAAGACAGATCAAGAGTATTATGATGTATTATGAGGATCTCATACGATGAAGGACAACTCAACGGTAGGATTTAGGGTGCCTTGTTTTCAGACCCAAATATCATCCTGTTGGTTATATATATATAATATATAGTATATAATATATAATATAATATAAAATTTAAGATATCATATAATATACCATATGGAATATATATTTTGTAATATGATATATACATATATATATAGTCCGCATAATAGCGTTAATTTTCCATGTTTTCTCGAAGGTATTCCTGCAACCAGTTGGATCCCCATTGGTGAAATCCCCAGTACTGTTGAAGCCGCTGAGGTGAAGGATCTCCAAGAGGACTTCGCCAACAAAAAGGCGGCTTTGGAGGTGCAGAGACATGTGGAATGCAGCAATGTGCATATATATAATATATATATGTAATATATATATATGCAGTATTATGTATATATTTGCAATGTTGTAGATTGTAGATATGCATAAATGAATAAATAGATTAATTCAATAGATTATATAATACACATATAGATATATGATGTTTGTGTGTGTTTGGTGGACATGATCGGGGCGAGTCGTCCCCAGGATCAGCGGCGCATCAGCGATGACCGCGCCCAACGCATGGACGAGAATTGGAAGACAGCGCAGGCCTTGCCGCCCCCGAAATGGACGGCATTTTGCGTCAAAACCTTGGCAAAACCAAGGAAAACCCATGTAAAAAACACCAAAAAGGATGGTCAAATTGGGACATTCACCAAGATATCCAAGATCCATTTTTGGGGGGTATGATCTAAGCTATAGAAACAATGCACTTCCATTTCTTACAGGAAGTTGATTCGTTGCTCCACGTTTTTTGTGGGATCAACATCACAAACCATACCATCAATTGGAGCATACCCAATGTCGTGAACGACTAGAATTGGGTCTGGTTCATGAAGTTGGCTTTAGCACATTTAATTCAAGTCTGCATTCCATTTGTCTCCGAAACTTATCTATATCCTATATATCATATATCATGTTGTCAAATCACCGTTACATCACCATTAAATCACCATACTGTGGATGGTTGCAAAATCCTGCACCAGTTGATAGGTGGTTTATCCATGTTTATCCCATTATTTATAGGGTTCATCACCATGAAATCACCACAAAATCCACATTAAATCGCAATTAAAGCACCATAAAATCACCATTAAAGCACCATTAATCCCCATTAAATCACTATTAAAGCACCATTAATCCCCATAACATCCCCATAAAATCACCATTAAATTACCATTAAAACACGTCTTTTCCCCCAGTTTCGTGTGGCTTCATGGCAGCGAGAACAGGCGCAGCTGGCTGAGACCGTGGCTGACTTGAAGTCCGCCTGCGAGGCGGCGTTGGCTGTGTTTATGGACATAAAAGGTGATATTCAAGGAGAGTTCATAGGGGTTTAGCGGGGATTTAAGGGTGATTTAGTGAGATATATATTATAAGAACGTGAATATATATATATATATATAACCAACAAATTTGTGATTGGGGGTGTCTGAGAATGTTGTATTTAGCAGCCCAATTGGGGTCGTTTTGATCGGGTGATCCCCAGGGTGCCAAGATGTTCTCTTCATCCATTCTTGCGGTAAATGTTTTTTTCTGTATGTTTCATGGGAAGATCATCCATAAACGGAATCTGTTTCTTTCTATCTATCTATCTACCTACCTACCTATCTATCTATCTTTCTATCTATCTATCAATCTATCTGTATATACATATCAATTAATAGATATCAAGGAATATAAGAGTCTTTTTTGGCTTCAATGATATCATTCGTGGGACTTGGGACTGGGGATTTCCCAAACATGGTGGATTTCCAGCGGCGAAGCATGGCGATTCGCATGGTGGAGATATGTTGCAAACAATAAATTTCCGGCAGACCATATAACAACATAGATGTAATATAACATATTCATCTGACATATTCTATAGTTTCAAATATGTAATACAGAAAATATCATATATAGGGGGCAAGTCAAAATAGGAGGTCCGGAACAAGCTCCGGGACCACACCCGTTCCATACCCCCGTTCCATACCCCCGTTCCATACCTCCTTGAAGGATCCGTTCCATACCTCTGTTCCATACCTCTGTTCCATACCTCTGATCCATACGTTATTATATATATATATAATTTATATATATATACAGTTATATATATATATTGATTATGTGCAATCTGATTTTACATTTGTACGCACATATATGAGCGCACGTACATACATGAGTGCATACATGCAAGAATACGTTTACTATGCCCAAGCCCTGTGATTGTGTTGGCAAGTCTGTGCCTGCAGCACTTACAGCTGCTACCTACTTTGTTGTGTGATGGAAGGGATGTGCTTGGCTGCTGCCAGCTGGCAGTCTAAGAATGGATTGCTTGTAACCCTCCCTCCCTCTCAACCTGTGGCAGGTTTGTGCCTGCACCACTTAAAGTTGCTGCAGGCTGTGGCACAGCTGTGGTGTTTGATTGTAGAGATGCGCTTGGCTGCTGCCAGCTGGCAATCTAAGAATTGCTTGCTGCGCTATTCTCGCTCCAAACTGCGAATTTTGATAAAGATGTTCTGCGTGGTGGCAGTGCTGTGCTAGAGTGGGCCGTTTCGTTCCAGACCCCGTTCCATACCGTTCCATACCCGTTCCAGACCTGGACCACCCATGTACCACCCCTGACCCACTGGTGAACACATGGCAGGTTCTCACATAGACTGCTCGTAAGCCATCCTTTGCGCGTGGGTTATGGGAGGGTAGAGTCTTGCCATGCAGGGACACAATCTACCCCATAGGGACCTCTGAGTTTTAAGAGTAGGAGGTGGGACCTGCGTGACAGGTCTGAAGCTGAGTCGACAGCTTCACATGGTAGCCAGTGGGTGACACTGGCTACCGGTCGTGTCGTATCTAGTGCACGAGCACTAGCCATGCAAGGCAAACTTGCGTTGAACAGGTGTACAACAAGGATGTCGTGCAGATGAGGAGTAGCTTCAACGTGCATATCCTTGAGATGCATATTATATATATTACATATAATGTGTATATATATATATATATATTCATTTTTGTATAGCCTATATTTCATCACACTCCAAAGGTCCGGAACAAGACCAGTTACGAAGCCCCTTCGTTCCATACGTCCGGAACACCGCGGAACGTTCCATACACAATTTTGACTCGGGACTAATATATATAATGTATAATATCTTGGAAACACTTTTCGACATCTGGTGATTCCTTTTTTTAGCCTTCCCCGCGTTCGCCAGGTGCGGGATGAAATGGCCATGGAACTCCAAATGCTGAAAACCGAATTGGAGGTGCCCTGGTCATCCCAGAGATGTCATTTCAGCCATGAACTAAATACCTGGGTTGGTTACAAACTAGGGACTTTTTTCGTAGCTAATTTATTGGTGGGGATGATGATAACTAGTAAAACAATGAGATAGGATCGGGGTATATTCTGGCGCATTTGGAGGTTGTTCCCTTTGGAAATCAAATTTCCACCCATCACAGATCATTACAGATTGGCCAAACAGTGATAGTGACATATCAAATCCCAATAACTCAAATTTCTCATGTGTACTGCATCGTTGGACACACCCATTGATGTCAAGATCTGCCGAATTTAGGCATGCGTTCGGGCCCCCCCACATCCAAACCCTAACAGGCAGCAAGTTTGCAGTGCGAAAATGATCGAACATGTGGTCCAAAACTGCCAAGCTTTCAGGCCAAAAATGCCCCGCCAAAATATGCTACTTTTAGAATTACTCAAAATTATTCCATCTCAAGTTGGCTGCTGTTTTTGTTTCTGCTAGGTACAAGGGTACAACTGATTGTTTAGCATTGCCAGCTTGCAGGAGCAACGACAGCAATACCAACGCCTGAGCCAAGAGCATGAGGACAATCAAACGTGAAAATCATCGAACTGGTTGATGGATTTTCCGGCAAGCCACGTTTGATGACACTGGAGGGTATACCTTTGGTCACAGCTACTGTGGTAAACCCACTGCCATGAACCATCCCTAAAAATTATCACCATTTTATATCATGCGTAGTAACAATCATCCCCAGTGGTGGTTGTGTATTGCGGCCAGGGTTTACCGCACTATATAACACTAATTCTCATTATATAATCACAATCAAATACCATTAAATCACCATTAAATCACCATTAATCCACATTAATCATCATTAAAGCACCATAAAATCACCATAAGTCATAAGTCCCATGATTTGTGGATTTCATCCGTCGCGAGTTGTCGCCCTGCAGGACTTTTTGCGTCGCCGCATTCCTGGGGCTGACACCGGTGAGCTGCCGAATGGTTGGGATGCCCACGTTGGCATCGTTGAAGGAATGTTGGGTGAGATTAGATGAGAAAAAGGAGATTTGGATGATGATGATGATGATGACGACGATGATGATGATGATGGTGACGATGATGATGATGATGATGATCATGACGATGACGGTGATGACGATGATGATGATGATGATGATGACGATGACGGTGATGATGGTGATGATGATGATGGTGATGATGACGATGACGATGGCGGTGATGATGATGATGATGACGGTGATGATGATGATGATGACGATGATGATGATGATGATGATGATGATGAATGATGAATGATAATGATGAATGATGAATGATGAATGATGAATGATGAATGATGATAGATTTGGTGATACTGCCATATATGTCATCCTGCAAAGAAACCGGTTGTTTCACCCGCGTTTCTTGGCGCAAGACGGCTCCTGCACTAGGCATTTCATTTCGGAGGCCCCTGCCCACAGGTAGTCAAGACCATGTCATTTCATTGTCATTTCTGCATATGGCCCAAAATGGCAATTTGCGTAGCGAAACTTACGAGAAACCATGGGGATGTTGGGGTACCCGATTCCCAGACAAACCCGTATTCCAAGGTGCACATGACCCAGGATGCAAATCGTATAGTGATTTGGATTTGGGTAGTTTAGTTCATGCATCGGAGCTTACCCCTGTGGTTGACTGCATGGACGTTCATTGACTCATCAGATGGGCTGAGGCTATGAAAGCCTGACCGAGCTGGTGCGCATCGCCCACACCTCACGGCAAGAGGTGCGGCGAGCTCACGGCTCCCAGGGGACGGACCTCCCAAGGATGGCCGTCAAAGCATTGCATGATGATGATCAGAGTGATGATCAGGGTGATGCTCAGGGTGATGCTCAGGGTGTTGGTGGTATTGATGGTATTGGTGGTGATAGTGGTGGTGGTAGTGGTAGTGTTGCTGATCATTGAACTGTCATTGGCATGTTGCGAGAAAATGCGGCACTATCCAACAAGAATGACCGTAAGCGCAAGGCGCCTGCCAGGATATGTAGGGGCTCAAGAGTTTAGTAATGTTATCACTCAGACTACCTGAACTGAGCTGGATATGAATTCTATTCCTGCACTGCCACTGCGACTGATTACACAGAGGCATGGGAATCTTAGTTGCGCCTGCAGGGCTCTGCTTACAGCACGATCTGAGCAAGATAAGACTTGGATATTGGTTTATCCAAGAATGGGTACCCCCTTCCATCGGTTTATCATATTCCTATTGATGGCAATTTCGGGTGTAACTTCCCAGTTTTCAGACAAATCCCATATACGATCATATACATATTGTTGGTCACAAGTGATATCCCATAAATTCGATCATTCAATGCCCATTCAATCCGAATTTCCAAAATGGCCCCTGGCCTTGCTGGTCAAGGCCTTACAGGAACGTGCCGCCAAGGAAAACCTACAAAAGGCCAGTCGCGGCGAAGAGAACTGCTGGAGATATTGGATTTCATGGGGCGTAGCAATTCATGGGGGTTTAATGGTACATTTAGAGGGGTTTCATGATGATTTCATGCGGAAAATGGGGGAACATGGTGATCTAATAGTGATTTCATGGGAATTTATGAGGCTTTATACACCAAAAGTGATAAGTGGGAGTTCACCATAGTTCATGGTGACTTAATTGTGGTGAATGGGCCAAAATCAGCTATAGATTTGATTCTGTAGTTCATTGGAAATGGAAAAACAATTCTTGGTTGAGATATGTTAAGATCATCTATAGTATACCCTTTGGTTTTTTCACATAGCCATGGAAAATGGCCCATAGAAATAGATGGTTTACCTATTAATAGCATGGTGGATCTTTCCATGGCTATGTTAGTCATAACCAGATGGTACTACTACAAAATCCCCATGGAAATCCCATTTGTATATCTATTCTACCCATTTGTAAAGCATCTGCATCTTCCATTGCCAGCTTCGAACTCGTGTCGTTTCCCGGGGGGAGGTCCTGCAAGACATCGAGCGCGAGATTCGGCAGCGTTATCCCGTGCTGATGAGTCTACAGCCCCAGAGACGGTGGGTTGGTTTAAGTGGGACTATGGCAAATTTTACTGGTTGGTGGTTTCAAACATTTTTTATTTTCCATGATATTAGATTATATGTGGGATAATCCATCCCATTGACTTTCATATTTTTCAAAATGGTTAAAACCGCCAACCAGTTTAGGAATTGTGAAGATTGTGGAAGATTTTTGTTGGATTTTTCGGGTGATATGTTAGGACGTCGGAAGTGTGATGATCCGGGGTGTTGTGCCAGAGCTCGTTGCGTCCTGCTGGACGCTGCTGGCACAATCCCGTTGAATTCGGTTGAACCGTGAAATTTGGAGAGTCACTAGAGAACGACCTCATCACAGATTGCTAGCGTATTAGAGCCACTAGAGAACTATTGCAAATTGTGCCAATATATGCCAATATGTGTTTCTTATAGCTTAATGTCCATTTTTTTGCTGTGGGTTCCACCCACTTTAGGATTGGTGACCAAAAAAACGGGTGCAACTGACCATGGTTCCTGGTCTTTTTGCTAAGGTCAAAATCAAGAACTGAAGGAGCTACGGGCACAGAATGCCGAGATGAAAGAACAGAACCGGATCATCTATCAGAAGGCCAGTGTAACGGCGTGGCGTTTGAGAACTTGGGTGTGTCCTAAAGTGGTAATACTATGTAATACTTCTGGGCAACTATATGATATATATATATATACATATGTATCTAGCTATTGATCTATTTATCATTTATCTATTTATCTATCTATATCTATCTACGTATCTATATATATCTATTTGTGTATCTATTTGTGTATCTAACTATGTATCTATCTATGCGTATTTGTCTATCCTATCCTATCCTATTCAATCCTATTCTATTCTATCCTATCCTATCCTATCCCATCCTATCTATCGTATCTATCGTATCTATCCTATCGATCTTATCGATCTTATCGATCTTATCGATCTTATCTATCTTATCTATCTTATCTATCTTATCTATCTTATCTATCTAATCTAATCTAATCTCATCTAATCTCATCTCATCTCATCTAATCTAATCTAGTCTATCTATCTATCTATCTTTCTTTCTCTCTCTCTCTATCTATCTATCTATCTATCTATCTATATATATATATCTATGTATCTATCTATCTATGCTAGACCCTTCCACATCTCAATCTTCAACATGCGGACCGTATTCCATAGCGACTGACCGTCGCCCGCCAGGCGAGGGAATACGCGACCTACAACCGGGACGCGGAGGTCGGGGAAAGCGAGAGAGGATGGGAGGATGGGCTGATGAATGGTTGAGACCATTAACCATCATGATATTTTATAATTATTGATATGGTTATTAACATCCTTAATTAATCATAACATTAACCATGATATTTTATAATTATTGATATGGTTGTTATGGTTAATAACATGGGCTGATGAATTATATACCGTCGGTATATATAGTTGATGCATATATATATATATAATTTTGGCTCAAGCCACCGAGAAAATTCCGGGTCCCGCTTCGTGGAAGACAACGCAACGCGCGGCCCTTGTGACACCACAAGTCGATGATGACGAAGCGAAATTTTGATCTCTACCAGGCTAAAAGGCGTGTGGACCCCGTGGATGAGCCAGGCAGGAAGGGCCTGAAGAATCTTGGAAATACCTGCTTCATGAATGCTGGCTTGCAATGTCTCAGCCACATCAAACCACTTGCTGACTATTTTCTTAGTGGTAGATACAAAGGGGAAATCAACGCGCACAATAAGCTGGGTTATAAAGGCCAGTTGGCGGAAACCTTCGCAGAGCTCCAGAAAGTCCTGTGGCAAAGCAAGGGGCCAGCGAACGCCAGCGAAATCAAACAGAGATTGAAAGAGATCTTCCCACAGATGTTCGAGAACTTTCAGCAACAGGACGTCCAGGAGTTTCTGGGGTTGTGCTTAGACGGCTTGCACGAGGACTTGAGCCGCGTTTCGGAGCAGGGTAAATTTGCGGCTGACTCCAAGTCCAAGTCCTTTCTGGCGGATCTGATTGAGGGCCAGTTGCTCTGTGAGCTGCATTGCTTGCACTGTGGCCATAGATCCAGGAACCTTGAGCCCTTCACATCCCTGTCTTTACCGGTGAAGCAGGGGATGTGCACCGTTTCGGACGCCATGCGGGAATACACCAAGGATCGAACACTCACAACTGATCTTCATCAAGAACAACATAGTCCAGTTCATCCAGAAGGCTTCATCCACCTCCGCCCTGGCGAAGTCAACAATTGCTTCACAGAACTCCGAGGACTCTGGGAGCAGCAGACCGCAGAAGAAGACCGGCGGCTTCATATCATGACATGGTATGCTGATCCGCAACGATGGCCTCGTTGCCAAGATGCTCATGAGGTCCAATTATCAGTGGATATGACGCAATGGATGATCCAGATTCTTGAGGCATGGGATGATCGTGCTGATCCAGATGAGGTCTTTCACTTGTACATGGTCAAACCTCACCCACAAGCCGGTTATTGGGATGACAGTCCGACGCCACATGTACTCATTGTTCAACATCCTGCTCCAGATCGAAGATGTCTTCATTTGACAGTTTCCGATGATGCATCTCCTTCTTCCAGACCGCGACAATTTGTGGCCACTTTTGCCCATCCTGCAACTCAAAGCAGTGTCTTGCAGGAGATCCTACAGGCAGATCAGAACAGTGTTTCAAGTGATGTGCAATGTGATGTCTGGTGGGGAGATGATCTTGTTTCTCAGGACGTCTTTGAGAGACTGTCTCATGGCAATGCCCTCACAGTGTTTGTGCGACAGCAGGAAGATGCCGGTCAAGCGCATTCAAGTACCTCTGACGGCACAAGTGAACATATCTCTCTACTACAGAAACAGACTACAGTGAAACCAGTCCAATTGACCCTGGACGAGCTGATTCCCAATGAAACAGCTGAGCCTCAACCGACAGATTTGGAGCAAGTTGCGGTTAGACTGGTTCCTGGTACAGACATGGCACCTTTGCCCACCTATGTCGAATGCCAGTTGCATTGGTGCGAAGAGGACCTCGTTGAGGAGCTGCACCATTGGGGCCACAGTTGTGATGTCTATCGTTTTGGAGAGCATGATGTTGCACTGTGTTTCCCCTGTGGATGGAGCTTTGAGGATGACCTACATCACTACATGTTCTGTCACTCTGACGTTCTGGATCAGGAGGGTAGATTTCTCCACTCTCAGCAGAAAGCCATGACTGAATTGGACTTGATGCGCCTTTTGTATGACTACGGCTATTGGCGCGCCACCATTCAGTCTGTGGAGATTCTGAAACCAGGATTTTCTCGAGTAAAATTTCTCAATGTACAAGTTCAGCAAGCTCCTCATCCCTCTCGCTGCCGAACCAAACCGACATGGCATACATGTTCGCATCTTGTCGGGGCACGAGGGCCTTTCTTCACACCAGTTGCTGATGTGGCTGAGGATGACTGTGTTATTGGCTTTGGTATACCTCTACACAATCTGATGCGCCTCTTCGAGTCTACTGACGGCATGTTATGTAGGGATCCAACAGGGTACAATTTCCCTGAAGTCACACAGGCAGCTTTGCAGATCAGCGCATCTACCTGCCTTGATGACTACGACAGAATCATTGTGTACACCGATGGATCCTCCAAAGCAAAAGACCGTCACAGGCCCCCAGCTTGGAATGATGAGAGCGGCCATGGGGATTCCTGGGCTTTTGTGGTGATAGGCGAAACCATCACCAAGGCAGAGCACAAAATAGAAGTGCTGGGTTGGTCCACACAACCAGTGATCTATGACCAATGCAGCGATCACTTCATTGGTGCGGATGGAGTTGGATCGTACCTCGCAGAACGCGAGGCATTAGCTTGGGCAGCTCGGGCGTTTAGCCCAGAACTCTCGAGTGGACACGTTATTTCGCAGTGACTCGCTTACATCAGCACACCAGGCAACTGGCATGATGGGCTGCTCTGAGAGGACTGTCTCCTTCAGCGTGTTTCGAGGCTTGTTTCAAGCACTTGAATCAGCTCTACCTCCTGGTGCTCTAGCAGTGGAACATATTCACAGCCACACAGGCGAACCGTTTAACGAGATGGTGGACTGGCTTGCTCGCACTGAGCGAGAGAAAAGTTTCTATTGTCCAAGGCAACGACTGGCCATGCAGGAATGGATCCCGATCATCCCGCATCTATGGACTTTATTCAGCAAGTCCGATGGGCTGCCTTCTCTCTGTGCCACAGGGTTACATGCGCCCTCACCAGAGCTGCCACCATTGGAGAAGGCTCACCCAGCTGTACCAGCACAAACCCTGCACCAACGAATGTGCCACTTCTACCTGAGTGCAGGCACTGCCAATGTCACCTCCTTATACAATGGACCCTGGGGACATGCCGGCAAGACGGACTATTTGAGACAACAGTTCATCTTCCACCACCTTAACTTCTGAGGGCTGCAAGAAACCAGAGCTCCGGAGATCTTTGGGCAGACGGAGGGAGTTTTGCGACTGGGCTCAGGCTCTCACAATGGCCAATACGTGGGTGAACTTGAGGATCCCATATGCCTGGACAGGACGAACTGCACATTACTTGACCAGCAAGGACTTTCAAGTTGTATATCGAGACCCCAGAATGCTCTCAGTCCAACTGGAAGCTCCTCTTTTGAAGCTCAAGATTCTAGTGGGGCATGCTCCCCACTGTGGACATTCTCATGCTGATCAAGAAGCATGGTGGAATTCCTTCTCACACCAAGCACGACTTTCACATGATTCCGATCGACTGCTGGTCTTGATGGACGCCAACGCAGATCCAGGTCCTTGCGATGAATGTATGATTTTCCAGCATGGGTTCCCATCCAATGAGAACACTCCTTTATTGCATGACTTTATGACCCAACATGCTCTATGTCTTCCTGCGACTGGAGATTGTCATTGCGGCCCACATACCACCTGGACAAGTCCCAATGGAGCTCATCAGCATTGTCTGGATCATGTGGCCGTGCAACAATGTCATCGTCATGAATGCATTCACAGCAGTGTTCTTCAGGACCTTGACCTGGGCAATGGCTGTTGGGACCACAATGCGACCGCTGTTCAACTTCAGTGGCAAGAATGTGGCATCATCCAGCAGCAGAACTCCCAGCAACCCAAGCCACTCCCATATGATGTCCACAGCCTTTGTCATGACCATGTACAAATGGCCCTGGCGGATTCTCCGTCGGCTCCATGGGAACAAGACATTGAGTCCCATGTAGCGGAATTCAATCAACATCTTCTACATGGGGTTGCTGAACTTTGTCCACGCACATCCAGGACCCCGAAGAAGCCCATTTTCACTGAGGAGCTTTGGCAACTGAGAGAGCAAAAGCTGATCACCAAGAAAGCACTCAAGGAAATCTCCAAACGACAGAAACATGAGCTTCTCCAGATCTGCTTTCTTGCCCTTTGCCCTCGAGCTGCTGTTCCTAGCCACAGTCACCTCTTTTGGCATTATGACACGTGGCTGCTCTGCAGTCGAGTTCGCATGTACTGAATTCCACCAACTGGCAGCTCAACTTCGCGGCAGACTTCGAAGGGCTAAGCATGGCCATCTTCAGGAAGCTTTGACTGGATTGTCAGCCACTACACCTGCAGCGACCATACTGCATGAGGTCAAGAATCTCATCGGCCCGACAAATCTCAAAAAGGTCAAAGCCAAAACTTTGCCATATGTGAAGAATCATCAAGGACAAGTTTGCCAAAGTCCTGCAGAGGCCCTTGACACATGGATATCCTTTTTCCAAACGATGGAAGGCGGAGAACGCATAGGTGAGCATCAACAGAGAACTGAATGGCTCCAAAACCTACGCCGATTCTCTGCATCCGAACTTCACCTGCAACTTCCTGACCTTCCAAGCCTTACAGAGCTAGAAGCAGCTTATCGCAGAGTACAGGTCGCAAAGGCCACCGGACCTGATCACGTTGATGCCAGGCTTTGCCATGTTGCACCAGCAGCTCTGGCGAAGCGGACGTATGCCATCCTGCTTAAGACGTTCCTGCACGGCCACGAATGTCTGCTGCACAAGGGTGGCCGGCTGCACCCCTTATGGAAACAAAAAGGTCCGAAAGACCTATGTGGATCTTTTCGGAGCATCTTGATTTCCTCACACATCGGCAAGTCGATGCATCGCTGCCTGAGATCCTACTCCTCGGACATTTTCGAGAAGTTCCTTCAAAAGCAACAGCTCGGAGGCAAGCGTAAGATTCCGGTCACCTTGGGCGTGCATCAGGCCCGTGCGTACCTCAGGTCGCGCAAGCAGCAAGGGCTCAATGTCGGGATGGTGTTTCTTGACCTGTGCGAAGCGTTTTATCGCATCGTACGAGAGATGGCCATGGGCGGCATCATTTGCGATGAAACCATATAGCCAAGATGAGCCAGCGCCTACAGCTAGGACCTGATACTCTGCAAGAGCTGTATCAACATTTGGATGCTGCCTCGGCAATTGAAAGAGCCGGTATGCCGAAGCATCTGCAAATGGTCGTCCAAGCCATTCATTCAGATACTCATTTTCACCTACAAGGGCAACATGACCAATGCAGAACGCGGCTTGGCACTCGTCCAGGAGATTGTTGGGCGGATTTCATCTTCAGCTTCCTTTGGGCACGTCTTCTGCATGAATTAGAGGCAGAACTCAGACCCTTCGACGTTTAGGACTCCGTCCCTCGACAGGGAGGATTTCGATGCGAAGGCATTGCGCCTGACCCTGAAGATGCTGAACAAGCCGGCTGTGATGATTATTTGGGTCCAACCTGGATGGATGATTCGTGCTTTTGCTTTGCAGCTGAAGATCCTTTGACGCTTGAGAGAAAGGCAGCCAACTTATGCGGCTTGTTGCTACAACGATGCAAATCTTATGCAATGACTCCCAACTTGCAACCTGGCAAGACCGCAGTCCTTTTGGTCTTTCAAGGCAAAGGAGCCGCGGCAGCCAGGAAGAAACACTTTGGGCCGACAGCTGACCCTGGTCTCCCAGTGCTTCTTGAAGGAGGAGTACAAAGAGTGCATATGTGCATCTGGGTAGTCTCTTGCATCATCGAGGAGATTTGCGACAAGAAGCCCGCCGACGCTACAGCATCGCTCAAGGGGCTTTTCAACAACATCGGAAAAATATTATATCAAAACAAGCAGCTATCTCTGCAGCGAAGAGCAGAACTCTTCCGCACGCTCATGTTGAGCAAGTATGTGTACGGATGTGATTCCTGGACGCTCATGGAGCAACAGACCAGACACTTTGTTCATACGTCGCTCATGAAGCTCTATCGGCGCCTCCTACCTCATGCTTACCATACACCATATAGTGATGAAGAAGTACTTTTTCTGACAGGTCTATCAGACCCTTCGGATCTCTTCCGGCAACAGCGATTGCGACATCTTGGCGCTCTATATTCCTGTTCAGATTCTGTACCATGGGGCCTCATCAACGCTGACACAGAGTGGACGCATTTGGTCCGAAGCGACCTTGAATGGATGTGGCACCAACTTCGATCATCTTCCAAGTTGCCTGATCCTCAACACCATTTTGGAGTCTGGGTTGGCATTATGAGGGATCATCGACGCTACTGGAAGAAGTTGGTTCGCAGAGCAGGCGATCACGCAGCAGCCCAGAGAGACAATCGTTTTTCAGTGACCCAATTTCACACCTCCATCTTGCAGCACCTACAACAAGCACAATGTCTTGGACAGGGGCCGCCTTCTGACCTCCGTACATTGCCTACGACACCATATGGATGCATGCAGTGTCAGAAGAAGTTCATGTCAAGAGGCGGCTGTGGTGCTCATATGTTCAGAGTGCATGGACATGTACACCCTGTCAGACGCTTGTTTGACACTACTCAGTGTGGGTGTTGCCTCAGGGAGTTCCACAGTTTTGGTAGGCTCAAAGCTCACCTGATCAGAGCCGACTTTTGCCGACACAGCTTGCAACGACGCAATCACTATGTAGCGCCGGCAGCAGGCATCGGTTCTACAGAAAATGATCGACAGGAAGCGGCTTTGGATGGGCTTCTGCCTCCACTTCCAGGCTATGGACCTCACCTCCCGCCAGGAGGCCAAGGCATTGCTCCGGATTACCACCTGCACATCTTTGAGGAGATCTATATGCGCATGCTCGACGTCACTTCCACAGCAGAAGGTGAGAAGATGATTCGAGATGTTGCACAGGAGATCCCTGCGACGTGGGAGGACTTTCGCAAGACGCTCCAAGCATTACTGCATGAAGCTACCACAGAAGACACAGCCGTTTTGGGCATCAGTGCAGACGATTTCTACAGCCTGCTACGCAGACTCAGCCTTGATACACAATGGCCATTCCTTTGTGTTGAAGCAGAAGTTCAGATGGCGCATTGGCACAGAGAACTACATCTTTTAGAAGATTACTGCATTGAGGAGGCCCAAAACACGCATCAACGACGGCTTTGTGGAGAAGTTCCTCGTGGGTTTGGCGTTGTCCGTTATGTGCTGCACGCATTTTCGGGCAGACGCCGCTGCGGCGACTTCCAATTTTACTTGATCGTTTGGCAACTGACTTCCCTGGCATGCAGCTGTTCGTCATCTCCCTTGACGTAGTGATCGATGCTACCTGGGGGGATATTTCCCGACAACAGACTAGAGAATTTTGGCTTGCAGCCATTCGAGCCCGTTGGGTTGTCGCCATCATAGGTGGCCCACCATGTGAAACATGGTCACAGGCCAGGGAGCGCTCCATTGAGGGACACGACTTTGCTCCCCGAGTATTGCGTGTGCCAGAGCACCCCTGGGGCGTGCCATCCTTGCGATTGAAGGAATTGCGACAGATCAGGGTTGGCAACGACCTGATGGGCTTCATCCTGGAGGCTGTCGTCATGCTCTACTGCGTTGGTGGCGTCGCGGCTCTCGAGCATCCTGCGGAGCCCGCATCTGAGAGTTCGGTCTCAATTTGGAAGACACCAATTTTAGCATTGCTCCTGTCTCTTCCTGGCATTGATCTTGTTTCTCTTGCCCAGGGTCTATGGGGTGCCAAATCCCCCAAGCCAACTTCTTTTGTGGTTGTGAACGCGCCGGATATGAGACAAGCATTGCGAAATTGGCAAATCACCCGAGAGTTGCCAAAGGGCATCTCAATCGGAAGGGATCAAGCTGGAGGCTGGCCCACAGCAGTTTTGAAAGAGTATCCACCATCCCTCAATGGAGGCTTGGCTGCGGGTCTCTTAGCTGCCATTGGACAGTGTGCTCAAGACCCGACACATACTGTCCCAGCAAGTTTTGTGGCGCGATGCGCACCCATGCTGTGTACAGAGTATGGGGAGCACATCGGCCCTGACTTTGCAGGCTGACCACTGAACCTTGTTTTGTTAAGTTCCGATCAGTCTTTTGCTTTATTTGTTTTCGCTTTCTCAGGTTGTTTTCTTACTGTTTTTCTCATGATGTCAGCCGTAGCTGCACGGTTGAGCTGACAGCCTGGAATTCATGAGCAGGCCGCCGCGTCGAGTTACGCATCTGTGTGCCAGAGCCAAAAAAATATAATATTATATTATCATACTAGTTATCATACCATTCTGATGTTATCCATTAATTATACTAGTAACTATCGTTCATTATGGTTACATCCACTATATTATAATATGTATCATTATGTTATTGATATGTTATACTCTGGGTAAATCATAGTAACCCCACGCCGTGACCTCACTGGAATCATGGTCTTGATTGCGGGGAATCATCCCCAATAATATAGCCGAACTTTTCAGCTTAGTGAACTATTGTATAATTTTCTCGGGATCCAGGTTAAGGGAATCATCTCAGAATAGCCCAACTGTTGAACTTAAGTGGGCCACTCTTAATGTTGTAGTTTCGCCATGTTTCTTCTATGTTCGTATGTTTTATTGAATCCCATCTTGAGGTGTTGACATTATAATACACACCATATGGGGGTTTCCTGAAATGGGGGTACCCCAATAGCTGGATGGTTTATGGAAAATCCTATTAAAATGAATAATTTAGGGGTATCCTAATTTTAGGAAACCTCCATATGATGTATACAAATATGTATATAATTGTGTAATATTGTGTATATATACATATATATATAATATATATATATATTCATATTCATGTTCATGTTCATATTCATATCCTAGTTTGACATTGTTTCCGATGTTGCAGTAGATATGTTGGCTAAGCTCCTCGCGTCTTGCACAGCCATCAAAAGCATGCCTTGGTTTCTGCTCGGTGAAAGCGAGCTGCTAAACTCATCAGATACAGGGTGATGGCAACTTGTGTGCATCACCATCCCCAATATTTGTATGTATAATATATATATATATACCCCCAGGCCGGGGTGCCGCCCAGAGGTTTATCATGAGACCAACTCTTTAGGGTTTGTTTAGGGTTTCATGTAGGGTTCCGTTTAGGGTTTGTCCCTTTTTCTTTTTACCACGGCTTCAGTAAAATCTAATAAAATATGACTTTCAAATCTTACTTCGGGTCTTATGTCAGATTTAGGGTTTAGGCTTTTGTGTTTTGGAGACACATCTCGTCAGCCCAAATGGGGCAATCCGCCGAGATCCCCAAATGCATAAAACACAACGGCCCTGCGGCACTGCCCAGTCAAAATACATTTCCCCGGCCAGCACCCCCGTCCTGGCACACACACACATTTATACGTTATAGTATAACATATATACATAGTAGACTTGGTAGACATGTATAGTACATTATATATATATATTATATTTCATGTTCTTTTTGCATACCCACATCTACGCATATGGTCACCAAAGTGACACCAAAGCCCAAAGCGCATCCCTGTGTGTTCAGGCTCGGGCGCAGCGCGCCGAGCATGCATATACGATCGCCGATCTACATGCAGGAAGCCTCAGGAAATGGCCCGGGATTTGAAGGATAAAGATCACTGTGACGTCACTGGAATGATGGTTAGGATTGAGGTAACTATCCCCAGGCCATCTTCATTCATGTGAGCGAAGCATTTTTTTCCAGATAAATGATCATCGATGAGGGCATGGACTACATTTTGTTTGTCTACTTTTTTGTTTATTCAAGATGAACATGCTGGCCTCATAATGATTTGTTGCCTTTTGTTGCTTATAACTGTATCACAAGATCCTCTCTGTCACTGACGAGTGATATCGGCTTTCACCCCATGATGGATCAATGGTTTCACCATATTTTTTGCAGGTCCAGGTCCCCATAAATTGTGTTTTTAAACAGCGTCCCCCATCAATTACCGAACGGTGGTGACATCCGCATTGTAATGTCCATATTATAGGTATTATATATTATGTAATGTCCATATGTAATGTCCATATGTAATGTCCATATCACCTATAGCTATCTGTTTTTTGTGTCATGAAATAAACACCATCACTATGATCTCATGATCTCCATGGGATCCATCCAGCTGACTATGGAACTTTTTGGAACCCCCATGGATATCTCCATGGATATCTCCATGGATATCTCCATGGGTCTCCATGGGTCCTGAAGTGTGGGGACTTCCAGGCTCATGATCTCACGAAGCAGCTGGCAGTACTGCTCCATGACAAGAATAGGCAGCGGCCATTTTTGTCGACAGTAGAAGCCGTCTGAGTCGGACTTCACGAATTTACCCATGTCTACCCAACTTGTTTACTAAAGTTTATATTTACTCATTGCCCATAAAACTATTCAGAATTGGATGGTTTGATACACAGTAATTCAGACATGAAACGATACCGGTAGGTGGCAACTTCAGATATTTTTTTTTGCAGAATTACAAGGAACCACGTGGATTTGGTCAACATGTAAGACCTAGTTTTTGAACCGCAGATTTGCTGTTCATTGTTGGTATTAAGCACGTATTAAGCACAAATATTAAGCATATAAACAGACTTGGGATAGCCATGACCCAATTTTTCGTGACCCGAAAACACCAGAATCTTCAGAGGGATCAACCGCTGGGATTTTGGATGATGCACTGCGCTGGGGATCGGTGCCGTTTTACCAAAAAAAACGGTTTTTGGATTGGCTTGGAGTGTGTGAATTTGTCATGATTTGTCATGATAGATTTGTCTTAAGATGGCTGTCTTAAGATGGCTGTCTTAAGATTTGTCATAAATTGGTCAGGATTTTGAGAAATGTGGTGAACAAAAAGAGCCGATCAGTACCCTCTTGCTCACACCAAAATAGCTGAGAATGGGTGTGTCCAGAATGTAAAATCCCAAGTTTAGGGCAAGCTTGAAAGCGGGAACATGATGACAATGATTTAAACCATTGGACTTTAGGGATTTGGGGCATTTGCAAAGAAACCCAACATATCCCAACATCTTATGTTGATATGTTTAAATGGGTCAAAACCTATTATCACTATATATTGGGGGGAACACACATCCATTACCCAGCCATTTTTCGGGTACCTAGGCTGATAATCTTCAACCTTCGACCATCGATGAGTGGGACCGGGGGTAAAACCACCAGATCACTGTTATATCCATTGATATCCTCTGAAAAAAAACAGTGTATCCCCATATTTGTTGCTTAAATCAGTCAAATCCCATGGGAATTCTGTGTTAAATCAATTTAACTCCCATAAAATCATCATTTTTCATGGTTAAAGTCCTATCAAAAGTCACCGTGATGTTCTTCACTGGCCCGCTGCGCAGGTGGTCCAACGCCAGCCTGGCAGCATCCAGAGCCACCTTCTTCCAGATGACGAAGGCGTCCAGGGAAACAGCAAGAACAGAGGCAGATATCCAGGTCATGTATAGGTGAAAAAACACAATGAAACATACGGGAAATGCAGTTTGATAAGTGATAAGTGACTTTTCTTGGTTGGTGATAGTAGGGCTTTTTTTTTGGCAATGTCATAGATGAACTTGGATTCCCTATGAACATCTTTCCGCAATCATTGTAATGACGGGTTTTGAAAGCTGCCCAAGTTTGGGATAGAAATTCCCAGGCTCAGTTTGGGATTCCATGATTCCCACGGGATATGTCAACAGTCCTTAAAAAAGCACCATCGAACGTTAGCCTCCTGTAAACTAACATAGATGTGATGTTTACCCACCATTTGTAGATCATGTTCCCTGTTTCCCCATGGCTTTTACACATCTGGTTTGAGCGGTTTACTCCGAGCGGTCAAAAGTTGATGCATGGGAATCTCCCAAGTCTCTGTTGGAGAGGCAGCCGAAGAAGAAGGAGAATGGCCTTTGAGTTCAGTGCAGGAGCTGGGCCAATTCTCCCATGGAGTGATGTTGTGAAGTCGCTGCTGTGGTTTCTGGTGCTTCCAAATCACTTCACTAGACATGATTAATTTTATTAATCAATATTAATCCTTTTCAGAGCTACCCTCCAATATAGTAACATAGATAACTATGGAAAATCCACCATCGTTGCAGATCAGTTCCAACCGGTTTTCCCCCACGGCTTTCCATCGCTACTTTTTTGTTTGCTGGGGAACCCCCTTCAGCGGAGAGCTCGTGTCGTCAGGACGTGGTCCAGCAAAATGTGGCCCTGCGCAAAGCCCTGCGACAGTTGGAAGCCAGGCCAGGGCGATGGGATGGGCCAGGGACGATGCCCAACGATGCCCAACGATGTGTTGAACGCCCTGCAGACGTGTTGAATTTTTAGCCTCTGGTAACTGACATAGATGTGCTATATGGGTATGGATCAATACCTATTAATACCATTTTTAGTGGGATGAACATCCATTTACCAGCTATTTTGATGTTCACCAGGGGTACAAGGTTTTGACACACTGCCACATAGATGGGCTATATATTGGCCCAAAGCTTGATAGCCAGGCTGTCTAAGTTGAACGCTGAAAGAAATCCTGCATTTCTTGGTGGAAAATCGCCTGGTGCCGACGGCATTTTCATCTTGGACTGGCAGGATTGATCAACTGCATTTCAGTAGCAACCATGGGGATGAAACCACAGTTTCAATAGGATGCATCCAATTATCTACTGGTTTGGGCGATGTCATAAATAGGTGTTTCATGGTTTTTCAACTTTCCACCAGGTATACCTGTGAGATTCTTTGATGCTTCACCAGGGATGCTCCAGATTGAGGCGGCCTTGCCCAGTGGCAAGCGTAAAGCCCTGTCATTGCCATGGTCTTCGACAGTGGCTGACCTGCTGCAGTTGGCACAGAGAGCTTTCCAACTCGATGGCTTGAGACTTGCTGTCCCAGACGGACATCTACTGCGTCCCAGGGATTCCTTAGAGACTACTGGGATTCAACAGGGAGACTGCGTGGCAGCTGTGGTTGTGAAGCCACAGTTGGCGGCCAATGGCCATTCTTTCGCATTGTTTTGGGAAGGTTGCAGGCTGGTGACATGGGGACATCCAGACTATGGTGGTGACAGCACTAGTGTCCAAAATCAGCTTCAGAATGTACAGAGCGTTCAGTCCACAGAGCGTGCCTTTGCTGCAATCCTACAGGATGGAACGGTTGTCACGTGGGGAGATCAAACTGCAGGTGGTGACAGTAGCGCAGTCCGAGATGAGTTGAAGAATGTGCGGCAAGTTCAGGCCACAGAATGTGCTTTTGCTGCAATCCTGGATGATGGAAAAGTGGTTGCATGGGGCCATCCATCTTGTGGTGGTGACAGCAGAGCAGTTCAAGAATGCTTGAGAAACGTACGGCAAATTCAGGCCACAGATGCGGCTTTTGCGGCAATGTTGGCAGACGGACAGGTGGTGAGCTGGGGGAGTCTACTCCTGAGCAGAGGACTTGAAGACCAGCTGCAGAATGTCAATGTTCAACAGCTTCAAGCAGCTGAACTTGGCAGTTTCGCTGCGATTGGGACAACTGGGAGGGCTGTTGACTGGGGACACCACACCTTGTACGTTGGGAATCCGGTTTTTGATCAGCTCGAGAATGTGCGCGAAATTCAGGCAACAAGCAATGCTTTCGCTGCAATCTTAGCAGATGGAACGGTGTCTACTTCAGGCTTTAGCCGGTTTGGTGGAGACAGCACAGCAGTTCAACATGAGCTGCGAAATGTGCAACAGCTGCAGGCAACTCATTCAGCTTTTGCTCTCCCTCGACTATGCCAAATGCTTTGACATGGTCGACCCTGAATTAGGAATCATGTGCCTCCGTCATTTCGGCTGCCCCAATGAAATCCTTTTTGCCCTTCGTCAAGTTTGGGATCAGAACAGATGGCTTTGCTTCAGGCGGGATTGCTTGCCCAATCCTGTGCATGTAACCACTTCCATTCCTCAAGGAGACGCTATTTCCCCGCTCACTCTCCTGGCCCTGCTTACTGGCCTCACAGGCCGTGTGTTGCAAGAAAGAACTGAACCCCACACTCTGGCGACTTTTCTGGACGACAGAAACTTAGTCGCTAAAACGCCCGAAGATGCGGCAAAGCTGTGGAAAACCTGGAAAGAACTTTCTCCTCGTGTGGGGCTTCAAGAGAATGATGCCAATGTGCAAGTGGTTCCTAGGGCAGCTGACTTCAAACCAAGACTGCTCCAGGCTGGATTCTCTGAGAATCAGATCGCTGACTCTGCACGGGTCTTGGGGGTCGACATCACTGCGCGCCTGAACGCAACTCATCGACCCACAAAGGAAACTCGAATCCAAGAAACACATGCTAGACTTGAGCGCATTGGTTTGTTGCCAGTTTCTGCAGATGTTAAAGCCGCTTTGACTTGCTCTTTGGCCATTCCCAAGGCTGTGTGGGGCCTGTGGCTCACGCCGTTTTCGGCCAAACCTTTGTCCACGCGCATCAAAAGAATTTCAGGGGGCCAGCATGTCACATGTTCCACCAACTTGTTTTTCTTGCTTGCCGGGCACGGTTTGAATCCCAATTTTGCTGCAGGTTTTGGCGCCTACATCTATTTGGCTGACATTGTGCGGCATCATCCCAGAACATGGCCGAACACCTCACCCCGAGGCACGTGGCTCGGCACTGTCCGTCAGTGGCTGCTCGGCCTTCAATGGCAGGAGCAGGGCGCATGGACATGGGTCCACCCAGAAGTCAACTTTTGCATTGATTGGAATCAACCCATTAGTGTGGATATCAAGCAAAAAGAACATCACGCATTGAGGGAGACTTGGAGAAGACAGCAGTTATCAGCAGTTTGCACTTTTCATGTCCAGTGGCCGCCGCGATGCCGCTGCGGTGCAAGATTGTGTTTACAATGAATCACGTGTCGCTTGTGCCCGCAAGATCTTCAGATCTTGCAATACGCACAGCCGAGCCTGCATGATTGGCGCAGTTGTTTCTGATGCCCGTCTTGACAAAATTAAGAATCCAGATCATCCTCCAGCGCCATGCTCCTGGTGCTCAACTGGTGATGTGCCCACCTGGCATCACCTTGCGTGGGAATGCTCTGCTTTTAGAGACACGCGTGGCGCTGTGCCACAAGATCCTTTGCAAAGAGTACTTGGCTGGCCGTTTGGCCAAGACCACCAGACTGATGCATCCGTTCTTGAACACTTGGGCAACGTTCGGGAGCGAATGCTTGATCGCCGATATCGCGGCAACTAAGGATTCATTCTTCGGGTGATGGTGTCTACCTGGCCCATTACCTTCCAAAACAAGTTTCTTTTGCTGCGATCCGGGCAGATGGAACGGTGGTGACCTGGGGCTCACCATTCCATGGTGGCGACTGCCAGAGTGTCCAGCAACAGCTGAGACATGTGAAAAAGGTGCAAGCGAGTCGGGCAGCTTTTGCTGCCATTCGGGCAGATGGAAATCTGGTGACATGGGGCGATCCAGACTCCGGTGGGGATAGCTCTTGCGTGCAATGCCAGCTGAGGAATGTGCAGGTGCAAAGCACATCTGATGCATTTGCTGCAATCCTTGAGAATGGTACCGTCATTACATGGGGTTCACCTAAACGTGGGGGTTGCAGCATGCAAGTACAAGATCAGCTGACACATGTGGAACAAATTCAGTCCACTTTGGGTGCTTTTGCTGCGATTCGCTCAAATGGCACAGTTGTTGCTTGGGGCCACCCTGAGTTTGGGGGTGACAACAGTGCTGCGCGTACCAATGTGTTCGCTCTTGTTTAGACCCTTTGACTTATTGACAATGGGCTACACAGACCGAAAATTGCGATGACCAGATACTGTATTGGTCATTTGGTAGTTTGCGAATATTTGTATTACACTAGTCAGTACTGGTATTTATGACAACTAACATACTAACATACACCAGTCTCCAAATATGGGTCGTTTGCGAATCAGAGCGATGGTTTCCAGACCCAGATATTCCCATACAGCTTCCACAGGTTTTCCAGCAGCCTTGGATGGCTAGTTGGACCACCTTTAAAAACTTTAGTTCTTTGCAATGAATGGAACATATGGAAAATAACAATCACCAGCAATATGGAAACTAACATCCTTTAGTTTCATGCTTTGAACATGCAAAAGATATACCCTCTGGTGAACTAACATAGCAATGGAAAATCACCATTTTTAATGGGAAAATCCACTATAAATGGCCATTTTCAATTGCTATGTTAGTTCACCAGAGGGGTAGTTTTTTTTTTTTGTGGCTTGTCATGTGGATTTTTGATGTTCAAACTTCGTTCAAACCATGAAAACCACATCTTTTGGGTCCTGGAAATCCACCACCACTGCAGGTGCCAGGAAGAAGATGCCAAAGAGAAGGACAAAATCAGTGCATTTTTGGCCGTGGACACCGGATGACACAGGATGACACAGGTATATCAGAAATGGCTAAAAAACATAGGATGTTCATCCGCCAGAGGTTTTTTTTGGGCAATTTGAGGCATCCGCAGTGTCTATTTGTTTACATGTTTTTAGGTGCAGCAGTGAGAATCACTCCAAATGGTGGTTGAATGGTGGCCGTTGCCCGCTAGGAAGCCATGGAAGATCGGGAGCAACAACTGGTGCCTGGGCGATGAAATTGTTTCCTGGATGTTCATATGAAGTCCGGAACGTTCCGGCCTTGTTCTATGAATCATGTCCATGCTACGATATTCTAAAAACAAAAAAACCTATTATATAATACTATATATATCGTATATATATATATATATATTACATAGTAGATATACTGTATTATATTTACATATTTTGTATGACACCAAATTGAAGGTCCCAACCCCGTTGATCATTCCAGTCATCATTCCGTCTTCGCTCCATGGCGATGTCAGGAAGGTGAGTTGGAAAAGAAGGCGGAAGAACTCCAGGAACTGACCAGCCAGCTGCAGGAGCCGACAGATGGTGGAACATATCACTGGTTGGTGGTGACTGGAACCATGGAATTTTGATGACTTTCCATTCAGTTGGGAATGGAATCATCATCCCAACTGACTTTCACTCCATCATTTTTCAGAGGGGTAGGTATACCACCAACCAGATCATGTCTTAGTCAAAAGTGAACACGACTTGGAAAGGGATGAACGTTTAAACATGTTTAAACCATGGAATCCACATGGCCAGTTTTTATGGGATATGGCCATGTCGTGAATGGCCAGGGGACATCGAACCAGTTCCACACTGTTCGATGCCCATCCTTTTTAAGCAGCAACATGGGGGCTATATGACTGCTATATTGCTGCCCCACAATTGTGGGATATTGTGGGGGCACCCAACCACAAAAAACCTAGCGTTGATGATGTTAACATGTTTGCTGAAATCCTATATGAATACTCTTAATGCCACACATGGAACCATCATCACTGGTCCAGCATCAGCACGTCTGGGCTAGATCACCATTTCACAGCAAATTCCATTGCCATTTGAGCAGTGTCGAAGCCTTCTGCATGATGGATAATATACTTCATCATCCTAATGAAACCAGTTGGTATGACCCCAAACATAACCAGCCAACCAGCATGTAATACCTGCGACATCCTGCGACTACATCTCAAAAAATGTTGATATCAACCCAATTTGTGCATATATGTATATATATATATATACGTATATTTATTTGAATTGATTTGAAATTAATATATGTTGTATGGATCTCCTACTGTGTTTCTATCACATATACGGACTTGGATCATTATATTGCCCAAATATTTGAGTACCCCAGAATCGAGTGGTACAATCATCGTACAGAAAATTGGGTTTACCCTCTGTCCGGAGAAACATGCTACTTAAATCGCATTTTTTCATGGTGAACCCGTGTAAATTCCCGTCTTCTATGGGTTCTATACCACATTTTTGCTGGATCCCTTATATACATAATATAGCCAGTTAAATTTATGCAAATCACCATGCTCGATGATTGCATCCACAAGTCTGTTGGTGAAATCACCAGTAAAGCCAATTAAATCACCATTAAATCCGATTAACTCACCATTGCATAAATCCAATTAAATCACCATTGAATCCCATTAAATCACCATAAATCACTGTTAAATCATCATTAAATTCCGCTGAATCCCACTTAATTCACCATTAGAAAAAGAAAAGCGTCAAATCACCATTAGATTACCATTACACAAAGATCACAATCAAATCATCATTAAAAAAACAAAACTGGTTGGTGGTTTGGAACATTTCTTTTATTTTTCTATATATTGGGAATGTCATCATCCCAATTGACTAGAATTTTTCACAAGGTTTTTTTCACCACCAACCAGAAAAACAGATGTCATCCCCAAGACTTTTGGAGCACCGCCAGGAGCTCAAGGATGCTGTGGAAGATGTTTCACGGCATCGCGATGCTGCGCTGCGCAAGGTCAAGACTTTGGAGGCGCTGGAGCGTCCCCGGCTTTGGATGGGGTTTGTGTCGGTGAGTTCATAGATTTTGATGGGCATGTTCTTGGATTTTAACGGTGATTTAAAATGGTGATTTAATGGCGATTCAATGATGATTTAATGCCAATTTACTGTGATTTTACAATGATTTAACGGATTGTATGGTGATTAATGTGAATTTTACCATCATTTTATCGTGATTCTTGGGGATTTAACCAACATATTTTTTTACAGATCTAGTGTGAAATCCCCGAAGTAGAGCAAAACATGCCGTTTTTTATAGCAGCCAAAAATGGCTCCAGTGTTCAGCATTTGTGGGCTGGTCTTAAATTTGGGCCAAGCGGCCAAACGCCCACGTTGTCCTGATCATCTGATCTGGTAAAGATGTTCTTGTGATTCATTTAGGTGGTCCTTGGTTTTTGCATTGATCACGTCCTTGGTTTTTGCATCTCTTCCATCAATTGATCAAACATCGCCATGAATTCACCATTGAATCGCCATGAAATCACGATAAACTATGATAAAATGATGTTTAAATTCACATTAATCACCATAAAATCCACATTATATCAATTATATCCAAGTATCATCGAACTATCCAACGGAAAATCCTCATTTCTCCATCTCCAGACCGTTTCCTCAATCACATGAAAATTCTCCAACCAGCCATGTCAGAGTATGGGAGGGCTCAATCAGGAATGAACAATTGGACACCTGAAAATCACTAGGTCACTACTAGTAGGTAAGACTAGGTCATTCATTCATGTTTCTCTTCGGAAATCATGTAAAACAACGTATCCATTTCTGGGGACGCATTTGCCCATCCCATCCCATACCCTCCCCTGGCTGTGCTGGCTGAATTCCACCAGGCTGCTCAGGCGGCGTTGCCTCCCAGAAGCACAGGAGAAGATTGGGAAAATCATGGAGATTTTTGGATCAATGGCCATTTCAGGAACCGATTGATTGGAGGTACCTACCATATATTTCCATATATAAGGCCTATATTTCAGGGAATTCCCAGTATTTTTGGATGAGCTTTGCTGAATCGTTTCGAGGATTATGTTAACGATGTTCTTTGGGTGGAACATGGTCGGACGTTGCGTTTTCGATGATTCACCTGGATGATTGGACGGACTGAACATAACTCGGCAGAGCACTCAGCACATACTCAAGTGATATGCCCCAGTTGTGATGTGTTTTTGGTGATTTTGTTGGATCTAGATAACTGGATGGGTAGTTGTTCTGCCCCAAAGGTACCGAAAAATATCATCAAAACAGCGACGGACCAAGAGCACCTCCCAAAATCCTTCAAGAGATCGAGTATGATTGTACATTCTTGTCCTTTCATCCCATCATGGAAAGATATCATCATCATCATCATCATCAATGTGGTTAATGATGGTTATATAAAGTTATAGAATGATTATTATTAGTAATACCACCTATTCCCAGCTGATGGTTATTAATGGTGTTTTTATTGCCAGTCTGACAAAGCGGTCGCAAAAATAAACCACCTCCAAGTGGAGGATCGGAGCATCACGCGGCGCAGGCGTGAGGCTCTCAAAACGGACAGCAAAACATGATGGGTTTCACCATCTAAGAGGGGGATCTTGTGTGAGGATATGATCGGTATTTATATATATATATAATTATATCTAAACCATAAGGAAAACCAATAATCGCTGGTATAATATATAATCTATAAATAATCACGAATTCTATAAACCTGTGGTATCTATAAACCAATATAATGACTGGTTGCTGGTATCAACGAATCACAGGTCAGAACTAGGATGATCCTCAATGATTTTGGCATGTTCTTCGCATTTTGCTCAGAGGCTCAACCACCAACCAGCTGGGTCATGTACCTTGCCTTGACCTAAAATTGACACAAGAAATACATATAGAAATACCAATGAAGTTCGGCCATTCGTGGTGTGGTATTCCTTTATTTTTGGATGAAATTAAAAAAATAACTTCTGGTAATCAACCATGGCTTGCTGGAAAATGTTCATTTAGTTTGATGACTTTCAGGTAAAGCACCATTTAGTTCGTGGATTTTCCAGCTTGCCATTTTTGATAACACCAGAGGGCATGTCCCATTCATTTACCGTCATTTACCCATTCTTGATTGTTAAATTCCTATGAATCACAAGAAAATCCCATTAAATCATATTACTGTCTTGAGAACCGCGCCACTTTTCCAAACCAAAATGCCTGCGGTACACAGGTAGATACACTTCTGCTATGATTTGTGCGTGTCATCCATCGCACCTGACAGACTCCCCCAATCGTGATTCGCACGATTCGAAGGACAGATCGGCTCCCTGCCGAAAACGAATTGAATTTGAAATTTGAATTTCAAGACAAAATTAAAGGACCTAAAATTGTAGGCTCAAGGCATTTTATCCTTATGATGGTTTCGCCATTTTTTGTACATCTTTGACATCTGTGCCGGCGACCATCCTTTGCCTCTATGTTCATGTTGAAAAAGATTCCATGGATTGTGCAAATTCAATTTTGACTCTGCTCCAACCCCAAGTGCCTCGCTCACTTCAGCTGCTCGCTGCTGCAACGCTCGCTCAACTCCGCCATCGGCAGCAGCACGCCCAGAGATTTCTGCCACAGCAGCCAAGGCCTGCTCAAGGCCAGGAACATCCGCCAATGAGCCAGCGCTGCTCGACGATGAGGCCTGCACAGGGCCAGAAACCGCAGCAGCAGCAAATGAATCAGCACCGCACCAAGGAAGGGCCTGCACAGGGCCAGAACTGCTCGAAGATGCTCCAGTGGCCTGCCCAGGGCCAGCACGCACAGCAGCTATGGAACCTGTAGTTGTAGATCTTGTGGCCTGCACAGGGCCAAACACCACGCTGCTCGTTGAAGACTCAGCGCCAAGGGCCTGCTCAGGGCCAGAACTGCACATAGATCCAGCAGAGGAAGCCTGCACAGGGCTATAGCTGCTCGACGTGCCAGTTCCATTCGGACGCATCACCACAGAGGCCTGCTCAAGGCCAACATCTCCAGTGCCGCTTGAGGACGCACCAGAGGCCTGCACAGGGCCATATCCACTGAGAGACATCACCATAGGGGCCTGCACAGGGCCAGATCCGCTCGAAGTGCCCGAGCGTCGCCTCAAACTTGATCTCATTTCAACATCTTTGGTAGCGGAGCTTGATGATTCATCACCATCGTTTGAAACAACTGCTTGAGGCTCGCCGACCCATTGCAATCGTCTCAGGCAACACTTCGCTGACATCAATATCAATTTGCCTGCATAGATTGCCCCAAGGATCATCAGCAGCACCGCAGCTATCCACAACGGATCAGCTTCATCGCTCTCGCTTTTCAACTCCAGAGCTGTGGCTTCAGTCAGCAACGCCTGACCAACCAAAAAGCTCATTGCAGAAGCTGCACCAGCATGAACACGTTCTTGGCTGTTACGACTTCTCACTTGAGCCGCACGTACTTCAGGGTCTTCAGGCCGCAAAAACGATGCATTCATGCCAAGGTTTTCAACAAAACGTTGAAATGCAGCTCCAAAAAGAGGCTTTGTAAAACCATCAGCAACCAGGTCAAGGCCACGCACATGGATCAGCTTCCATTGGCCTCCAGCTGCATCAGTTTCATCCAGGGCTTGTTTCAAAAGGCTTGCTCTGATGCGCAAGTGTCTTGTACGCCATGAAGAAGACGTAGTTCCATTGGCCAGTCCAATCGCGGCAATGTTGTCACCATAGATGACTTTCATCACAGCTGTAACACCTGTGAGCTCCATCACCAGAGCTTCAGCTGCTTTGCCAGCGATCAAACCTTCGCAGTAACTGACCAATTCAGCTTCTGCAGTGCTATGTGTCACAAAAGGCTGTTGGCTCGTCTGCCAACAGATCGGCTGGCCACCCAGGCAAACAACTATTCCTTGGACGCTTCTGTGGCCAGAACCTGCTGAGTAGGCTATATCGCAGAAGATCTCCAAGAGCAGGTCACTTCTTTTCACCTTCAGCTGGCCATGGGCGCCCCATTCATCAGGAACTTTTGTTGTGTACCTCAAACCAACGCCAGGGTTTCCCTTGACGTATTTCATCAACGTTGTGCCGATCTGGATGGCTTTGACAGGAGCCTTTGTCATGAGCCTGCTCATTGTTGCAACTCCATGAGCAAGGTCAGGTCGTGTTCGGGAGCTCAACCACAGCAAAGAACCAGCCATAGCTTGAGCTGTCCTGACATCATTTGGGTCAGGGCTTTCTTCAACTTCTTGATCCTCAGCAACTTTGTAGTGAGGATATTCAACTCCTTCATCAACATTCCAACGTTGCAACATCTCCTTCTCGTACATGTGCTGGTTGACATGAAAACCATCGCCTTTGGCATCTTCAGAAATCTCAAAGCCGCAGTATTTGAGAGGCTTGTCAACACCAGCCCATTCCACAGAAGAGGTTGTCCAAACTCCAGAGAGAGCTTGTAGAGCGCCATGAACTGCAAACTCTTCACCAGTGACCAAGATGTCGTCCACATACACCGACATGAGGCCATTCCAGTGGATGTAGCCTGATTCATCCAGTTCTTCCAAGCGCCAAACATTCTCATCTTTTGTTTTCTCAAAACTTCCAGTCAGCAGCCCGTTTTGACCTTGCCTTGTCCACTTCAACGTTGGCAAAGCTGCATCACGGTGAAGACACCAGTCACGTGGAGAAGCTTGAAGTCCATACATGGCCAACACTATGAGCCAAACTTCATCAGGTTTTGCAAGGCCCAACATCTTGTAGACATGAGGCACTTCCATTGCAATCAGCCTGGAGTCATCTCTTCTCGGCGCATTGAGGAACGCCGTGCGGATGTCAGTTGAAGCAGCCTTCCACTTGTACTGAGCACTGATCCTCAGCATGGTTCGGATCTGTGTTCCATCAGCTCCACCAGCGTACGTGTTGTCGTCATTCGGTGTCTGGTAGTTGCCACACACCACAGCCCTAGAGCGATATGCTCCAGATCCAGCTTTTCTTGTGTGAACCATCTTCGCTGGGAGAATCTCCAAAGTTTTGTTCTGCTTTTCAGCCATCTTTTGGAGTTCAACTCTTGACATTGGCTTGACAGCCTTTTTGTTGACGACAAGCTGCTCGTACTCGGCCTTGATGGATTCAGTCCAGTCGGCAAGGTTTTCACGAACCTCTTTGTTGCTGACCGTTTTGGTGACCAAAAACTCATGAGTAAGCTGTTGTTGTTCTTCAGCTCGATCTTCATCCGCAAGCAGTTGAATTTGTTCTTCAACTTCAACCTTTTTGACCAGAGCTTTGTTGAGCTCAGGAAGACACCACATTTGTTCAGGGAAGGTGCCATCAAGCTTGCAGATCTCCTCGGCTATATAGTCCGAGACATTGTCGTGGATGGTTTGGAGGGCTTGTATCTTTGACATTCTAACCAGAACATTTCTTGATACATTTGAGGCCGCAGAGCTTGAGCCACCGTCTCTGCTGTTAGGCGCCTCCCCCAAATCCTCCTCCACATCACTTTCCTCCTCCTTTTGATCATGAACTTCATCAGTTTCTGTTTGCCCCCCATCACCATCCTTTTCATCATCATGCCCTGGTAGCGGAGCATCATGAACCTCTTGTTGTTCTTGAGGTGGATGTTGTTGTGCTGGAGAAAGCGTTGTTTCCAAAGTCCATGAACCTTCAGAGGCAACTTCATTGTCAGGCGGCAGCGCAAACTCAAACACACTGCCAAACTTTGCAAGGATGCGCTTCTCCCCCTCAATGTGCAACATTGACATAGTGGCAATTGCTGGTGGCGGAGCTGTCTTTGATCTCAAGCTTCGTGCTGGTACACCATCACAAAAAAGCGGTTGAGCTTGTCTTTCATCACGTTCAGGGAGATATGGCAAAACTTCTCCCCCGGGACCAGCATCGACAGCTGCATTCATGCCATCATCCGCAGGAATCACCACATCATCAGTGTAGAAGCACCTTTCCGTTGCAATTGCTTTGACATAGTATGTTGTTGTGGTTATAGAAGATCCTTCAGCGGGGCCCCACACCACAACTTCTTCTCGGCAATCACGCCATTGAGCGTAGCGATCTTGCCAGCTTTTCTTGAGGGCATAGGCTTTTGAGCCAAACCTCAAAAGTTTTCCAACTGGCCAGCCTGCTTGGTTGAGTTGATTGCGGAGACGTCTTTCTCCAACATGTCGCACCGCAAGAGGCCATCTGTCCAAAGGGCATGCTCCAGCAGAGATCAAAGTGCGGACACCTTTTTTGATCATCCCAACTTCGTTTTCAGCTCTGCCGTTTGTTTTGAAAGCACTGCCTGGTGTCATAGTTTGAACTATTCCACGGTCAAGACACCATTGATGGACAGGTTTTGCCAAAAACTCACGTGCACGGTCACTATGCATTCGGTACACAGGGCAACCCAAAGAGCGCAAACGAGCATAGATCTTGGCGATCGCCGGCAGCACGTTGTGCACATTTCGATCTGCAATGGGCTCTGCAAAAGTGAGGTTGCGCACAGTGACATTCTTGGACTCATTGATGAGACGCATCCAAGTGTCGTGCATTCCATAGGCTGACTTCACGTCTTCATCTTCCACAAGGTCAGGAACCGATTCTTCTTGGACAGGATCAGGTTCATTTTGTGCAACACCTGCAGGAAGACCTTGTTCATGTTGAGCTTCATGGCCCGCTTGTTGTTGATCTCGTTCAACATGTCGTTGAGGTGGTTGACCATCTCCAGGTTGTTGTTCTTGAGGATCACCAGAGAGCTCGGGGTCATCAAGGCCAGGCAATGGGTGATCTTCCTCTTCATCTTGGTCAGGACGCAACAAGAGTGGTTTCCCCTTTTTGTTGACGGGGTATGTGTAAACTCCAACCAAGAAGTACTTGTTGGTGCCAGGAGTTTGGTCCTTGCAACCAGTCATCCGACCAGACATGTCCAAGCTCAAAGTGAAGCTTTCAGGATGACAAACTCGGCGATGTGCTCGACTGCGACCTTGAGAACGTACACAGTGGCTGCAATCTCGACGGGCCGGCATGTGGTCCTGCATGTAGTGTTGCTTCCATTGTTGAAGGGCAACATTTCCGATTGCAGCGACACCAACAGGTCGGACATCGTCATCGGCGTAAACAACGCCATTGGGATCTTCAGATCCTTCTCGTGGAGGCGCTTCACGGCGGATCCACCTGCTGATTGCTTCAGCAACTGCAGCCTTCAAACCAGGTGCCCAAGCCGCCCAAGTTTTTGACATAGCACATCTTTCTTTCACGCTGAGTTCTGGTAGCGGAGCAACTTCAGGTTCAGCTCCACGACCTCGCACATCTTGTAGCTGCATCATCTCATTCATGTTGATCAAGGCCAAGGTGGTTGGCTTTCGTTTTGGGTGTCCAAAAGGCCCTTGATCAAAGGAGATCAGCTTGGCGTTGTAGGCTTCTTGGAAGCTTTTCCATTCCTGAGTTCTCCACATTGAAAAGTACTGGTGCTCATCCACATCCTCCTTCTTGCGGTATTCCGCTGGGTCTTGAGGTTGTTCACAAAGAAATGCAGTTTTAGCTTGTTCTTTTGGACGCACTTCTTCGCAGAGGATGTACATCAGCATCAACCGGAGCCACAGAATTGAGTCATTGGTGACCAATTCAGCTTGTTGTGGAGTCAATGATGGCAAACCGTATGGGTGATCTTCTGTTCGAAGAATTGGTGGACCATCATCTTTTTGAAACCTGAGAGCACTTGTTGTTCTGCATGGAGGGCCTCCAAGTAGAGCTTTGACACGTTTGCTGGCGCACAAGGAAAGCAAAAACGCAAAGGTTGTTTCATCCAAAGCATTTGAAGGTGTTGAGGCTTCCAAGTCCACGCACAGCACCTCAGTGTGCTCATTTGACAAACGCCGCTCCCAGTAAGAGGCATCAGGTCCACTGTACATGTGGATGATCACATTCTTTGCCATCATGAGTCTTTTTCGCTTTCTGCGATTCCATGGAAGGTTCAAGCCGATGTTGGGGTCCGTGAGCACCGAGAGATCTGGGACCAGCTTCAACGCCAAATCTTCAGGCAAAGTCGGCATGACCTCCTTGAGCTTGACAAGCATCGCCATTTCAATGCTCATGTTGTTGCCAAGACCGGCAGCCCCTCTTGTCAAGATAGACTTCAAGGTCATCTTTTTCAGCTCTTGTTGAATTTGATGCTGTTCCAACACCGTCAGCAGCTTTGCTCCAAATTCATGAGCAACGTAGGGACATCCATTGTGAAGTTCCACATTGACCTTGTCTCCAGCTTTTGTGTAGAGATGGCACATGTGGTCTTTCCACACCAACTTGTAGTTGAGCTCGTTCAAGCATCCCATTGGAACGATCCAAGAGGTATTTTCAGGCCGAAGGAGAGGATCTGAAAGCAAAACTTTGGTGCCAGGCTTCAAACGGAGGCTTTCTGTGACACCATCAGCCAACATCACCTGAGTTCTTGTGCCAGACTGCCATTCTTCTTCTGAAGCTGCAGGACGTAAGCCATGTGTTGCACCAGAGTCCAGCAACACCATTTGAGCATGAGGTTGCAGATTTGACAGTCGCATCACTTTCAGGTTTGGCATACGCAGAGACTTCAGCAACTGAGTGGCTTCTGCCAACAGTTCAGTGGTCGCAGGAGTGGCAGCTGGAGCTCCCCCCTTATCCACCTCCGAGGTTGCACTAGATGAAGTCCCAAGGGAGTTACTCTCAGCACCCAGTCCTGGACCATCAGCGCACGTACTAGAAGAGGTTTGATCAGTTGTTGAGCTTGCAACTCCACCATCATGACCTTTTCCAACTGAAGCTTGCTTGACAGCCGCTTTGTTGTTTGCTGCAGCTGCATTTTGATTTCCACGTCCTCCCCCCAAACCAGAGTCATTGGACGAAGGTTTGTTTCCAGAGCCTTTGACGCGGCATTCTGACCTTCTGTGTTCCTTTGAGCCGCATATCCAGCATCTACTGCCTTTGTCCTCTATGTTGTCCCAACTGTGAGACCACTTGCAGTTTTTTCCAGCCTTGCATCCACCATCACTCCTGAAAAACTTGCATGGTTGCTCCGCCATAGGGGTTGACACTCCCTTGCCAGACTTGCCATAGTTGCCAGGAGTGCCTGGCTTTTGAGGTGAGTTGGATGCTTCGGCATCCATTTGCTTGAGTCTCACCGGTGTGCTCGCACTTGTAGACGTTGTAGAAGAGGACTTCAGCAAGCTCAAAGTTTCTGCCTCAGCCAACAAACACTGACTGAAGCTCCAAATTGACTGCTCCGTAGGACGTTGATCCAGTGCAAGTTGTTGTCGGCTTGTGGAAAGCCTGAACGCTGCTTGGGCATCTTCCTTGGCGATCTGGACAACCGCAGCTTCAAGTGCTTTTATCAGCAGCACTCCATCAGGCAAGTTTGGATCCACCTCTCTAGCCCTTGCAAAGTATCGCCGCCATGTTCTCAGAGACGAAGCCAAGTCCTGCATTGTAGATGCCTTTTGCAGTGAGGTCAATTGCCCCAAGAGGATTGCCTTTTCACCTGGTCCTCCTGGTTGATGCCGCACATAGAGACGGAACAAAATTGCCGTACTGGTCAAATCTCGATCCACCACCAACTCCCTCTGCTGCTCCTCGCTCACCGCCTTGAGCAACAAAGTGACGCCCCTCTGCTCCGTTCTGATGAAGCTACTTGCCATCAGTTCATCAGGAAGACGAGGACATAGTTGAACTCGCTGAAGAGGAGATAGACCCTTCCATTCCGTGTAGAAGGCATGTGCTTGCCGCACCGTTGAATCCCACCATCTTCCAGCGACATGAGATAGGTCTTTCATGATTGGCCCACAAAGACAAAGCCAATCTCCAAATTCCAAAGGCGAGGCACCATTTGGCAACGTTGGCAACTCCAACTTTCCGCCACTACCTCCACCAGCAGATTCCCATGATGTTGGCATTGGTGCAACACCCATAGTTCCTTGCCCTTGTGCTCCTTGAAGAGGATGCCCTTGTTGAAAAGGATCTTGAAGCCCAGGGATCGCCGTAGAACCACCTTGCAAAGCCCGATCATGAAGTGCTCCTTCACCAAGAACTGTGCCATGCAAAGCCCGACCATGAAGAGCTCCATCGCCAAGAACCGTGCCATGCAAAGCCCGACCATGAAGAGCTCCGTCGCCAAGCGCAGCACCATGCAATGCCCGATCATGAAGAGCTCCATCGCCATGCACACTCTGCCCAACGCCATGCAAAGCCCGAGCTTGAAGTTGAGGTTCACCAAGCACAGTGCCATGCAGTGTTGAAGCGCCCTGCAAAGAAGCCCGATCTCCATGAACAAGTTCACCATGCAACAAACGCCGCTGCTCCAGTGACGATGCTTCGACAGGCATCGGTGGCAACCCAGACGACCAAAACTGTTGACCCTCTTTCAATGGCCATGCTTTGGAAATTTCAAAACTGTTTCCATCAGTTGCTACTTTTTCCAAAACCTTTTTCAAAGAATTCACTTCTCTCTCCAACCATGCACTTTTCGCTTCTTGGGGTGTGAGAGACTTTTCGCTTGTGGGCTTCCAACCCGGATCACCCATTGTTCCACGCAGTGGCCTGTCCTGGCAGACTTCATAGGCCTTGAGGTCCATCTTTTCCGTCATATCAGACGCAGCATCCGCAGTGTGCGGAATTGGAAACGGAGGCACAGGTGGTGGTGGACATGAAGGCATGCGAACAACATCATCCATTGGTGGAGGCCCATCAGGAATTCGTGTTCCATTGGGAGTACAACGCAACTTGTCATTTTTTTTCACACGCCCATCCCCAGCTAGCTTGACAGGACTTCCATGACCCTGCTTTCTAGTTGGTCTTGGGGACCTACTTGACCACCTTTTTGCACCCATCGCCGACCGCTTTCCAAACGATTCACCTTCCACCACAGTTGACCATGGTGACGAACCTGCAGAAGCTTGATCACCTCGAGCTTCCAAGGCCGTTTTCAAATCAGACACCTGCGTCATCAGCTGCGCGTTCTGTTGACGCAAAAAGTCTACCAGCTCAACTTCGAGGTCTCGCTGCAGTTCATCCACTGCCGGGCGAACACTGCCCACATTTTTCACATGCATACCAACTTCTTCATGTCTCTCAGAACCATGCATAGCTCCCATAGTTTGTTGAACCGTTGGTGGAGTTTCCATTGGCATAGCCCCTTGAGATTGCATCCCGGTTGGTTGCTGGCCAAACCCTGTAGGTCTTTCCAGGCTTGGGGGTGTTGCAAACAAACCAGTTCCATCCCCGCCACGACCCTTCCCAGTTGGTGGCCTTCCATCTTGCACTGGCGGAACTCGCCCTTCATCATCATCATCTGCAGGAAGATGCTTTGGCCTTCTTTCATGAAGCGCTATCTCCTGCTGCAGCCGCTCACTGTAGAACGGGTTCATGCCAGTTCCATCAGCAGCTGCATGATCCCTGCTGCTAGGCAACGAAAGGGACCTCGACATCACAGCGCAGTAGGGTTCCTTGGGCTCATAACCCTTGAGAACCGCGCCACTTTTCCAAACCAAAATGCCTGCGGTACACAGGTAGATACACTTCTGCTATGATTTGTGCGTGTCATCCATCGCACCTGACAGAACTGTAAATCACCATTAGATCTCTGTTATATCATAGAAAATCCCATTAAATCATATTAATTCCTATGAATCACTAGAGAATCCCATTAAATCAACATTATATCACCGTGAAAATCACCATTTATCACATGAAAATCCATGATTCTGGGACCGCTTCTGAGGCCAGCGGAGGACCCCAAGTTGCAGCGTTTGGCCGCGCGAGAAGAGGAGGTCTGAGTCAAAATTGGGGTTTCCATAAATGGAGGTACCCCAATAGCTGGATGGTTAGGAAAAATCCCAATCTATAAATGGATGATGCAAAGGGGTAGCCCCATGACTTAGGAAACACCCAAATTGGGTGCCCCAGTACTTGGATGTTCAATACATGTCAATACTTTCAGAATAGATTCTTAGATGGTTAATAGTAAACAGTTATTGTAAAATACTTAGATGGCCAGATGGTGAATAGTAAGCTTATAGACACATGTCCGTGGCTTTCTGGGTCTTCAATGTTGACCCGTTTTAAGATCGGGGGAATGCTGGAGAAGGCTTGGAAGAATCCATACGATGAGCCATGAATAGGGAAAAAGTAAAACTGCTTGGTGGTTTGGAACATTTGGATTATTTTTCCATATAGGCAGCAAGGGATTCCTTTATCGCCTGTGAAATGAAAGTGAAACTGGGAATAATCATCCCAAGTGACGAACTCATATTTTCAGAGGGGTAGGGTTGAAACCACCAACCAGAAAAGATAGGAAAATCACCCATTGAACATGTGAAGACCTAGTATTCTATGATGCTACGATATGACACATCAAACATGGCTGGATCATTCCGCATTTACTTCGAAGGATTTGTCCAGCTAGAAACCTCCATTTTGTTCGTGGATTTACATGTGGATTTCCAATTGCCATGTTCCATCCCAACTGGAACATGTTCCCATTATAAAACTTCCATCTACAGTGGGTTCCCAATCATCCGATCATTTTTCTTGATTATAAAATCATAAAAATAAAATCATTAAAATCACCATACATATTAATCCCCATTAAATCACCATTAACCATAGTGAACTATAGCCCATAAATCCCCATTAAAATCACCATAAAATCCACATTTCTGTTGGTTAAGTCCCCATTAAAATCACCATCAAACCCCACAAAATCTCCGTGTTTTGCTGGGAAAAAAAATCACCAAGCCATCCTGTCCAGTTGCGGACCCAAGTCCTGGAGCTGCAGAAGTCGAGCAGCCAGGCGGTGTTGCTGAATGGTTAACTGTTTGTTGAATGGCTATCATGCTCATATTCAAACTTTAGCCTTCACAACAAAAAACACCAACCAAGAAACCTAAAAAGGTATCCTAAAGTTTTTTTTTTCAAATTAAGGTATAAATTGATATTAAGCTATATAAATCCCATCCAATTCCCATCTCATCATCTTCTTGGGTGGTTAATTTTTGACCGTTCAGGACGCCCGTCTTTTGAGGCCTCCTGCGCCTTGGCCACCGCAGAGGCCAAGTTGGACTTTGAACGGCAGCGCCGCGGCGACGCGGAGGCGCTCGTGGCTTTTTTTGATGGTGGATATATGGTGGATATGTATAGATATGTATAGTTATAGGGGATATATGGTGGATATATGGGATATGATGGATATATGGTGGATATGATATATGGGATATAAGGAAAGCCCATTCTTTTTTGGGGGAATATATGGGAAATGATGTGGGAAATTATATGGGAATTTGTAGATCTATAATTCTGGGAAATAGATGTCAAACCACTGAAAGAACTGAGACATGAATGAATGGTGATTTTTGTGATTCCAGTAAAGGGTTATTAAATATGAATTAAAGGGAATAAACCATAGATAGAACTGGGGAGTGTATAATATTGTATCATTAATGGTGATTGTCCACTTGCCATGTAGGACATCCAAGTACCAGCATTGTGATTTATACCATCAACAATTGGAATTTGCCCATCAAAACGGGTGCATTTAACGAACAAAGCAAATGGCTTCATGTAAAAACAAAAGTACACCAACAAAAATGGTGTTTCAAACCAGTTAGAAGTTATACATTACAACTGGATTATTTAGTAACTCATATATAGCCCCGTTATCTTTGGCAATTGCCTAATATGTTTGTTTTGCAAATTCTTCCACCAGTTGACCAACTGGAGATGGATCTGACACATTTTTCATCATATTTCACCAGGAGAGCTCGAAGCAATTGAAACGTGAAGTGAAAGAGGTCCAGGAGCGTGTGAATCAGCCACTGGGCCGGGAAGTGGAGTCAGGTGGAGAATGGCCATTGAACTCTGGGGCAATGGCCCAACAAATGGTGCGGAAAGCAGCTGTTTTCGCTATTGAACAAATGACATAGCCAAATTTGAGGCTTTCATATTAATGGTTATCAATTATAGATTTAGCAACATACCGTATCTACATACTTATTATTAATTATAGCCTATCTTTTGGAAGTAGATTCCCCTTTTTGTTGATTAAACCATCTATATCAAAAATGGTTTGATATCGCCCACAAAGTCATCTAATATTGGCCCTACACAGAACTACTAAGTTAAACCATCAATCAAGTCAATGAAGGCGGCGCTTCTAAAATCTCATTGATTATGAAAAAAATGTTCAATAAGCTCTACCCTCTGGTAATTTAACATAGCTATTGAAAATGGCCATTTATAGTGAGTTGTCCCATTAAAAATGGTGATGTTCCATAGCTATGTTAAATTACCATAGGGTACACAATACCGATGGCTTACCTTCCATACAAACTGGTTCCACTGCCGAGGCAAGCGAAGTTCATTGAAGACCTGCGAGAAGAGAAGTGCATTGAGGTGCTGTCTTTAGTGACGGTCGGACCTGAAATAAAGATTTGGGTACCATTGCATATCTACAATCTACATATGTATGATTGTAGATCATATTTTAAGTTCATATAATATACCTCCTATTTGTTTCACTCTAATCTGTACGTGCAGTCAGATAATGTGCATAATTCTATGAGTCCCATATCTTATTTATATATATATTTATATATATATATTTATATTTATATATATTTATATTTATATATATATTTATATATATTTATATATATTTATATATATATTTATATATATATATATATTTTATATATTTACATATATTTATATATATTTACATATATATATATGTATATATATATATATATTTACATATATTTATATATATGTATATATATTTATATTTATATATATATATATTTATATGGAAATCCTTGTTGACCAACTCTTCCAAAGCGCCAAAGCTTCAAGGAGCGAAAGCTTCGCGAAGCGCAGCACACCCTTCAGAGCGCGCAGAGTTCCAAAGGCAGCATGGGAGGTCACCAGGAAAACTGAATGGGTAGTGGAAGCCCTACAATGTGGGGCCCCCAAGTTATAAGTTGGTTTATAAACCCCCATAACTATAGTTATAAGTACCATAAACATCCATAAACCACAGTTATTGGAGTTATGTGCACCAACTTAGCTATCTTGGGGGCCCCACATTGTACAATAGCAGAAACAGATATTGTATTTTGTAATCGACATATATGCAATTAATATAAAGATTGTTTTTCTTAGCAGAGTGATGATTTATTTGTGTGTTTTTACGATTCATGTTTTTTTTATCCAAGAGTTTGTCGATAGACTCGCCAGGAGAAGTGGAGTCCATGTTGAAGGCAGAAGAATCGAAGGCGGGAGAGATAACCCACTAAAGGGGAGATATCATGGGGTAGAATGGGTGAAGAAATATTGACCACTGGTTGATGGTTGAGAAACCACAACTGGTTGGTGGTGACTGGAACCATGGAATTTTATGACTTTCCATACATTGGGAATAGTAACCCCAACTGATGAACTCATATTTTTCAGAGGGCTAGGCTCAACCACCAACCAGATAAAATTGGGATATATTGGGATGATGATCTCAATTGACCCTGAAAAATGTGGGCTTTTGGTCACTTGACATTCCAGAAATCTTTGCCAAGTGAAGAAATCCCAGCACAGGGACGGGAATTCGAGAATAATAATTCCAGAACAAGCTTCTAAAGAGATAGCCCAAAAAAACGTGGTAGGGAGAGGCATGCTTAAATATATATATATATATAGACTTGAAGTTTGGAAGGCCCCTTGTTTTTTGTTGCAGCATATCTATCTCTGACATGTTTTATCATCCAAAAAGAAAAACATGTCCATTTGTCCCCCCAAAAAGGATTGCTGGTGAATTTCAGGGTTAATCCTTCATTTTCAGTGCGTTGTGAAAACCGGAGGTCTCCACTTTGGAGAAGAGCCATGCAGTGCTGCAGACGGAGAAGCAGTTGTTTCTTGGGCGCTTGATTTTGTTTCTTTAGTGGCTGGGGTATTCCAATGGATCAGATACGGAATTTTGGGGGATTTCAAAGATATTTATAGGATTTTTGAGAATCTCCAGATAAAAAAGAAACAAAATCAGGGATGTTCAGAATTTGTTGATGGATTTCCATGGATTCTGTGATTTCGACGAGACGATCTTCAAGAACTGAGGCTGGAGCGTGAAGTGGCCGCCCTGCAAGTCAGGCGATGATGGTTTTTGGCCCTCATGCGGTGAGAGTCGTAGCTGTCTGTCATCTGGCAGTCCATGTTTTCGTGGAGTTGGAATTCAAAGATCCAAAAGATCAAGATGGAGTTGGATTTGGATGGTTTTCGGAAGTTGGTTCTTGATGGATGTTGAAGGTTTCCAAATGCGAAGACGCGAAGACCATGGATGTGCCATGAGCGCATCCAGTGCCAGGACCAGCCAAGAGCGAGAAAGTTTGAAGAGAGATTTGGAGGTGCCATTAATGGAGGAACCACTGATGGTTGTGGACTAATGGGTCACCACTGATGGCTATATGAAAATACCACTGGATGGTTTATAATGGCGATCTAACATTATTAACAACGGTATATGATCTCAAATAGGGTCCAGGGTGGCATTCTATTATCAGACAAAGCCACATGACACATCATGAAATATTCCACTTACCAAGTCTTAAATTCCTGTTCACTGACCATGTACGCATTGGCAAGATCGTTCAAGATCACCATGGTCAGTAATCCCATTCCCCAATATTAAAACAGCCCTTAAATGGTCCAACACATGTTTTGCAATTCCCTGCTAGACCATTAGTATTTTGGAGTTGGTTAATATGAACAGGGAATAGGATTAGATTAGTTGGTTATATATCCCATGATATGTATAAATATTAGATACCCATTAACCCCAATCAACACAGACCCTTAAGTTGGAGTGTGTTACATAAAATGATTGGAGTATGTTACAGACTAATCCCAGCCCAAAGCACATCCCAAGTACATCACCATTACGTTACCATTAAACCACAATATTAGATATCCCCACTACATCACCATCACATTCATATGACCAGTCCCCCATTATGTGTTCAAAAAACGCTGCTATCTTTCAGAAATATTAACTGTTCCATTGATAAAAATGGACCTTTCTGATCTACTACCTTTATCCACTTGGCAAGGAACAGTACAAGAAGCAGGAAGATCTCGTTTTGAACTTATCCAAGAAGAGTCAAGAGGACATGCAAAGACTGGAGGCCCGGACACCTCAGCTGGTCAGAGGCATCCGAAAAAATCAACGGAGAATTCATCATCCGATGTGGGTGATTAATGGTGTTTATCATTTATCACAATGTATGTGTTGTTTTTTCTCTATATATCATATCATATATCTGGATGATGATGTTCATAACATATCAGAAAGTTCCACCAATAGGTGTATTTGTCATGCCAATGTGCTAAGTTCCAAAATACTTTGGTGGTTTGGAAGTATGATATCTTGATTGGTGGTTTCAGAATAATGTACATCATCAATGAGCTTCGAGCTCAGAGATTGAGCTAAGTCTTGCCAAGGGCAATGTTATTGTCGTTGTTCAAAGAGTCATGTATTGGTCATGAGGATCTTGACAAGCAATTTATCGGTAAATTAATGTGTGTGTGCGTTTAATATTTATATATATATACTGTACATATATAGTCGTTCCATATAGTTATATATATATATAGTGTATAGTAGTATAGTAATTAATCTATAAGGATTAATTATATACCTATATTATTGTATACTAGTGTAATATATAGTGATATATACCTATAGTGTATAGTATATAGTATAGTATCAATCTATTGTGTATTTTCCAAAATGCTGACCATGCTGACCCAAGTTTTTGCTTCTCCATCGACGCCAGGCCACGCTGAGGGAAAGCCGGGAGCAGGCATGTAGCCCAAGCCGTGTTTCAGGATCGATTCCGAAGGGTTTTTGAAGCCCAAACGTGGGGGAAAATGATGGGAAACCTGTGGAAAAACAAAAATATTACCCTCTGGTAATTTAACGTAGCTATTGAACATGGCCATTTATAGTGGATTTTCCCATTGAAAATGGTAATTTTCCATAGTTATGTTAGTTTACCAGAGGGTAATATCCTGGAAAAAAAATCAGTAGCTCACATGAATACACTCCCCAGAACTTCGGCACATTTTACGCAGCTAACGCTGAGGCGGCACAGGCTACTCAGCGAGCGAAGGAGGAACAAATTGCCAAGCTGGAGGTGTGGGATTTGCGAGGAAAACCAAGACTGGATGACCTTAAATAGCATATCATCATGACAATGATGGTTAATGATGATTAATGATGGTTAATGATGGTTAATGATGGTTAATCATGGGCAATGATTTGATGTTGAAAAAATTGGAATGAAGATTAGCACATCGAAGATTCCAGATGGAAGATGGGGGAAGAATCATCAAGGGTGAGGTGCTTGCACCAGCTGCACGGTTCTTCTTTTCTGCATGTGAGATTGGTTGAACATGGTTAAATCAAAAAACATGACTAGTGGACTGCAGACTGTTCACATTGTTCTCAATCCAGTAGCCTGGAGGTGTTGGGGTGCATTTATGCGCTTAGGGCAGTAGCATTGTTGTGACATTTCAATATATCAATATATATATATATATAGTCAATATTAATCAATGTTGTTCCTGGAATTTGACGCAATGCCACGTTTTGGTTATACCTAAAGACCTTGTTCCGCAAACACCTGGAGCCCCAAGCCCTCGATTTATGGATAAAATAAAAGTAGGTTCAGGGTACAGCTCCCCCTTAAAATTCATTCAAAATCATGCTTTGCCCACCAAAACCTCTAAACACATCAGCTGTTTGATGGTTTCGTCAATTGGGAACATCATATGTCATTCCCCATTGTGCAGCGTGAAATGACTCACAATCGAGCTACCTCAGCATATCTGTATGCCTTTATGCTTGACCACCGCCAATTTATCCCAATGTTGGCAGGTGTGTTTTTCTCCAAAATAAGTTCAAAAGTGAGGAGACACTAGTGGAAACCATGAAGATTCATAGAAAAAACATCGAAATCTTTGAAGAAATCATAGAAAATCCTAGAAATCCCATGGTGAATCTGTTCAGAAACCTTTCAAAGGCCAAGTTGGCGGCCGCCCAGCGGGAGATCGAGCGCCGCAGCGGGTTTCGGAGCTCGGCAGAGGTGGTGGCGGAGGTGCATTTTTTCGGGGATTTCCATGGTGATTTTTGGTGATTTTCCACTGGTTGATGGTTGAAAAACCAGAAAACTGCTTGGTGGTTTTTTGCACATTTTGGAACGTTTTTTTTTATGACTTTCCAGAAACAGTTGGGAATGTCCATTCATTTTCCCTCATTTGACGTTAAGTCCATGATTTTTCAGAGGGGTAGGGCGAAAAACCACCAACCAGCCATGGTGATGTTCAGGATTTTGATGGGGATTCACCAGAGACTGGGAGATGTCACTGGGGATTTCGATGGGGATTTCATGGGAGGTATATGTTATAGCTATACGGTGGGGTATGAGGGAACTGTGGTTGGAGATGTTAGGAGCTTTGAATCGAATTCTTCATCCCAATGATGATCCTCTGTAAAGTGCAACAAAAATTGTGTGTGTGTGTTACAAAATGCCTCCGCGCATAGTTTTCTCATAAACGAAAAAAGAACGTGGTCGTATTACAGATATATAAATTGCTGGAGACTCTTTTGTACGGAATGGTCCTTGAATAGAAAAATCCAGGTAGTCATTAGTCATGCTTACTATATCTCCAGTCATGGCCGTTTCCAGATGGATGAAAAAAAAGGGTAGAAACCCAGGTGACGTATCCAGAATCGCATGAGTCGCATGGATCAAAATATGGGTGTTCATTGTGTGCTGAACATGTGTGGGGTTTTGTGGGATGAAACAATGGACATGAGGATTGATTCTTGGGAAAAGTGTGGAAGGGTTGGGGCTTGTTTTTTGGCAAACATAAGTTTTTTTTTGGTGGGGTATGGGCAAACAAATGGATTCGTTTGATATGTGTTTCTGAAAATTTGGGTGTACTAGTGGTTTTTGTTTGGTTGAATTGGTGTTTTTTTTACTGCATTTTGCAATCAAAAAACGGGACGTTCCCTGACGGGATCAAACGATATGTTCACGTTAGGGGTGCGATCCCTTGCCAAAATCAGGATATGGCATGATACAACATGAAGAACCGAGGAAGTTTGGATATTTAACATTATTTAACATCATTCTACTAGCAGCAAAAACTGAAAGTTCCTATCTTGGTAGATGCTTGCCATCAGAACTGGATAAGACTGGTATAGGTTTAGTGGACGGTTCCAGCCCGAATTTTAAACGCAAACCAAACGGAACGGTGGATACGTACCTTAACATAACTCAACCATACTCAACCACTACAGTGGATAGCAAATCTGGCTGCTTTGGTACTGGGACGCTCTTCGGGGTCAAGATTTAAGATTGAAAGCTTATGTGGTTGTTTGAAGCGATTGGGTACACTTAGCCCATATTCTTAGCTTCAAAGATAGACATCGAAAATCCATGAAAATCCAAGATCTGTTGATAGTTTGATATTAACGAAAATATATGTGGCACATTGTGGCACATTGTGGCCATGTCCATTGTTGATCCGCAAAGATCCCCCATATCTTAATCTGACAGGCTGAAACTCAGCTGAGAACCCAGTTGGACCAACGAGGACGACACCATGGTTGGAGGGGGTTGGATAGTTCCTCACTGGGTGATGATCAGGATCTATACCCTCTGGTAATTTACCATAGCTGGAAAATCACCATTTTTAATGGGAAAATCCACTATTTCTATGGCCATTTTCAATAGCTATGTTAGTTTACCAGAGGGTATATCAGTGGGGATGGTCGAATTCATTGAACTCGTGATATTTCCCTGAAATAGGCTTGTAGTGAGATGTAGTGAGTAGAATCACTCCCATGTCATGGCTATGTTAATGGTACTTTTGCCGCAAATCAACTTCAGCCATGTCCTTGGACCCTGGGATGGGAATGGACATATCTTGATGTATGTGTCGTTTGGCACACCAGTATTCCTGGTTTGGTGGTTCTGAAGTTCCATACTCTATCTTGCTGTCATTAGTCTGATTTCCCGTGCCTATTTGGATATGGTTGCTACATTGCAGGATATTATAGTATACAGTATATATGATAAAATATAAGGTAAATATAAAGTACATCTCTTTCATGGTGGGTGTTTTGGAATACTAGCTACATCAACATGATATCTTGGTCCTTGTAGAGCCAGGGTTGATAAACTATTGGTCCTTCAAAATTGGGGTGGTTGCCAATCTTCTTTATTGTAGTCATTGTTTCTTTGGAGACCAGATCTTCAATCATCCAAGGCTTTATTTAATCTTGTCTGCACAAATTAAAGCGACACCAGACGAGGTACGAGGTAGACATAGCAAATTAAGGAGGCGATTTAACTAATTCACGCCCCTACAAGGTGAGGCTTTTTGCTTACTTTTTGAGTGGACGATGGACCAAAAAATTGTTTGGAGGCTGAACAGTATTTGTTTGTTTGTTTGGTCGCAATTGCAATGCTTCTATCAGGTCTAGAGGGGAATGAACTTTTGAGCTTGTTAAAGTTTCCCTTTTTTGCATATTGCGTGGCCAAAAAAAGAAGAGCGCTACTGTGATCTGTTAGGCAAAGGAACGAGCCCAGTAATTCCTAAAAGTAGAATCCACGAGGCGAGGTGAAACGTCAGATTAGTGACGAGGTGCAAATTATTTTAATTTGGCCAGAATCTTTTAGTTGGTGTATAATTATACAAGCATATGATAGTAACCCCCCCTAAAAAATAAGCAACCGTTATTTTAGAGTCGGATCTTGCCACATTCTACCTTGATATAATATATATATACATCATATACATAGTATATACACCACATCAGATACATCTGGCTGGATCCCCCCAAAAAAAACCTCCGTGTGCTCCAAGGCTGGATCGTTCGGAGCACATGATGGATCAGCTCATGAATCCTGAGCAGCGAGGCGTTACGCGGTGTTTTTTTTTTTTTTTACAGAGATATTTCATGATATCTACAGTCATAGATCCCTAGAGTCAATATACATATTTAATCATATTTTTATATATATGTATAGTATCAACATGTATATATAATATACATGCACATTTGTATAATTATGTATATTTATAAATATATCAGTATAGTGATTAAAATTATCAAATGGTGTTAAATTGACAGTACGATTTGCATAATATGATTGTATAATAACACATAAACAACATTAGATGATAATAGTAGTACCGTAACGGTAGATAACATTAGATATTGTTAATATGTATATTATATATATATATATTATATTGTCTCAACATATTTATTTGTCTCTATCTGTATGTATACATATATATGTCAATCATAGTCATCGATGTGCGTTAAGTTGAAAGTATGTGTAATGTAATATGGTTGATACATAACGACTGGTAACTATAGTTGATTTGTTTTGGTAAGTGTATGTATAGTTGAAGGTCGTTACGCTATATATATATATATGTAAACTCTCCAGTAAATTACCGCAGCATTGATGTAGATAATCAACCTGCTACAAATAGGATTGAACACAATGGTTACCTGAAATTCGCCAATGTATATCGATGAGGCAATGGAAAGTCTTGACTAGCCAGCCCCTGCGTTGTAAATGATTCTTAGTTTACTCACTTTACTTTGTGAACATCAAGATGAACAACCAACGGATTGCCATGTTCAGCAAGAACATCTTGCAGGTGAAGTACCACTTGCAGGTGGGTTATAGCGAACAACCATTTTGTTGAAACCATTGGCCGCATGACTTGTCTCCCCCTTCGCACATGACAAATGTCAGGTGACGTCAGACTGGCACAAGTGGCAGAAAGGGAGGAACAACATCGGAAGACGGCGGCTTGGTGGCAACAATGGATGTGTTGGGAAGTCCACATGAACCCACCATGATTTGGAGATTTTCCAACAGGTTGGAACCATTTGGAACCCATCAGATCCTTGGGACTCCCTGAGCCCACAAGGACTCCGAGCCACAAGCCTCCTAGGATTCCTAGGGCAGAAGGAAACCATTGGTGGTTGGATGACCCTTGATGTGACTGGTTTGACAAGCCCCATTTCTAATGGTCAAGTCGCTCCCTATTCGAAGTCAGAAGTCAGAGTCAGTTAAGTCAGAGTCGTCCCCATTGATTTCGGGGTTAAGTCCACGTCCAGAAATGGTTGAAGCGAAAAGTTGAAAGAAGACAATGTTTTTGGAAGGTTTAAAAACAACCGTTTTCCCGTCAAATTTCCTCTAAATGAAATTTATCCACCATGTTTGTTGAGAAATGGATGAAACATATATTTTTCAATTTATTTTTCCACCAGCTTCTCAGCTTCTCCCCTTTTTTGTTGGACCGCGTTTTCTCGGGACGTTGGTAGGTGGAGACCTGGAAGAAGCTCTTGGCGCAGCAATCGGCAGAGCTCCGTGATTCCAAGGCGGAACAGGAGACCGAGACCAGTGGATTGGTGAGTGCGTCATGATTTCAGGGTTGTCATGGGATTTTATGGTGATTATTAGGGATTTAATGATATATTAGTATGGAATGTTGATAATGAATGGGATTTACCCTCTGGTTATTAAACATAGCCATGGAAAATGGCCCATTTATAGATATATAGATGATGTTCCCAGCGATAAACCTCCATTTATTTGTGGGATTTGCCATAGCTATGTTAAATAACCAGGTGGTAGTTCATGGGATTTTTGTTGGCTTTTATGATGGTTTTATGATGGTGAGTTCATTTTTTATTTTTGTTGATGGGATTTGTGGCGAGTTGATGGGATTTATATTGGATTTATATGTTTTTTTTTTTTATGGAGAGTTTATATGATTTTTGGGATTTGATAATTTTTGTTGATGGGTGTTGTCCAGTAGATTTATGATGGTTTTCAACTGTTAATTGTTGATCGGGGCTGTTCCGTTGGATTTATGATGGTTTAGCCATTGGATTTAGATTTGTTGATGGGATTATGAGTTTTGTAGTTGTCAAAGATATGATGGTTTAGCCATGGATTGGTGATTCACCCATGATTTTTTGTTGGAGGTTTCCTATTGGAAGCTGTTGACGAAGAAAAGCCGGTTCAGCACATGTTTTCGAAGTTGATGGCCGGTTCGTTGCGAAATTTCACCATCAATACCCCTGATGATTCAAATAGCCGTGGATTGGTGAATCAACCACTAATTGTTGTTGTTGGGGCTGTATGGGGTTTTATAACTGTCAAAGATACAGTTAATTGATATAACTTTTAGCAATATATAATCATAATACTGGTTTAGACAATGCTTATCAATGCTTCATTTTTCCAAAGATTATTTTTTCACTAGCCATACATTGAGGTACCAACGGCAGTTTTCTCCATTTTTTGGACAGACTCAAGGATTGAATCCGCAGGAACGTTTGGAGGAGGAAGTGAATTCTCTGAAGGCTACCCGGTAACGGGCTGGTGCGAGTGACCATTAAACATATATTCACTGAAGGTAAAAAAAACGGGCTCTTGGGTGGTGAAATCAATAAATGTATATAAATATATCATTTGACATGTACATAGATTGGAAAACATGATTTGGGCTTGCTCCAACTTATGGTGAAGTGTAGCCACTTTTCGGTGGGACATTGGTCATGTTTTTGCGCTTGTATTGTTCGCATCAGCCGTGTAAGTAGACATACAGACTTCAGAGTAAAGGAGGTTGGGTGATTGAGTTTTTTTTTAAGGGCCGATAAATGCCGATAAGTGATTCGTGTTCCATAGTTCACCATCAGCCATCGAACAATATATAGAATAATATAGAATATGATTCACCATAACTATAGTTCTATGGTGAACTATGTGAACTATATATATATATATATTATAATATATGTATATATAATATATGCATCATCAAAACCTATATATGGCGTAAAGATTTCACCATCACCTGGGATGTGAACCTGGCATAAAGTTTCGGCGCTTGAAAACCGGGCCAACTGAGCCTGGCATCGCATGACATTGGGACGTCAGGCGCTAATTCATTAGGTCCATTAAAAAGATATGTATATATATATATATAGGTAAACTATGTATGAATGGGACATAGCTTCTATAGCCATGTTAGTAAACCTGGAGGCTATCGCAAGCTTTCAGAGTTTTGGTAACGGTACCAAGTGCTATGCATATGGCGCCATGAGTGTTGCTGAAAAACGACACGCCAGTTCAGCTGAAACAACGTCAAAATATATGTTGGTATATGTTGCTACCGATGTTCGAGCCATACCCATATAGCTGCTGATTAGATCTGATTAGTATCCCCAATTCTCACCACAAAAAAAAAACATGGAATAAAACACAGAACCCCTTCCTAGCCAGGCGAAGTTTCAAGAGGAACGTGAAAAGATAGAGGAAGCCTCGCAACGAGACAAGGCGAAAATCAGAAATGCTAGGGATTTGCTCAGGATTTTCCCTTTGATTATGAAAAATGCCTATGGAAAATGGCCACTCCAATAGATTTATAATTCATGATAGATTTCGCTATAATATATATATATATATAGAATGCCTATGGAAATTTGCCCTAGATGGTATATGGCTTTATAATTCATTATGATTTGCCTATTGAGAATATGGTGATTTTCCATAGCTACTTTTAAATCACCAGAGGGTATGGGCTAAACATGTTCTTTTTTAGGCTATCTTAGATAAGCTGAACCATCAACGATTGTTGCAGCTTCAAGCAACACCTGTTTGGTTGAGATGTTTTTTTTTTGGCAGAGGGATCCCCTTGTCATTCCTTCCACATGTTTACAAGCAAAGGTGAATGACGGTCAATAGAATACCTGGTACTGGCCCAGAAACTAGTTTGACTAATTCATTCAATCTATGATGCGTATAGATTTGCAATTTCTTGACTATACCCTTGGTGAATTCCAGCATGCTAGAAACTCAAATGGATCAAATATAGCGACCTCAAGATATGAATAGTCAGGGGATCAGCCCCCAAGAAAATCACCTTTTTGCGAGGTTTGTGACGGTTTGTGAATGAATAGTGGGGTTTCAACTATGTTTTGACCATGATAGAAAAGATATTGGCTATATACATATTTATATTATATACCTATTCTGTCACCCAACAAAAATATCAAAAAATATGTGTGTGATTTGTGACCAATAAAAAAGGGTGATTCAACCATCCAACATAGGGGATTTCCTATCGGGGGATACGTTGGGTATTGTATGAACTCCATATTCACTGCTGGTGCTTTCACCTGCGTTCTGGGATGATGATCCGTCTAATATCGAGCAGGTGATATTCCCATTTTTAATGCCCCTATAATTATCATAAGTGTTGGTTGCACCCCAATAATTTTGCCATGTTTAATATTAACATATATGATAATTATTATGATATCATAATTTAATTTGAATATCACATAGTATAAATCATAATAATTATATGGTATTAATATATTACACATATGATAGTGATAGGTATAAATCATGAATGGACCGTCGGATGCGTCCTGCTTTTTTTTGTGGCCAGGTGAAAGCCTCTGAGTTGGCTGTACGCTTGGATGAGACCCGGACCGAGGTGGAACTGGATCATGATAAAGGACATCGAAAAATCGTTGAATATCATGGTGCTTCACAGCCCTAAATCCTAATACGTCTAGATACATCTAGTTTTACATGCATATATATATGCTGATTTACCCAATCTGTCGCCATATGTCATATGATTCAGCAGGTCTTGGGTCTCAAAAGCCAAGTGGAAGCGTCCAATGTGGAGCTGGAGACTGCCAAGCTGGACAGCGGGAGCACGGGTGAATAAGGGTCAAAACCTAAAAGAAATACCAAAGAATTACCCTTTGGTAAACTAACATAATTATGGAACATCACCATTTTTAATGGGAAAACTCACTATAAGTGGTGATTTTCCATAGTTATGTTAAATTACCAGAGGGTATCCAAATATTTTTGGGGCCATGCACATCCAGCACCCAGCTCCTGGAGACACAGGATTGGGCTCACAATCACAAAGTGGCCGAACTTTCAGATGGGTGCAAAATGAACTGGTCAATCGTGGTTAATCATAGCTAAGTAATCATCGTTAATCACTATTCATCATGGTCATAAAATCATCATATTTGCATTTGTATACTTATGGGTATGGATGGTGAACACAACACAAATGACCAACTTGTTTGCTTCCAGTCTTAGGTTTTGACCCATGTTCCATGTTCACTTCATTCATGTTTCCACTTTCCCAGTGAAAAAAAACCCAAGTGATTTGGGGTGCATACCCCAATTTTTGGTGGATCAACATCCACAGCAATCCCAAGACAGGCTTGCAAGACAACCCCCCATGCCATGTGCTACATGTAATATACGTATATATATATATATACGTATTTATAAAGGTGTTACACGGGGATAGAGCCACCAATATTGTTAGAGGCAAACAGTATTCAGTTGGCCCTGCGGTTTGACTATCTATCTATATATTTCAAACGGGTAAGGATTTGCGGGTATCCAAATGGGATGGCACAGCTGTAGTTGACTGCTGGTGGTGTTTTTTCCGTTTTGACATAGTTTGATCACGTTTGTTTCTGAAACTCCCCATGTTTGGTCCATTGGTGCTTAGATAGCTGTGTTGAATCAATATCCACTTAACTCCCAATCTCTCGTGGTGAAGTTCCAGTTTTCCCCTACTCAGATCACATTCATCCCCCATTTTTTCAGATGAGATCCCCTTCTGTCCCCTTCGTCGATGTTTTTGTCATGCAGGACTGGGAGCAAAAACTGAGGGATTCCACAGAGCAACTGTCGTGCTTGGAGCGCGAGAGGAAGGACTTGCAGGACCAAGTGCAGAAGGACCGGGGATGTAGGGACTGGGGTAGGGAGGTGCCCAAAGATTGCAAGATTTCAGGTAAAGCATAGTAAACAAGGTCTTTAATATTGGTGTAAACAAAGTTTCATGATTTATTTCAAACATATAAATTGCTAGAATGCATATATGTAAGATATGGTTGATTGTAGGCTTTACCCTGGTATGATATGCTCATGATTTTCAACTTATTCGTTTAAGATACAAAACACACTATCAAAAGGCATGTGAGGGATTTGCTTGTCGCTTTGATGGGATGATGATCAAAGTGTTAGCTCATGCGGTAATGTCGTTTGGAAATTCAAGCGGATCATTTCAACCTGTTTTTTCACCAATCATCAAGCTACAATGTTGAGATTAGGAGTCGCATGAGAGGAGATGATAGAAACATGTTTCACTTGCATTTGTGCATCGTTGACGTTTTGGAGTTTGTGAATTGCACGCGCTGTGATTCGTTTGCAGTAGAGTATCCTCAGCAACTTTTGATGCCCTTTTCGATTGCTCAGAATTGAGAGCCCCAAAATGGATTCAAATGTATAGTTTAGATCCCTAAACTATATGTAGATTTGCTTGCTAGCGGATCCCTAAAGTCTGACCAAGCCATTCATATTTCTGTTGGATGAACCCAACAGTTTTTTGCAATGGATCCATTTTTGCAATAGCCCATCCCTTCCCTTCATCTCCCATCCCATGGCCCGTGATGTGCGTTTTATCGATGGGTTTTACTCAGGCGGAGCAAAAGTACCAAGAGGACCTGTGATGCAGGTTGCTGCGTGAAAAAATTGGAGATCATGCAATTGTTACGTTTTTTTTTGCCTGAAAATGGGTCCATCAATGTCCAACATATGGTGAATTACCTGAAGTTATGGCCAAATTTAAGCGGGAAAACAGATGAGTACGTTTTCAAACCCATGATATTTTGGGGGGGGTGTCCCATTGGGCAAAGCCTCAACTTGGGTTCCAAGCCTCCCAGATGTCTATCTTCCATCCCAATTTATGAAGAATTCTATCAATGATGATCAATGATAAATGTGTAACGTAATTGAACTATAAATTAAAAGTAAACATGTGCGAAGTTAACTTCAGGTGTCCAAAGTTCATCCGGGTACCAAGTCATTCGGCCGTTGTATCAACCGATGGCGGCGCGGGGACCTGGCCCCACAGGCATCACCCCGCAGGAAGTGAAGTTACACGCCACCGATGCCAAAGAGCTGGGCTCTGCCCACGAACGCCTCACTGAACTTGACAGGTGCTGCCAAGTCCGGGTCAGCTGGAGCCGATTCCCCATGGGTTATGGTGATTTGATGATGATTTAATGCCCCAGATGGGTCCCGTGAATCGGATGGGAAGGTGGTTAAGCTGCCATAAGATCCAGGAATGCCATTCCGGTAACAACATGTCAGAACCACTTTTGAGTCGGGATCCTTCATAATCACCCTATGACTAGGGCATACTAGGGCTATTTTACCGTTGATCCGGGATGGTTACTATAATTTCTAAAATCTCCAGTCATATCCATATCCCATCAATATACAAGAGGATCCTTTTTGTCCAACATTTTCCAACATTGTTCTGATGATTTCTGAGTGGGTGTACTACGAAATTCCAGAACAACTATGAAGATTCATTACTGTTCCATTTGATGGTCAAATTCCATAGTAACAAATGTTAATGGTAGTCGTTAATCTCCGTTGATATTTGTAAGTGGTGGTAGTTCATGATTGTAATTATGTCAACATGTTGAATTTGTATTCCATAGTTTCCCATAGGGACATATTCAATGTTGTAGGATGTATGAATATCCCAAACTTATAGTATTAATTAAATGGAAAAACAATGTTGTTAAATTATATCCAATATGCTACATAATATATACACATTACGTATAGATTTAATTGTCATTGTATCATAAAGGAAAATGGTTTTATTAACTAATAACAAAATGGACAGTTGAAACAAGATGACCATATATAAAAACCATACATCACTAACTTTTTACATCTATTAACTATAATCTGTTCGAAGAATATTTTGCATCTCACTATATCCCCATTAAAAGCCCAATAAGCTCCATCAAACCACCCAATTTTCACCATGGCTGGATGGCAAATTCCATGAAAACAAGTCCCCATGTTTGTTGGTGAAATCCCAATGAATCACCATAAAAAGATCCTCCTAAAATCCCATGAAGACCCATGCAGTTGTAAAAAAACACGGTAAAGTCTAAATATTATCATTAGATATACAATGATGTACCATGATTAGGCTCAGGCTCAGGCTTAGTTACTTTGTTAGGTGACCATTAAAAAAATCATGACCCATCTGGGGACCATTCCCTGGTACCATGGATCCGACCCATCCCCTCGGAGCGAGGAGCTGCCTCCAGCTGAAGCATCAGGTTGCAGACCTGGAACGCGAGACGCTGCGTGCCCGCGAGGAGCGCAAGGAGGAGCTGAGCTCCGCGCGGAAACGCATGGAGTGCCGTGGCCAACAGAAAAGGGTGGGTGTGGGGTGGAAAGTTGGATAGTTTGTTTCTATTTTAAGTATGTCTAAGGAGTGGACCAAGAAGCTTAAGTTGAGTTACTGATGAACAGTTTGATTCTGGTGGAGATTTGGTGCGTTTGAATGGTTGCAAAGTGCGATTTAAGAACCAAAATTAAGGATTTGACCATCTCAGGAAACATGGGGATTGAACTGTATAAATGTTAGGGGCATCATTCAATATCAGTGTATCACTGAACATGTGGGATGTGATAGTGAAGCGGTGAACTTTCCAACCGCAGGTGGCTAATCAACAAGACTTCTCTGAGAGTCCCAGCAGCTTCAAAACCGCTCTGGTTCTGCCCATGGTGAAAGTATGGTTAAGTTATGGTTGATCCTGTTGGGAGACGTTTTTAGGCTGCACGCACATAGAAACCCGCAGTGGTTTCTGTGGCGTCTTCATTTTGGATTTCTGATGCTCAGTTGAGTTGAATGTTCCGCAGGCATTTGGATGTTGTTCTTTCATGGTTTTCCCAATGTTTTTGACATCCAGGATATCTTAGCTGAATCATGGAACGAAACATCGATAAGTTGAACTCTTGGAACAGGCTTTTTGAGAGACCGCAAAACTAACAATCTAGATTTCACGTTGAACAGATATTTGTCCGTTTGCACGAATGTAACATTGACAAAGTTGAAGATCCCACAGCGTAGCATGACGTATGTGTGCAAGTGCAAGAGAAGATCCCACAGCGTAGCATGACGTATGTGTGCAAGTGCAAGAGAAGATCCCACAGCGTAAAATGACGTATTTTCAAGTTGACATGAACGTTATTATCCCCACCCCACCCGCACCCCACCCCAACCCCACCCCAAATGACCCAGATGCATATTTTATTCCTATGCGCGCCATACAACCCATGTGTGTTCAAGTTGACATGAACATTTTTACCCCCACCCCACCCCAACCCCACCCCAAATGACCCAGATGCATATTTTATTCCTCTGCGCACCATACAATCCATGTGTGTGTAAGTTGACATGAACGTTATTAGTTACTCCCACCCCACCCCAAATGACCCATATGCATATTCTATTGCGGGTTTCTACGTGCGTGCAAGTGGCTTTCTCCGTTGGTTTGTCGTTTTCTCGTTTTTGGTTCGGTGGGTCGGTTCCACCTAGCCAATTCCATCGGGCCCCGTGTGCTAGCTGTAAATTCGCAGCATTTACCGGAGTCCACGCTTTTTCCGTTTCGACGCAGTTGACTTTAAGGAATTTAACCGTTCGACATATTCTTTCATTGTTTTCAGCAATTCCATTGTGCTCCACATTCATTTTCATTATTCACAAGTCTCAGACCAGGACTCTGCGTCTTACCCTTTAATGTTGGATCTTGTTTTGTGCAATTGTTTCATCCTACTTGTACAGATTCTCCTTCTCGCTACAGTTCTCCTCCTAGATACACAGAGTCTAGGACTTTGACCTTGAGTCCAATTTTATAAAGATACATCTTATAAAGCTACATCCCAGAGTGACGCAAAGTCACTCTCTCACAGTTCAAGGCTCAAGGGATTTCCAGTCCCCTGCCCAAGAGGCACTGCAGCAGCATTCTAACTGAAACTGTCATCTCTCTGGTGTTTTTTTTCAGGTCTTGCTTTCTATTCATTCTTATTTTGCAACTTGTTTCTCCATTGGCTGACCGAATGCTGCTGCAGAGGTGTAGTTCAACATGAGCTGCGAGACGATGGTGAAAAAGAATAAACATGCATGTCGTGTCGTGCAGTGCAAAAAAAAAGCACTTCCTGTGTCGCGAGTGTTTAGTGTGTACTACGACACCCACGACGAGCCTGGCGTGGCCCCGCCTTGCCTGCTTTGGCTACAGGAACAGGCTGCCGTTCTGCTGTGGAATGTGGACGGGTATCAGACGGAGATTGTGAGCACGTTCTTCCTGTTAGCGCACAGGTGCCATGCTGCTATGGATGCCCCGAAGAAAGTGTCAGCGCAGAAGGCCAGAGCTGGGGCATGATTTCCTGGTCGAAAAGTGAAAAGGTTAGACTTATGATCAGATAATCCAACGTGTCCTCGAATTATCGCACCAACAGAACTGGAGCATCATATTAGTTAGCGATCATCGGATCAACCATCGGGTCATCGGATCATCAAAGCATTCGTCGCATCATCAGAGAATCCAACGGATTGGGTCAGCCGTCGGATCATCCAACCAGCCGCATCAGAGCATCTGATAACCCAGGGGCCGTGTCGTGACTCACGCGGAGGCTTGGTACGAGGGCGGCATGCTGGTGGTGCCGTGGCGAGTGGCCTGCCTGCTGTTCTCCGGACCTCGCGGCGTGCACGCCACGGTGCACCACGAAGTGCGCCAGCAGAGGCTCGTGGAGGAGCTCTATGCACCGCACTCTGGTGGTGCGGGTGCCGGAGGAAGAGGAAGAGGAGGACGAGGCGGAGGATGCTGTGAGCGTCGTCAGCGTCCACTCGAGCCTGTCCAGCCTCTTTGGCTCTGAGGACGAAGGGCCTCGAGCCATGGAGGCGGAGGAGGTGGACTGAAACGTAGTGACGCTGCCGAGAGTTTTTGAAAAAAGGAGCGACAGCAGCCAAGAAAGCCTCAGGGGAGGAGAGGGAACCAGACTCAGAGAGAGGGAGAGAGAGAGAGAGAGAGAGAAGACTTTGTGCGTGGTTACCAGGATGCAAATGGTTTTCTTTTGCGCCTTCAACTCTGCGGCTGCTGGCCGGCGCCCCAAGAACAAGCCTCGTTGCCTGACCCCACAAATTGCGTGTTGGCATGTGTTGGCATGCGTGATTGCTTTTTCATACAGGACATTTCTCCAACTGGTAACATTACGTAAATTTCAGCCTCGCTCCATTGCAGGGGCGGAAGATTGAAAACTGCAATTCTTTTCACGGGATCACTCGGTGGACTCAGATGGATGTTGCTTGGCGAGCCACACATGTTTGTTCAGAATGCATCTTGACCAAATTCGACCAAAGCAGTTGGCAAAATTTGAGCATATTTGAGCTGATGAATCTGATCCACAACCACTGGGGCAAGAGCTCCGAGGCAAGAAACCGGGAGATCTTCCGGTAGCACGGTTGACAGCCGGAAAGATCATTCGCAACCAGGATGAGCAAGGCCAGCTCAGCTGGGGCTTGGGTTCTTGTTGCCTGAACTTTTGCAATCTTTTGCATCGGAGATACCCATGCGTTTCACCTTGCTAGTGCCAGGTTGGATTGGAGTACCAGTGACAAGATGGATGTTTCTTGGTTTTATCCAGCGTGGCACTCCAACGAGCCAAATGTTAAGACTTCTCATCAATTTGTCGATGCTCTTGCAGATCAGTTTTGTGAGAATCACATCACGTGACTTTCCTCTCTCATTTTCAAAGTCTCGCAGTTCGCAAGAGAGAGAGAGAGAGAGAGCGAGCGAGGGAGAGAGAGAGAGAGAGAGGACTTTGTGCGTGGTTACTAGGATGCACATGGTTTTCTTTTGCACCTTCAACTCTGCGGCTGCTAGCCGGCGCCCCAAGAACAAGCCTCGCACTGGAAAGGGGCTTGTTGCTTGCCTGCATTAAATGGTCATGCTGTGATTTAGTTGTATTCAGTAGGGTGGTTTGAGTAGAGCGTTTTGAGTAAAATGTTTTGGTCTTTTGGGTAATCAGCTGAACTTGGTACAGCAGCGACTGGCAGACTCGTGAGACTTTTGTCAATATACAGAAGCTCCTCTCTTTGGCCTTTGGCAACCAAAAAATGCGGCCACTCAGACCGATCCAACCGAGGAAGTGCAGTCCTCAAAAGCCAGCGCCTGCACGCTCGTTCAAGAAAACAGGTTGTTTTATTCAAAGGGGTCTGTCGCACGCCACTCTTGGCGCTTTCAGCTTTGAACACTTGCTGTTCTCCTTTGCTGCGCAGGCTTTTTTCAATATATTTTCCGTTGGTTCAGAAAGTTTGTCATATCTTAATATCTTAGTCCTTTGTTAGTCTGGATTTGTTGGGTGCTTATCTTTGCGTTCTTTTTCATTGAAAAATTAAAGGACCGGATAACACCACATGTCAACTTCTTCCAATAAACAGCCAAAGAAAGGTGAAGATGGGATGGGAAAGGCAGGAAAGAGAAAAGAGATGGCGGAGGATCGGTTGTGTGTGAGCAAGTTGTGTGTGAGTAAGTTGTGTGTGTGTGAGTAAGTTGCGTGTGAGTACGTTGTGTGTGAGCTAGGTGTGTGTGAACAAGCTGTGTGTGAGTAAGTTGTGTGCGAAAAAGCTGTCTGTGAGTAAGTTGTGTGTGGACAAGTTGTGTGTGAGTAAGTTGTGTGTGGACAAGTTGTGTGTGTGAGTCAGTTGTGTGTGAGCAAGCTGTGTGTGAGCAAGTTGTGTGTGGACAAGTTGGGTGTGAGGGAGGCGGCGGGAGGAGGAGGCAGGCGGGAGTGCACGACCAAAAACAAGAACCCCACACAAAGATGTGGGGAACAAAATCCTGTCTCTACCGCATATTTAACTTGCATGTTCTTATCCGATGTACAATGAGGTGTCTCACAAGACTTGTTGCATGAGTTTGTTATAGTAGAGTTGGCACGGTGGAGCTTCTAACTAACAGAGGCTCAAACGCATATACAAACATGAACAGGCAAACCGCTGCAGCGAAGGTTGCGTCAACTATTGGTGCTTGCTCCTTGCGCTTATATTTAATTTAGCTTTGCTTCGATAGCGTCCTCACGCACCGCGCTTTGAATGGCACGGCTGAGGAGCCACGGTTTTGTAATTTGTGGAAGGCTTTCCCAGAAGGCATCTGGATCGATTCTGTGCCTTGGCTGTGCTTTTTGCCTGTGTGACACCCTTTCTTGCTAAACCTTCCGGGCTGGTAGCATGCTCACTGAGCCGCAGGGCTCAACCGATCCACGAGCACTGCACTTGACAGTATTGCTTCAAAGGACGGGCTGTCCGAGACTGCTGCTAGACAAAGGAGGCAAAGGCCCAGAAGGATCCGGAGGCGGACGCTCTCGTAGACGAGTCCGACGAATTAGAAAGGATGCGGAGAGCGGCGCTCGAGAGTTACTTCGAGCATTTCTTTTGTCGTGCGTCTTCTTGGCCGATGTGTTGTAATTATCCGTGTAGAGCGGTGTTGGCTCGACCCTGGCATGGGTTGCTACAGTCTTGAGGCCAGGTGGCCTCCTCCGCCTCCAGTTCATCCCCATCATCTTCTTCGAAGGACTCAGGCGAGTCTCTTGACACTCCAGTTGTGGGTGAGACATGTTCAAAACATGCCACGATGTTGCTGTTCTTGGAGGATCCTTATTTGACATGAACGTTATTATCCCTACCCCACCCCCACCCCAACCCCACCCCAAATGACCCAAATGCATATTTTATTCCTATCCGCACCATACAACCCATGTGTGTTCAAGTTGACATGAACGTTTTTACCCCACCCCACCCCACCCCAACCCCACCCCAAATGACTCAGATGCATATTTTATTCCTCTGCGCACCATACAATCCATGTGTGTGTAAGTTGACATGAACGTTATTAATTACTCCCACCCCACCCTAACCCCACCCCAAATGACCCATATGCATATTCTATTGCGGGTTTCTACGTGCGTGCATGGTTTTAGTGTGTACCCTTCCGCAATAAAGCATGGCAACGGGAAATCCCTTGAACGAAACCAATCTATAAAAGGGTGGCAATTCCAGCAAACCATGTTGGATTACCGGAGGGTATTTGACATTCATACCCTCATTTTGGATAGTTCAATTCCCATTAATTAATCATCATAAAACCCAATAAAAACCTTTGAAACCACCATCACCATTTCCATCCAAGAGGGTCCCGAACTTCCAAGGCAAGCAGAGAGGCATGCTGAGAACCTCTCGGAAGAGAACGCCCGGTACCGTGATCAGATGGTTGCCGCTCGGAAGAAGAAGCGGGCGGCCAAAGTCATGGGGATACCCAAAACATCCAAGTCATTAGACCATGATTTAGTATTGAAAGCTATGGTGACTTCGGGATCCCCCATTTTAGGAAACCTGCATAGATATAAATATAAATATATTTATATATATATATATAGATCATCATCGATTGAGTATGATCCAGTATGATCCAGTTCAATTGGGGGAACATCAGAATTGATTCCAGGGCAGGGATTATACGTATATATAACTATATATATATAAATAATTATTTATTTAATTACATATATATATATAATTATATCTATAATTGTATATATATATATATATTTAAAAAATATATATATAATAGTGTAATGTAGTGTAATGTAGTGTAATGTAGTGTAATGTAGTGTAATGTAGTGTAGTGTAGTGTAATGTAGTGTAATGTAGTGTAATGTAGTGTAATGTAGTGTAATGTAGTGTAATGTAGTGTAATGTAGTGTAATGTAGTGTAATGTAATTAGTGTAGTATAGTGAAATATTTTAGAGCAAGGGGACCGACCGACCTCTCCAGGCGTTGAGCCGCGGCATCGAGTCGTCGGAACAGGCGTCCTCAGTGCTTCTGGAGATGAAACAGGCGCGCGAGCTGGGCGAAGTGGAACGCCGCAAATTGGAACCTTGGTGAAAGTTGGCCATGGCAGGGATGGCAGGGATGGCAGGGATGGCAGGGATGGCAGGGATGGCAGGGATGGCAGGGATGGCAGGGATGGCAGGGACGCTGAAGATCAATAGATTACCCAGAAACGAAAAAATCAAAGGTGGCCTGGAATTTCTGAGATTTTCCAGCCATGTGTGACTAGCGGAGGGTAAGATATATTTGATGTGGATATCGGTGAATCAATTGCAACTACATCATATATAAATTATTATTAATTACTACTAGTAAACTTTTGCAGTCAATTATGGGGCTTGGGATTTTGATTTGGGGACATCAATTTGGATCCTTTGAGCCCCATATTATACCCATACGAAATTATAGCTATGTATAAATATATTTATATATATGTATATAGGTACACGTATATGATTATATAACTATATAATATACATATATGTGTTTGTGTATTTGTATTTAGATCATGTGATATATATATATGTCATGTGATATAATACCAACATATATTTCCTTCATACTAAATATAATTGATTAAAATATATTTAAGATAATAGAGAATAACACAGCATTCCCATCTCCGCAGACACACACACACCAAGAGGTGGTTCAGGGTGATAGATAGATATAGACAGTTGTATATATATATATATATGTATGTGTGTGTGTGTCGAATTCATATTGAATCCGATGAAATATGTATACTCATAAGTATATATTCACATACATACATATATATATATATATATGTACGTATGTCAGACCTACAAACATATATGTATATATTTATTTACATATACACATATGTCTTTTATGTGTCGGTGTGTACATACCTGGATAGAAACACATATATGTATATATGTATGATATTTATATATTATATATATATATATGTGGCAGGGTGATATTTCCCATACAAGATTTAACTCCCAAAAAACTTGAGAATATATGTTAGAGGACCTAGAGTCCATCAATTAAACGGGGCATACTTTGAATTCAGTGTCCTGAAATTCAGGCTCACTCCAATCCTCTTCCATTGCATTCATTGCAGCTGGGTCAGTAACAAGCCAATGAGAGAAAATGCTGCAGGGACGCTCTGTTACTAAACTTATGAACTTCCGCCGAAAATCCATACAAATCAGCAGAACTCAGGCGCACATTTTGTGATGTTGAGTTCCGCCGAAAAAAAAAATCAGCAGAAATCCTAGGGAAAACCATTGAATCAGCAGAAGTCCACTACACATTTTGTGATGTTGAGTTCCGCCGAACCATAGGTCTGAATACTAAGTTCCGCCGAAAAAAAACTTTTTCAGCAGATGTCAGGTGCATAATTTGTGTAGTGGAGTTCCGCCGAAAAACCAAAAAAACCATAGTCCGTAAAAAAAATTGCGAGCGATCAAGGGGCAGAGGCCTCCAAAAGTTCCGCCGATTTTTTTTTTTCAGCAGAAGTCAGGTACACAATTTGTGTAGTGGAGTTCCGCCGACGGACAAAGTCCGTAAAAAAACAAATGCAACCGATCAAGGGGCACAGGCCCCCAAAAGTTCCGCCGAAAAAAAAAAAATCAGCAGATCTCAGGACGTCTCATGCCCCATAATCGTCCGCAACGGAAAAAAGGTCCACAAAGTCTGTAAAATAAGTTGCTGAAAAATTTAAGGTTTAGATCCTAACAAAATTGAACCTTTGACAGATTTGAGTTTTTTGGGGATTGTTACTATCTTGATTTGTTGGCTCTATGCACCTTTACTATAGTTCAAAAGGCATGTGTCTTGGCTATTTTCGGTCGCTGCTGCCTCCATATACCCAGTTAATCCCAATTAGATCCTGAATATGTAAAATGCAATCACTTTAAAGTTGTTTGACCTGGGATCCCATTGAACAGAATTTCGATTTAGGAATGATGTTATTTCGAAATTTGGACTGGACATCCTTTTGCGTCAATAGAATTGGAAAAGGGTTTGAAAGAACATGGTTTCCAATTAGTGGCTAAAGGGCTAAAGGGTCCCAATTGGTTAAATAAGAATTGCGGGCCAATGATCTCATTGGTCGAAGGAATCTTAGTTGTCGGCATGATCATATCTTAACAATCTTAGCAGGCTACCTGTATTAACATCAAAACCTTTCAAAGGAAGGGTTGATTTAGGTTGATTTATGTAAAGAAAAAGGTCCATGAAACCACATGTGGAAGACCCATAATCCAGGTCCAGAGCCCCATAATCGATTGCAAAAGTTTTAGTTTATCCCATTCTCATGATATATCCTATGTTTTCTCATTGTATCCCCACTAATAGTTGGTTTTATATCCGCAAACCATCCAATTTTTCTCTGGAGAATTTATCCCTTGATGGGTTTCCCCCAGGGAATATCTGGCAATCAAACATAGTTTGCTGGGAACTCCCCCATTTGGAAGTTCGGGGATTTTCCAGCTAGTCATTTTTGAATATTGGAGGGCATCTGATTTTCTGATCATCATGGATGAAATTCTGGCGTTGTGACGACCAACGCGTCGGTTTGAATTAGACACTGCCTCTGATGAAAAATCATGGGCATCAAAATATCATAAAACATCATGTCCAAAAGCAATCACTCGCAATGTTCATGGATTTTCTACATCCACCTTAAGTCGCGAAGAAAAAAAATGTGTTTTTCCCTGGCGTCTCCGCCGTTTTTGACCTCCGCGAGGAATTGCAGAAGACGCAGATCGAGGAGGACGCCAAAGCCGTGCGTGCGGAGAACCAAAGTTTGCGGGAACAGCTGGCGAACGAGCAACGAGCCTTGGATGGGAAGGGATGTTGTGGGGATGGGTCATGGTACGCAAAGGAATTGTTGTTGTATCTTGAAACATCAAGATAGCTAGGATTTATGGTTGTTTATTCCCACGAAAGATGTTATAATTGGTTTTGACCCAGTACCATACAGTGCAGTTATATGATATGTGTTGTCTGTTCATAAAGTATTCATGGTGTTTATGGCGATTAGCGTAGACAACGGTGTCATTGATTCCATGCAAGAATCGTGGAGGAGCCCTTTACCATCCAACCATGGCGATACTGGCACAGTTAAAGCCCTTTACCAGTTGCAAATTCCATAAGTGGGGTTATAATATGTTATAGGTTTGCTACCAAAGGGCCATAACATGCCATAATTGTATACAGTATACCCGAGAATGTTGATGTTCATAGGAAAGGTGATGAGAAAGCATGGATCCCAGAATTAGTTTATAGGAATATCTTCAGGAAACCCATGGTGTTCCTTTATTTTTCGCATTAAACCAATCCATTGAATGGAATTTTGGGGTACCCTGTCAGACAAATTGCTGATGTGTTCCATCGCATGGTTTTTTGATGGTCAGTCACGGCTTCCTGCGAGGAGAGAATTGGCGTTTACAAAAGGACTGTCAGCTAGAAACACAGTGCCTTAGCCGAAAATTACTGCCCGCTGAGTGGTGAAGGGGAGTTTACTCCTGTCATCTTTACAATACATGGGGTCATATATAAGTGTATATATATATATATTTATTATTTCTTATATCATATATACAGCACATTTGCCAGCAGGCTCCAGGTCCCCTGCCCAGGTCCAGAGCCAAGTTGCTCCAGATCGATATGATCGAAGACGAGAATTGCAGTGCCTTGGGAAAGGAAATAGAGCTAAACCCACTTATAACCAATCCCCAATAATAAATGATCAATAATGTGGGCAAAACAATGTCATAAACCACCACATGTTTGACCATGTTTGATGGTTTATACCACCCATTTATGGTGATTGTGTGACCACATTAGAGGTGCATTATTGCGGCTAGCACCTTAGAATCTTAGAGTGGTCACGAACTTCATTTCATGACCCAGAAAAATGGATGCAGAAAAATCGCTGGATAGGGCTTATCAGCCACGTTTAAACCACGTTTATTGGGCATTGTTCAAAACCTGGTTGATGATGGTTGATGATTATGGGGGTTTATCTTAGCTTACCTTTTTTTGGGGGGGGATCATCTTACCTGTATATTGGGGATCATACTCATAATCCATTGTGGAGTGGGAATCCCTAGTCACTAAATTTCACCAACCAATATAATGGAATGAAAGAGGGTTATAATGGTATTATATATGATTATCCAAGATTTAATCGGGATTACAGAATTGTTAGACAAAGTGGCTGAATGGCTCTCAACCAACATTTTGACCCTGAGAATTGCGAATTTTTGTTGGGACGTCAACCCCTTTTTTGCAGGGCCTATATCTTCTCCCCATTTGGGGTGGCACGGGGTTCCCACCAGGTACACAGATATTCAAGTCTTCGGGATCCATAGGGTATGAAAGGGTGGCTTGATGTCCAATGAAGTTGCATGGGTATGGGGCATGGGTTATGGATGGGTCTAAGAAATCTTCAGGAATTGACCTGCAACCCTCTACTTGGTTGCTCACCCCACCTATGAATGGGATAACCGTTAACCCCACTTAGGTGACGTATTCACCAGGGTTACTAACCAGTTACAGGATGATCCTCCCAGCTGAGGATTGGAGGCTGAGAATAAGATCATGAAGTCAAAACTGGAAGAGGCCGAGAAAAAGGCGGATGCCACCACGTGTCTTGCCAGCGGTTGTGGAGATTAACGAGATGCGCGAATCACGGCATCAGGTTTGGAAAGAACCACAGCAATGAGGATATGATCATCAGCAACACCAATTCAACAATAGTGGAAACAAAATTAGGAAAACTGGAGATCTTAACACCATTTAACAACCATAATCTGACTATATGATATCTGACTTAAAATCTGTATGTTGAAATGAGGGCCCAATCCCCTCCAGGAATCCACTGGTGGAGCAACTTGAAGTGGCAAAGAAGAGATGCTTGGAACGGTACGGTGGCTATTCGGATCCGGATCCGTTGGGGGTGCTATGGTTGCTATATGTTGCTATATGTTGCTATGGCCAGGATTTGTTTCCCCTGAAAAACTCCTGACCAAATGGATCTTATGGCGGCATGGCGGCATGGCGGCATGTCCTTGCGCCAGGAATTCTGCAGCTTCCCCAGTCGGATCCAAGGAACCGGCGAAGTGGAATCGGAGTTGAAGCAGTTGAAGAGCAAGGCCGATGAGTGGAAATCTATGTATGAGGCCTGGAAGCTGGAAGCAAGTTTGATACCAAGTTGGATAAGTTGATTTGGCATGATTTGGCTAGACCAAGGAGAAGCGTGGAAAACACTGGGAGGATAGATGCATAAATATTATACATAAATCATATACGGACATTAAATGATACTAAATGAATCTAAGTGGTGCTAAGTCACTCAGCCAACTTTGTTTTTTGTTCAAACAGCGATGAGAGATCGCTCCACGACTTGGATCCTGTGAATCGTGGGCCAGGCCTGCAAGTTCAAAGAGGATGACATCAAGAAGTGGGAGGCCGGCTTGGGGATAGGAAGAATGGTCCCCGGAGACCCAATGAATGAAAAAAACGTGTCTGAAAAGATGGTAATGTCACTGAAGTTGCTGGTGACTGACCGTATTTCCCATTGAAACGGCTATGCTATGGGTATACATACCGTACGTATCCGTATACATCCCATTTAAAGAGACACCCGTGGATCTGTTTTTCCCCCTGGGCTGATCCCAAATTGATCAGGTTCAACAAGCAGAGCTGAAGTCGAACGTCACTTCTTTGGAGGCGATTTTGGCTCCGGAGAGGGCTGCCTGAGACTTTGATCAGCGAATTTCTGCCTGGGACTTGTGCGATTTGTGCGATGGTTTCTTGCCTACGAATGACTCTGTTGCTATAGAATGGTGATATAGTCATTAATTATATATATATATATATTTATATTCACCTTAACCGACTGAATCGATCTCTTACTTCCCCAGGAGAAGATCGGCTCGCTGCAGGTGCGTTTCGTTTCGGGCAACTCGTGAATTTCTATTTTGTCGGCTTTTGGGCGCTTTGATTTTGTTGTTTTGATGTTGCTTTATAGGCTTGCAACCAAAACATCCAGCACATGCAAGCTGGAAATAGGCAATTTCCAGCGGGAATATTGTCTTCCAGACCAATTTTACTCTAATTTTAGGCGTTCCAATAACCCATTGTAAAAATACTCTATATAGCTTTGAAGCCATTTCATTGATAACTTGCGCATCTCCAAGTGATTGGCAGGTGGTTTCAGAACCTGTGATTTTGCATTGTTTCGTCGGAACCAGGAATGACAAGAACCACATGTTGACTGATATTTTTGCGATGGAGTGAAATCACTTGCAAAGTAGCTTCTGCCCTAATCTGGGGAAAGTTTGGGCAGCGGATTCATGATGATTCACGGCATTTCTGACTTGCTCCCTGGACCACCAGTGACTTTCCCATGTCTTTAAAACTCCAGGGGAAGTTGGAGGAGGAACAGAAAATCTGCAAAGAGGAGAAGTCGAAGGTCCAAGATTTGACCAAGGCCCCGGCTGTTCCCCGGAAGCCAAAACGATGGGGAAACACGTCGTAGCATCCGGGCAGGCTAGGGATGCGCTTCAAGGCACGTTAAAGACCAAGGAGGCGGAGTTCAACAAGCAGGCCATGGGTTGAGACACCAGCCTGGCTTGGAAAATTGGGCACCCCAGAAAAATATAGCAATGTTCACGGGAAAAAAGATGGGAAAATGATGGTAAACCATTGAATTAAGTCTGATATTTTGGGGTATACATCAAATTTCCATAAATATTCAATTTTCCATGTGCAGACAAACATTGATGAATTATTTGTTTTGTTTTGTTTTTTTCTGTAGCGACAGATGGGTTGGTCCACGGTCGGCTTGAAGAGGAGCTGATGCCTAGTTTCATGGTGAACAATTTTGACTGCGAAATCATGATGGATGTACCCAGAGTTGGCCATAGTACATTTATATATATATAGATATGTATAGTCATATAGTATATACATAGTCATGTAGTATATGGATGTATATGACCACACTACATCCCAGTTTGAATCGACTTTAATGGCCTTGGACAGAATGGACCCCAATTGCTCATCTGGATTTCCTAAGTCACGGGGGTACCCCCAGATCATCCAAGTCATCAGACAATTCTAATTTAATTCTAATTAGTATGAAAACCCATATATGGTTTGGGGATCCCCCATTAATATCCATTTATTCCATTCATATCCCATTAACAATCCATTCATATCCCATAAATTCTTCATTTCCAAACGTTCCACAGCCCTTCACAAAAAGATCAGTGGCATCTCGAAGGCCTCTGCCTTGAAAGCTGTGCAGGGCATCAAAGAGCACCACGGCGAAACGGTGAACAGAAAACAACCGCCTTGTTGCTGTGGGGGTTCCACCATAGCGGGATAATGTCATCCCTAATTGGTTAGTTTATATATATGGGGGTTTCCACAAATGGGGAATCCCCTAAATGGTTGGTTTATAATGAAAAATCCGAAAATAAAATGGATGATTTAGGAGTACCCCCATTCCAGAAAACCTCCATATGCTAATGTACTCCGGGGGTTATGCTAAGTGCTTTAATGCTTATTTACGACCTATTTACCCAATATTCCGGGAAATAGGAATTGGGCCAATGGATCAAGACCTGAAACCAGGTTTTGGGACGGCCATCGGTTTGGATTGACTTTAAGAATGGGATTGTCGACTTGGGAATCGTTTGGAATGGTCGACCATCGAAGAGTTTACTTTGATTCTTTGGAATAGTTTTTGTGTGTTCTTTCTAAAGCACTTGTTCTGAGATGTTTCATCATTCTATTCGTTGTTTGGTATGACCCGAGCTACGCAATTGGAAATCCCAGCAACTTTGAAAAGTCAGTTGTGTCTGACTAAGTCTGACTAAAAACTTAAGTTAAATCCACAGATCCAACGAAACATCATCAGTGGGCACATGGGTTTGTCTGAACATTCCGGGGGAAACCATCAAAATCCAGCGGTTTGTTGAATGGCCATAACTTGGTAAGCCAACCATCTTCAGACAGACCCACATCATACATTGTATTAGTTAGCTACATACTCCATTCTATCCCCATGACATATCCCGCTCACTGATTATGGATAACTCATGATAACTCATGAGAACTCATGCTAACTCATGATAACTCATGCTAACTCATGATAACTCATGATAACTCATGATAACTCTCAATTGTGGCCAGTACAATATCCATGAATCCTTAAACCCATTGATCCGAAAAAAGATACCAAAAAACACCGGTTAAATCGCAAAAGAACCCCCTATGAATTCCAACTCTTATTAAACTGACACTAGCAAAGTAACAACCATAAGAATCCAATAAAATTCCCTGAGCATCCCATGAAAATCACAGCTACCATGAAAATCCCATGAAACCCCCGTGAGTTTCCCATGAACTCCCCCATTACGAATCACCATGCTACGGTTTTTCCTCCACATCGGTTGAGGCTCCACACCCGACGTCTACATGAGTTGGAGGTGGGAAAGTTCGATGATCTAATTGGGGGATCCAATTGGGGTCTTGGGGGATCCTCCAAGATTTTGAATGGCCCCATGTGGAAAAAATATGATGTCTGATGAACCATATTTTTTGGGGGATATCTCGGGACACTCTGTGAAGAAAGAAAAACCCATTTCGGTTCAACCGGTTCCAAGCACTTTTTAAGGAGTGGTACTTCATTCACTGTGGAGTTCCCCCCCCACACGCAAACACGATAGAGATTGGAGTTTACTTAAGGACGTTCTCGGCAAGGCTTCATGAAACTGGTTCTGTTGTGGCACCACAACAAGTGGTTTCAAAGTGATCCTTCCAATGATTTTGCCTTGACTGGGAGAACCAATGCAAACCAGAAAATCCCAAGCGTTACAGTTGAAGCTCGAACGGGTCAAGGATGCAATCGGGTCAAGGATATAGCCAGCTGATTCAACTGATCTAGGTACGTGGCACTCGCATGAATAGAAAATGCACATGGTACGCACCAATTATGAGGCTTGGTGTTCCCAGCAATATTCAGAGTATGTTTGACTCACCATCAATTGGTGGATTTGGGAAAATCTTCCAACTTCAAAACTTGATTTAAAGATCGATGCCTGACACTTCCACAGGCAGAAACCAAGAAACTGAAAGAGGAGAACCAACGGCACAAAGAGCCTGAGGACCCATCGGAAAAAAAGATCGAAACAGATCTCGGTTTCCTTTTTATGGTGAAAAGGAGATATGAAATACCAGTAGCCTGCTAGTAGGATGGAACATTTTGGAGATAGTGCCGTGCCGGAACAAGGTTAGAGTGGAATCTTCAGGTGATAGCAGAAACATCCATTGAATCTGTGTGAGCAATATAATGCAATATACATATATATATATATATATACATTGTTGTGATTTCTGCATGTGCCTTGCTTGAGTATTCTATACTACTTCTTAGCATTCTCACAAGGCAAGGTGTGAAATGTGGTACTGGAAAATTCCCTGAAACCTTTTGATTCATCTCACTATCACTTCCTTGGGTTTTCGAAGCTTGGTCATACAAGGCCATTCAAAGCGACCTATCTTATACCACTGGTTTCAGGACAATCCCCGATAACTCCAATGATAAAGCGGACATAACCAGACGCAGTCTTATTCTTCCGGCATATCTCACACAAAATCATACCATCCATTGCAAACCATCCGCACGTACAATGTTCATGAACCCACTTCACGACGGAGACCAACAAAAATATCAGCTGCCGCGTCCATAGGAGGTAAAACAGCTGCAGAAACGTGTCCATGAGTTGGAGGTGCTGCTTCTGGTCCACTTGGAGAAAATCCGTTGCATTTGGCTTTGCAAATGGGGTTGTTCCTCCAAGATTTTCATGGGCAAAATGCAGAAAATGATGATCAACCACAAATACCGTAAGATTTTGGGTTATCTTAGGCTACTCAATGAAGAAAGATACATAAACTCCGATTTTTCCCACCTCCCGGAACAACTGGTTTCACAACCAGATATATTCGCTGAATGTGATCCTTCCATGATTTTGCCTCTGAGTGGGAGAACCAATGCCATCCGGAAAATCCCAAGCAGTACAGTTGAAGCTCCTGTGCATGTTGATGCAGAACGGGTCAAGAGGATAAAACTGTTCCTACTGATGTAGGTACTCGGCACTCGCATGAATAGAAAATGCACATGGTACGCACCAATTATGAGGCTTGGTGTTCCCAGCAATATTCAGAGTATGTTTGACTCACCATCAATTGGTGGATTTGGGAAAATCCTCCAACTTCAAAACTTGACCAAAGATCGATGCCTGACACTTCCACAGGCAGAAACCAAGAAACTGAAAGAGGAGAACCAACGGCACAAAGAGCCTGAGGACCCATCGGAAAAAAAGATCGAAACAGATCTCGGTTTCCTTTTTATGGTGAAAAGGAGATATGAAATACCAGTAGCCTGCTAGTAGGATGGAACATTTTGGAGATAGTGCCGTGCAGGAACAAGGATAAAGTGGAATCTTTTGGTGATAGCAGAAACATCCTTTGAATCTGAGAGCAGAATTGTCCTTTGAATCTTGGTGACCACAATGTACATATATATATATATATGTATATATATTTATATATATATATATTGTTGCGTGTGACTTGCTTGAGTATTCTATGCTACTTCTTAGCAATCTTACAAGGCAAGATGTGAAATGTGGTACTCGAAAATTCCCTGAAACCTTTTGATCATCCCACTCCCTTGGTTTCTGAAGCTTGGTCGTATAAGGCCATTCAAAGCCACCTGTTCTATACCACTGGTTTCAGGACAACCCCGGTAAACTCCAATGATAAAGTGGACATAGCCAACTGTGTAAACCATCTGCACATAAAATTCATATTGACTCGCTTCAGCACGGTGACACAAGACACAAGCTGTCCGCGTCCATAGGAGGTGAAACAGCTGCAGAAACGTGTCCATGAGTTGGAGGTGCTGCTTCTGGTCCACTTGGAGAAAATCCGTTGTATTTGGCTTTGCAAATGGGGTTGTTCCTCCAAGATTTTCATGGGCAAAATGCAGAAAATGATGATCAACCACAAATACCATAAGATTTTGGGTTATCTTAGGCTACTCAATGAAGAAAGATACATAAACTCCGATTTTTCCCACCTCCCGGAACAACTGGTTTCACAACCAGATATATTCGCTGAATGTGATCCTTCCATGATTTTGCCTCTGAGTGGGAGAACCAATGCCATCCGGAAAATCCCAAGCAGTACAGTTGAAGCTCCTGTGCATGTTGATGCAGAACGGGTCAAGAGGATAAAACTGTTCCTACTGATGTAGGTACTTGGCACTCGCATGAATAGAACATGCACATGGTACGCACCAATTATGAGGCTTGGTGTTCCCAGAAATATTCAGAGTATGCTTGACTCACCATCAATTGGTGGATTTGGGAAAATCCTCCAACTTCAAAACTTGACCAAAGATCGATGCCTGACACTTCCACAGGCAGAAACCAAGAAACTGAAAGAGGAGAACCAACGGCACAAAGAGCCTGAGGACCCATCGGAAAAAAGTATCGAAACAGATCTCATGGTTTCATATGGTTTCCTATTTTTCGTTGAAAGGAGATATGACATACCAGTAGCCTGCCAGTAGGATGGAACATTTTGGAGATAGTGCCGTGCAGGAACAAGGCTAAAGTGGAATCTTTAGGTGATAGCAGAAACATCCTTTGAATCTGAGAGCAGAATTGTCCTTTGAATCTTGGTGACCACAATGTACATATATATATATATATATATGTATATATTTATATATATATATTGTTGCGTGTGACTTGCTTGAGTATTCTATGCTACTTCTTAGCAATCTTACAAGGCAAGATGTGAAATGTGGTACTCGAAAATTCCCTGAAACCTTTTGATCATCCCACTCCCTTGGTTTCTGAAGCTTGGTCGTATAAGGCCATTCAAAGCCACCTGTTCTATACCACTGGTTTCAGGACAACCCCGGTAACTCCAATGATAAAGTGGACATAGCCAGACTTGTAAACCATCTGCACATAAAATTCATATTGACTCGCTTCAGCACGGTGACACAAGACACAAGCTGTCCGCGTCCATAGGAGGTGAAACAGCTGCAGAAACGTGTCCATGAGTTGGAGGTGCTGCTTCTGGTCCACTTGGAGAAAATCCGTTGTATTTGGCTTTGCAAATGGGGTTGTTCCTCCAAGATTTTCATGGGCAAAATATGATCAACCATCAGATTTTGGGATATCTTGGGGCACTCTGTGAAGAAAGATACATAAACCCATTTTGGTTCAGTTCCAGCCACTTGTTGGGTGGAGTCATGAAATTGTTGACAATTGCTGAAGTGCTTCTTGATTCATTGTGGAGTTATCCCCACCCTCACGCAAACACACACACACATATGCGCACACGAAAAATTGAAGTTTACTAGCACTTTTTCCCCAAGGTTTCATTTGAGTGTTTTTGTTCGTGGACTCGGACCAGTAGTGTATTCGCTAAATGTGATCCTGCCATTGGATTTGCAAGCCGAAAAATCCCAATCAGTACAGCATGTTGGTGCACAATGGGTCAAGGATGCAACCGGGTCAAGGATATAGCTGGTTTAGGTACTTGGCACTTGCAGAAAATAGAGTATGCACAGGGTATGCACCAATTATGAGGCTTGGTGTTCCCAGCAATATTCAGAGTATGACTGACTCACCAAAATTCTTTGACAGATTCATCCCATAGAATGTTGACCATTCAATGGCTCCAGCCCTCCAGATCTGGATGACAGGCGGAAACCAAGAAAATGAAAGAGGAGAACCAACGTCTAAAAGATCCTGAGGACCCATAAACGATGGAAACAGATCCAGCTGTCCCTTTTCTGATGAAAAGGAGATATACAATACCAATAGCATAGTTTGAAGGTTTTTGCCTTGATGGAACAAGGATAGAGTGGAATCTTCAGGTGATAACGTTGACATCCTTTGAATCTTGGTGACCAATATATTTTTATATGTAAATTGGTGTGATTTTGCTTGTGCCTTGCTGGAGTATTCTATGTTATTCCTTGGCATTCTTACAAGGCAAGGTGTGAAATGTGGTGCTCGAAAATTCCCTGAAACCTTTTGATCATCCCACTCCCTTGGTTTCTGAAGCTTGGTCGTATAAGGCCATTCAAAGCCACCTATTCTATACCACTGGTTTCAGGACAACACCTGGAAACTCCAATGATAATCCAGACCCAAATTTGCCATTCAGTGATGATTGCATCGATTTATTCCAACAGAACTTCACCTCAACATGATTATAACAGCTATTCAACAAAAACAGTGAGTGACTGAGTGACTGTGACTTACCATCATCTTAGATTCCCATTGATTTTAAGAACAGTAACAGCACCAACTGACAGTTTTTTTTCAAACTGTCAGCGATTAGAACTTACCACCATCCTAGATCCCCATACATTTATAGCTGACCCGTGATTTTACCTCAGCAATAAATCCCAAAATCCTATCCCCAAATCTATGATCATAGGTTCCATCTTTATAAATTGGTTTGTAAACTGGTTATAGAATGTTAAAAATTTGTTTTTTCACCCTATCAACATATTAACTATAGTTATCATATCTACTATAAACCAAAGTTAAGCCACTTATAAGGCAACTTAGCTATCTTGGGGGCCCCACATTGTAGATCCTCATTGTGGGAGCCTCAGAAAGCCACTGGCCCAGGAAGTGAAGCAACTGCAGCGCCACGCCGATACGGCGCTGCATTTGGCCATGGAGTACCGCACGGCCATGGAGGTCCTTCTGCCCGAGGCAACGAAGGGCGGGTTGAAGGGGGAACGGGTAGGGCATCAAGTGGGATGGGTATAGCGATGTGGATGGATGGTATAGTTAACCATAGTTACAATGCTGATTTCATGGATTTTTATTATGGGATTGTATGATGATTCAACGGGATTTAATGGTGATTTAATGGCGATTTAAGAGGTGTATTGTCGGGAATGAATGGGGTTTAACAAAGCAAAAGTGGGAGTCCACCATAGTTATAGTGGTGATTTAATGGGTGTTAATCGGTGTTCAATGTAGAGATGATATGATGGGATATTATATGTACATAATCAGAAAATTATAAAAAATCATATAACCAACTGTAGGATTTGGGTCTGCCTTAAAATGGTGGTTGGACTCCCCTTTTTTGGTCCTAAAGAAGGACGGGAAAATGATGATTCACCGATGGATCTTGGTTCGGTGGTTTTGGACGTTTCCCCAGCTGACCCAGGTGACCACTTTGTGAGCGTCTCCTCCCATGATCAATTTCAATACCCTCTGGTAAAATAGAAAAAAAACTATGGAAAATCACCATTTTTAATGGGTAAATCAACCATAAATGGCCATTTTCAATAGCTATGTTAAATTACCAGAGGGTACTATCATTTCTGATGATAACAAAACCAAGCTGTCATTGGTGTATTGCTATCCCTGGCAATCAAACATGGCACTGGGTCCCATTCCCCTCATTTGTAGGTGACTTTCATATTGACCAGGGATTCGGACTGCCCAGTTTGATTGCCGGAGGGTATGCGGGTACGCTTCGTTGATCATAGACCATTATAGTGTGTTTTTTTGCTAAGAACCATGACAGCCATGATAAATAGACTTGTAATATTGCTAATATTTAGTGTTCACTGTTTACCTTGTGTGATTTTTTCCTTAAGTCTATCAGCGGATATACAGCCATAGTTGTAGAGGCCGAATATCCCAAGGTCAAGTTACCTTATGGAGGTCTTGTGTTGAATCCCCTTGGTGATGAGCCCCCATTATCCCCAAAAAATCCCATGGTTGCTGATGGTTAACTCCCCTCATTGCTGGTTAAATAGCTATCATCTCCCCATTTTTGAGGGGTCAATCAGTCCAATCCCGATTGATTCAAATCAATCCTCCTTGAAAATTCCACTACGAAAAGGTAGGGCATATCTCCTGTATCAGGCATGTTTCCTATACCAAAATGTGCCTAGTCCCCTAGGGTGTTCCCATGACTTTTTGTATCCAGTCAATTTTGGATAGTTTGCCTAGGTTGTGAAGTTGTTTTTGTAGGACTTTCAGCTCTATGTTTTCAGAGGCTTATCTTGGGATACCAGACCCCGGCTTAACCAAATTGTAGCAAGGCTGATTCTGTTTTTGTAGGCTTCCATTTTGTACCTACCAAGTATGTGCATGCATAAAGCTGCATGGAGTGGATGTGCAGACGTTTTTTTGTAACAGCCTGCCATGACTCACGCTACCTTGTCAAATTCTTGCACCTCGCCCTTTCTAGGTAGCTTGACTGCCCACACTGTTCCTTGCAAGATTATATATATATATATGTATATCTTTATATATATATATGTGATTATATGTATATATATTACAATCCCTTCAAAAAGGGAAAGTCTCACGAGTATGTCCATACTGTGATAGGGTGTTTCTCAATATTGAATTGCGTGTGTTTTTTCTATTTTGCATTCATGCTTTGAGCTGCTTCTTCTTCAGCAGACTCATTGAAAGGATGGTTGCATGACAGTTAGGCTTACCAATGCGAAATAACAATTCCGACCCTTCCCAATTTGTAGCGGAGAGATTACGCGTGTTTTTTTTTCGATGTCTTTCGCTGCCCTTTTGTTTCACATTACATGTTCAAACACTTTGAGAAAGCGGCCATTGGTTTCATGACTATTTCCTGTATTTGGTGGCTTGCTTCATGATTTTGTGCTCTTGCTTTTGTGCAGCTGCCCTTTGACTACGAAGCATCCTGCCCTTTGACTACGAAGCATCCTCAAAAATACTAGTTAAGAATGGTGGTGCGTGACCAGAAAACCTTGACATGCAACGTAAAAATCACTTTTTGTAGTGTCTGGATGCTGCCCTTTCCAATTTGTAGCGGGGAGATTGCGCCTTTCTTTTTGCAGGCTCCTCGCTCATACCTGCGAAACAAACCATCTTGTGCCTGCGTTGATTGTTCTTTTGGCGAGCAACTGAAGAAGCAGCTTACCTGTGTCATGCTTCCATCCTGGTCATGTACTAGCACCCAGCATCAAGAACATGTGTTGCATGGCACACTTTTGTCAAGCCATAAGGCAGGTTCCATCACACTGTGCCCTGTTCCCCATGTCTCCTAAATTGCTTGTCTCCACGTCCCCAAGTCAAACCCTAAAGGTATGGAGTTCAAACAGAGAGGCAGAAGAGGATGCTGGCCCCCAGGTCTCCCTGACTAACCCGCCCAAGTCAAACTTTGCGAGGAAAGTAGATCCAATATGATCTATAATTAGTTTAGACCAAGAACAACTCGTCTCAAACCAGTCTGGAAGGATCATTCCAGAGACTTCCAGCGGCCATAGCAACAAAAGGCAAAATATGCCAAGATTTGCCAAGAGTTCTTATGTTTTCCTGGTTGAGACTCCTATGTCAAGATAGGCTACAAAAAGACCCTTTGGAACAGACGTCATGCCCAGGGAGCGCTAGAAAAAGAAACGACTTCGGCAGCAACACTGGGCAGATACAAAAAGCACTCCAGTTTTTGATTACCCTGTTTTGATGGTCTTTGAAGCCATTTGGTCTGTGGCTAAGCTTTTTGTATCTTATATAATTTGTTTTTTGTAGGGAATAATTTTTAACCTGACCAGGTTTTCTGTAGTGCTGGGGGGTTGTACCCAGCCAGAAGGTACCTACATCAAGAGGAGACAACCTCTTCCCCCAAATTTCAACGGGGATTCATATCATATATATGATCCCCATCCCATCTGCTAAAAAACATGGCCACCTTTGCCGTCCCTGCCCCTGGCAGGTGGAAAAGCGTGCCGATGCCGCGCGTCCCATCGCACCTGCCGCGGCCGCGCCAGCGACTGCGCCAGGGACCGCGCCGGCGACGAACGCGCCACCACCGACGGCGGCGTTGGGAGACTCGGGCGGTTTTGGGGTTGGGGGGTATTGCCTATGGTGATTTAATAGCGATGTGAATGGCTGGTATAGTTAACCATAGTTATAATGCTGATTTCATGGATTTTTATTATGGGATTGTATGATGATTCAACGGGATTTAATGGTGATTTAATGGCGATTTAAGAGGTGTATTGTCGGGAATGAATGGGGTTTAACAAAGCAAAAGTGGTAGTTAACCATACTTAAATCGATGTTGATGGTAATTTAACGGGGGTTAATTGGTGTTTCATCTGGATATGGTGGTTATGGGGCATATAACCAACTGTATGATTTGGGTCTGATACTGGTGTCTATTCCCAAGTGGCCATTGCAATCAGGAGAATAATCCAGAGCAATGGATTTTGGGGGTTCCCACTGTTGAGACAAACGCACTTAGTTGGCCAAGAAAGATGTGAAGACTAATTTTTTCTTTTGAACATTGCCACTATGTCCAGACGTGAGCATGGCTTCAGACAAACTTTGAAGGCAGAAATGTGGTCGAAATTAACCATCTCAAACATTTGCATGAAGTTGTAAACGCAAACCATAAATGCAATTAACCATCCCCCACTTCCCGAGAAATGTGTGGAAACAGAAAAACAAATATAAACCATCCCCAATTTGATGTTTGGAATATCGGCATTAGATGATTATACCCATATTCTGTGATCCACCCCCGATGAGTAGAAAAATGCTGCCAAACAGCCGTTAGGATCAAGACATGCCTGGATCTGGGTGCATATTGAGGTCTCCGGCGCAGAAAGAGACCACTGCGCAGAAAGAGACGAGTTCAGTGGGTAGCCACAGGATGGAGTATTTCAGCATCTGGGTATTTCTACGAACTATATACCCCCAAATGTGTTTTTTAATGATTTCAATTTCAATACCACCGCCCTCTTTTGAGCGATACTGATATTTCCGAAAATACAAGTTAAGAAACTGTGCAAACCCTTTGTTGGAACCAGAGGTATATGCCAAAAATCCAGTGATTCTCTATGTGAGCAAACTGAATGGTGAGAAACAAAAACTGCGGATATGGAGCGGAATGACATTCTCAGGTTCAGTTGGCTGTGGCTTACCCTCAAACACCCAGTATCCCTGGTGGACCTTGCGGTAAAGTACGAGAGAAAGTCGCCATGTTCATTGGTATATTGAGGTTTCAGTTCTATAGTAAGATAGTGTGATTCGGAAAATTTTGGATATTGTTCCAGTGATCTTGAAGATAACTTCATCTCTATCTTCAAGAATCTGCCGGTAAAAGTTGTTGCGTTGGAACCACTCCAATGAACCACTCATCCATAACCATCCCGTAAGGTGGAAAGCAAGGATGCCGCCAAAGAGGCTGTGCCCTTGGAGGGTTGGAACAAGTTGGAACCATAAGACCCCATGGAGTTTGATGGATTTGGACTGCTCAAATCCAACTGCTTTAGCGATTTTAGCGCCAGTGGTTGCTGCTGATACCCCTAGGCAAAGCGGCCGGCAGTGCCAGGGGCCCTTGGTCAGGCGGGAGATTCAGGATGTTGTGCGGAAATTCATCAGCAACAATGTACAGTATGTTCCGATTTTGATTTAAGTATTCGTGTATATTTAATCATTTATTTATTTATCTATGTATTTTCTATTTATTTAGTTTTTTAATTAACTATATGTATAACTATATATAGTTATAGGATCTACATATGTTTTCGGGTTTCCAGAATGTCAACCAGCATAAAAAGGCAAGAAAGCACGACAGGCAAAAAAAAGGATTATCACTGTTTCTCCAATTGCTGAAACAGTTTGATTCCCCCAGGACCCTGCGCATAAACTCATCGAAAGAGTTGGCCGCCCTTAATCCACTTATTGGCAACAGACCCGATCACTGCATTTCCATGCATTGACCAGATTTGGAACATGCCCTACCCATCACCGCAATTACACCTGTTTCGCCAATACTACCCTCCCATACTATACCTGGATTTGAGACCTGCATATATATATATATATGCCAAGAGGCATCTCTGTGATCTACTATACAATGTAAATATTTACAAGATTGATAGATAGATTCATAGATAAATACATAACTTCGTACATCTATGTAAAACAGCTGGCCACAACTGTTTGCAGACCACCCACAACATCATTGTGTTGAGCAAACTGCTTTCCGTGGTAGGCCTTGACGTGTTTAAAACTTACCAGCTAATCACATCGTCTTGATGTTCCAATCACTAGTGATTAGAACCACAGTTGCAACCTAATGATTCTTTAGCCCCAAGAGTCATCATTCCTTCACTCCTCTCACTCCCTCTCATTCCCTTCCTTCCGTTTTTTTCGGCAATGCAATTGCTGCTGTTTTCCTCGTCCTTTCATTTCACACAAGCCACCCTTTTCCCATCTTTCGCCACTTTCACTCTGCACAGGCTGCCTTTGTCCCATGCAAGCCCGTTGCTGTGTGGAAATCTGTCCCACTTTGGATCTGCCGCACCATCATCTATTGCGCTTCATGATCTTTTTCGCTTCATGATCTTTTTGACAGCAAGATTCTGCTTCTTCCTTTCTTGGCGAATATTTGAAATATTTGGAATATTGGAGGTATTTAGAATATTTGGAATATTTGACATATTCAAATTTTGGAAAATATTTAAAATATTTGACATATTTGAAATATTTTAAATATTGGAGATACTGAAAATATTTGAAGTATTTGGAATATTTAAAATATTTGGAATTTTTGAAATATTTGGAATATTTGAAATATTTGGAATATTGAAAATATTTGGAATATTTGAAATATTGGAAATATTTGAAATATTTGGAATATTTGAAATAATTGAAATATTTTGAATATTGAAATTTGAAAAAATTGAAATATTTGGAATATTTGAACTATTTGAAATATGTGGAATATTTAGAATATGTGGAATATTGGAGATATTTAGAATATTTGAAATATTTGAAATATTTGGAATATTAAAAATATTTGTGATATTTGAAATATTTACAATATTTGGGATATTTGAAATATTTGGAAAATTAAAAATATTTGTAATATTTGAAATATTTACAATATTTGAAATATTTGAATATTTGAAATATTTGGAATATTTGAAATATTTAGAATATTTGAAATATGTAGAAAAGTTTGCAAAACAAAAGTAAAAGGTAGATCATAGGGGTGCCTGTTGCCATATATATACACATATCTGTATCTATATAAGTATGTGTGGAAGTGCAAATGTTTGTTTTTGTCCCTATATACTCCCCGGGGGTAAACCAAGCTAACATAGGTGTGGAAAAACCATGGGAAAACAAACATGATCTGCAAATACAGGATTTCTATGGATGTTCCACATCTTTTTGTATGTTTACCCCGAAGTTACTCATACACATTATCCATCAATAAACAATAGAATAATCAGTAAATACCTATTACACACTCATTCAATGGGAATTCCAGGATCCTAAATTGGAGGTACTGTACCATATAAGGCCATATTTTGTGGGGATATTCCCTTACATAGGCCTTATATATGATAGGTACCTCCAATTTAGGCTCCTGAAATGGCCATTGACCCATTATAATAATTATATAACCAGGTACCCATTAAATGGTTGGCTCTACATCCCCATTCTTACCTCATGAAAACGGCTGCGAAAAGTGCCCTGATAGGCGACCGCGCAGCCAAAGCCAGCACAGCCAGCCGCACCGGAAGCGAGGCTGCCGCGCCACGAAGACCTGGAGATACAGATCCAGTTGAGTGGTTGAACCGTATTTTTAATAGGTAAAAAGTGTAAATCATCTATAAATGGTATTTTTGTTCACAGCTATGTTAATTTATTGGAGTATATACCCTTCTCCAAAATTAATATAAACCCAATAAACCCTGAAGATAGCCAATTTTTACTGGAAATTCATTTTCCAACCCCTGTTTGGTAGGGTCTATGTTCATTGGGGATGGTAATAAGTGGATTAATTCGCCCAAGTTACAACTGGACGTTGCCCCTACTTAGCCTACTTACAACTGGGGTTTCACCCACTTACGATGGCTCTGATGAGCCACCAAGTAGCCATAGTTGAGCCATGAAAATTACCTGTGTTGATGGGTTCACATAGGGGGTTATAACGGTTATATATATATATTATAAACTGACTGAGGATTATTATCACCCACAATGCAGATTTTGCTCAATTGTCTGGCCTGCATCCCCTAAAAGTCTGACACTCCCAAAGGGTCAAATTGATAAACTTGGGGCGTCAGTTTATTCTTCCACTTTCCATTTGATGGTATTATTCCAACCCAGAATGGTAAACCCAAAATTTCATTCCCTAACAGGACCTAACATGTGCCAGTACTAAGTATGCTTTTTGGTATTCCCCATTTAGGTTGATGATGTTCGGACAGGACAGCGGCCCCTCCTGCGGTCACGACGACGACCACGAGCGTCGTCCCGCCTGCCACGCCCGTGGTACCCAAGGTGCTGCTGGGGGTATTTAATATTAGGAGGAAGGGATTACTCTTTGGGGGGGTTCTATAAAGGGTGCCCCAAAAATGGATGGGTTGAATGGAACATCCTACTAAAATGGATGATTAAGAGGTACCCCCATTTTTGGAAAGCACCATGTTTGAACCGTAAATCATTGGTGGGATTGACAGAGGCTACTCAACCATCCCAATTTTGGGATACACAAATGTGATCAATATCCATCATTTCGGAGGTGAGTTCTAACTGCATTTTTTGGGTGGTGAAGTAGCCAAAATACGCGTCAGTTGGATTGCATTGGAAAAGATGCTATGTTCAAAGGATTGCATTACCAAGCATGCAGTGAATCAATCAATATACTCGTACATATATATTGGAAATTATCATAAAGTATATGTACTTGTACCTGTACCTGTACCTGTACCTTTACTTCTACTTCTACTTCTATTTCTTCTTCTTCTTCTTCTACTACTACTACTACTATTACTACGACCTACGACCTACTACTACTACTACTACTACTACTACTACTACTACTACTGCTATTATTGTTATTATTATCGCTATCAGCTTTACTACACACATACACGATATACACGATATCTACATACATTCGCAAGGGCAAAACCAATCCAAGCCCGCGGTGCAGGAGTCACCCGAATCGGCACCTGCAACTTGCGCTTGTCTTGGGAAGCTGACGACATGTGCGGTGTGGCTAAATGGTGAAAATACTGGGGATAGATTGGATTAATATGGATTAATGATACATTGGATCAATGATACATGAATATACTGGAATATCTGACTACAATTGTGATAACTTGGGGACGGCCATAACTTGATTAATGGTCAACATACTGTCGATCTAGATAAATTTGATCACAAACTCACATCACGACGTCAGGACGCTCAACGATGGTGAAGAATTGGGGGATCATCGATAGCCGAACTTTTCAGGGGGAATTCACTTGATGTCTCCATATATATGTCCTAATCGCCCAAAATAAATGTATATAATTATATATATATACACTGTATATATATATATACATGCAAGTGTTTCTAAGATCGGCCATGATTTTGAGGCCAAACTCATGAGGATTATTTTGGCAGTTGGTTGATAGTGGTGGCGCTTTAGCTTTGCTGTTCCAACCCACAGCAGTTTTTTTGGGCACAGCTGAGGCAAAGCGTAAGGAGCAACCTGTGCAACAACCTGGCCAGGCTGCGCAATGCCAAGCAGCGCTTTTTAAAGGGGCGGACAGAACGGGAGGTAAGATGTATTCACCACAACGAGAACATATGATAAACATAAATCAATGAGTTGCCATTCTCAAAGTATCACCAACTTTGGTGTTTTTTTTTTTCGAAAAGCGCCAATCCATGTGAAAAAACATATCCCGACCCTACGAGCTCGTCAACACGAGCTGATCGTCAACCACCCGGCAGGTTGAGCGCGCAGCCAAAACGGCAAGGAGTGAAGGCCCTCCAGTGAAGAAGCAGCCGGTGCCAGCAAAGGTGCCCTGGAGTTCAAGAGCTGGGAGAAAATATGACGATAGTGGGGGGGGGTCAATGGAGATTTAATGGGATATATCAGCAACAATCTAGAATGTTGTAGGTATGCAATCTGCTAATTTAATGGAAAGTTAGCCATGAAAGAGATGATTTGCCTTTAATTCGATGTGGCAAACTGAAAACAAGTACCTTTTCGGCTACCCTGTCAAACAATGGATAGTTTCAGCAGCGACAGCAGTGGGTGATCAACCAACCCAGAATGAATGGGAATGCAAACACTGATGAATTGGATCTTTATGGATGGGTTATTTGGTGATTAATGGGATATATTCCCAACATGATTAATTGTGATTAATTGGGTTAATACCAACACTGATGGGTTATATATTAACATGATTTAATGGAAACATATTTGGTGATACGGGGTTCTCTTGAATCTTGGGGACCCCACTCCATTCCGCATAATTATTGCAGCGGAGTTTGACCTTTACGAGTCGTTGAACTGCTAGGTTTGGGACAGGTTTGTGAATGTCCACGTGATCATTGGTCAACATTATGAAGCCTAGTTGGTGGTTTGGAACATGTTTTATTTTTCCATATATTGGGAATAATCATCCCATTTGACTTTCATATTTTTCAGAGGGGTAGGTATACCACCAACCAGAAGCCAACGGTCCCAACAGGCCTGTTTTTATAGGACTTAGCACGGGGAGAATTTGGGATGGACCAAACCAGCCCCTGACGAGGCCCCAGCTGCATCTGGAGGCACGTCGCTGTTGCACTGGGGGAAGGTGTTGTGGATGCCGGACAGCGAATGGCTAGCCCCTAAAAACAGCCGTCCGTGAAGATGACTTTGTGACTTTGTCAGTTCTTCTTGACTCTATGTATGTTGAGAGAAGATGATATTAATCAAAGTTTTAGGTTGTTGGTTAGAGGTTGTCGTGTTTATTATCCAGCCATTGGCAATGATCATATAATCATTAATATACGCAACCTCTCGCTATGGGCAGCCCAGCACCAGTGGGAATCGAGGCATTGCCAGCATTTTTAGAGGTGAGCAATGGTGAGCAGGAGAATAGGATAATTGGGTATAATAAGACAACTGTTCTCCTCCAGATTTCCGGTTGGCACACTGTTTACCCTCCAGTAAACTAACATAGCTATGGAACATGGTACATATGTAGATGAATTACCCATAAAGATTGTGATGTTCAATCGTTATCTTAGTTTACCAGAGGGTACAAGTTGTAAGTTTCCGTTCCAAGCTGATTCCTTTCCTTCAGGTGCACCTGCAAGCACCACCACCGCTGTTTGGAACCAAGAGTTGGTATGCGGTGCATGGTGCGGATGCTGCTGCTTAAAGCACAACCAGGGATAACATGTTACAACCAGTCCAATTTATCCCAATATATCCCAATTATTTTGTTCAATTGCGAGATGGAACATGTTTTTGACAATGTACATATATTTTATTGATTTGCATGTTATATATGATAGATGGATGCTTATATAGGTTTATAAAGTCTATTATACATATTTTGGTTTAAGTATATCTACTGGGTCAACCGTGGATGGCTGCTTTACTAGGTTAAGATTTCGCTATATATGGGGAGATACCCTAACCGCCGCTCAAAGCTAAGATTCGGAATGATATGCCATGTGATCTTAGATATCACAGTATATCCCCATATGAATCCCAATATCATTATCGGGATATATTGGATTAAACTCCGCTTCAGCAACTACGGCTCAGCAACTACGGCTCAGCAACCACGGCTCAGCAACCACGGCTCAGCAACCACGGCTCAGCAACCAAACTCGGTTCTCGCTTCAGCAACTACGCTTCAGCAACCAAAACTAACTTTCGCTTCAGCAACTACGGCTCAGCAACCAAAATCTACTCTCGCTTCAGCAACCAAACCTCAGCAACCAAAACCCACCCCCTCTGGCAAGTACATGCACAGTCTCATCTTCCACGTCACATCAAAATCCCACCCCCTCTGGCAAGTACATGCACAGTCTCATCTTCCACGTCACATCAAAATCCCACCCCCTCTGACAAGTACATGCACAGTCTCATCTTACACATCATATCAAAATCCCACCCCCTGTGGCAAGTACATGCACAGTCTCACCTTACACGTCATATCAAAATCCCACCCCCTCTGGCAATTACAAGCACAGCCACATTTTACACATCATATCAAAATCCCACCCCCTCTGGCAAGTACATGCACAGTCTCATCTTACACATCATATCAAAATCCCACCCCCTCTGGCAAGTACATGCACATTCTCATCTTACACATCATATCAAAATCCCACCCCCTCTGGCAAGTACATGCACAGTCTCATCTTACACATCATATCAAAATCCCACCCCCTGGCTACATGCACAGTCTCAACGTCACAAAATCCCACCCCCTCTGGCAAGTACATGCACAGTCTCATCTTACACGTCATATCAAAATCCCACCCCCTCTGGCAAGTACATGCACAGTCTCATCTTACACGTCATATCAAAATCCCACCCCCTCTGGCAAGTACATGCACAGTCTCATCTTACACGTCATATCAAAATCCCACCCCCTCTGGCAAGTACATGCACAGTCACATCTTACACGTCATATCAAAATCCCACCCCCTCTGGCAAGTACATGCACAGTCTCATCTTACACGTCATATCAAAATCCCACCCCCTCTGGCAATACATGCACAGTCTCATCTTACACGTCATATCAAAATCCCACCCCCTCTGGCAAGTACATGCAAAGTCACATCTTACAGTCGTATCAAAATCCCACCCCCTCTGGCAGTACATGCACAGTCTCATCTTACACGTCATCAAACATCCCTCATCTTACACGTCATATCAAAATCCCACCCCCTCTGGCAAGTACATGCACAGTCTCATCTTACACGTCATATCAAAATCCCACCCCCTGTGGCAAGTACATGCACAGTCTCATCTTACACGTCATATCAAAATCCCACCCCCTCTGGCAAGTACATGCACAGTCTCATCTTACACATCATATCAAAAACCCACCCCCTCTGGCAACTACATGCACAGTCTCATCTTCCACGTCATATCAAAATCCCACCCCCTCTGGCAAGTACATGCACATTCTCATCTTACACATCATATCAAAATCCCACCCCCTCTGGCAAGTACATGCACAGTCTCATCTTACACATCATATCAAAATCCCACCCCCTCTGGCAAGTACATGCACAGTCTCATCTTACATCCCTGAGGCAAGATGTCAGAACGACAAGCTGCAGCGAAGGATATGTTCGAAAACCCTTTGAAAACCGCACGTGAAAACAGATGACATGAGGCCGCACAGAGAAAAAGGCAGCTGCTCCAATCCACCCATCCGATGGTCGACGCGTCCTTCAGGATGCATGAATTACTACATTTGTTTTTGGAATCGTAGTTGACGGAGCATAGTTTGCGGATCTTGGTTTACGAAGCATAGTTGCATAGTTTACGGATCTTGGTTTACGATCCATAGTTTACGAGCCATGGTTTACGAATCATGGCAGTCTTGGTTTACGAATCATGGTTTACGAGCCATGGTTTACGAGTCATGGTTTACGATCCATAGTTTACGAGCCATGGTTTACGAGCCATGGTTTACGATCCATAGTTTACGAGCCATGGTTTACCGAAGCAGAAGTCAACCTATACTGGGATATCTAAGATCACATGGGATATCATTCCCAATCTTCGATGCACAATCTTTGATAATCCCATTCCCCTATTGAATGATATTCATGTTGAGTCATCATATTTCACTGTAGAAGGTCTAAAAAATCTTAGATGGGCTATATAATGCTATATATATATATATTGTATCAATCGCATTAAATCATGTAAATATACATCTACCACTAGATTATGATAAATTATATATATATAATATGTATACTGTATATCCCATGGTAAATCATGACATATCCCATGTCTTTACATATTCCATATCTTCATTTCAGCACGGTTCCGAGGCCGCACCGGCCTCGGCGGCCACGCCGCCGACGACGCCGGCGCCGTCGCCGGCGCTGACGCCGCGGGCGGCGGCTTGGCAATGGAAAGAAAGAGAATTCCTATGGAAATCTACATGAAATCTAAGGGAACAAAAATCATCAAAAATCTACAGGAAATCCTGTTGAACGCCTTTTTTGGACTCTGTTTCAAAGAGTGGTGAGTGATTTCAATCACTTAATTATACTGATTTTTCACTTGATGATGATCACAATTGACGAACTATCTGTGGTTTGGAGGGAACTATTCGGAGCCATATTCTTATTCAAAATGGGGAGCCAAGGAGCTACCAAAAGTTTCGTTTCACAACCACGTTGATAGATGTGTTTCCCTGTGTTTCCCACTATAATATATATATATATATATATATATCCAATATATATATATATATACCATATCATATATAACATTTTTTTTTCCCATGATGTTCCCATTTTCTCCCATGCATCTCCCATTTTTTTGGGGGACTCTGGTTGAGCTTCAGCCAGCCGCGCCGAGGCCCCCATTGAAATCATGGACGTGGATGAAGAGCCGCCCAAACCATCCTCGTGAGGAGGTCTGACAGTGAAAATGGCCAAAATAGTCCTGGATAAATTGGAAAAAATGGGAAAATGAGAGTACCCTCTGGTAAATTAACATAGCTATGGAAAATCACCATTTTTAATGGGAAAATCCACTATTAATGGCCATTTTCAATAGCTACGTTAAATTACCAGAGGGTAAACCATTGGATTTTGAGGTACCTTATTTTCAGACCCCATTTCTATTTGAAGTGTTGAAACTCCTCCAATATTTTTGTGTTTTTTGTGAATGTCTTCCAAAAGAGTTTGAAGATGTTTGAGTCGTGCCTCCAAGTTTTTGGCCAAAATGTGACGGTTGCACCCCAAGTTTTGTCATTCAATTCTCCATCCGGCCTGTGGTTTTGAGCACCAGACTGTCGGCAAGGCAAGGTGCCGCTGGCACTTGAAGATTGAGCAAAGAGATGCAGCTGTAAAATGATGGCAGGGCATGCTAATCGCTGGTGATTGACGGTAGGATCGCTGGTAAGCAAGAAGAGCAGGGTTATTAGGCTTCACGGCTTCACAAGTGAGGAGTAGCAAGGATATAGACCGAAATCATGGTTGCTTATTGAGTGATGCTTATTGTGGTTGTACTTACTGGTGGGGCAACCGTAATCCAATAGGTACCTATCAACCGACCCTGGTCGGTCTGGGGATGAGTTGTTTTGGATCATTGAAGCTGGACAACAGAGGAACGCAACTTCTTTCAAATGGTGGAAACCAATGTTGTGAGGAGCACTTATGCCAGAAACATCCATCATAAACATCCATAAACATTCGTAAACCATGTGTTTAAGTTTCCCAACAGAAAAAAAATCCTGGAGGACTGGAGGAGTCCATTAATCGTGCACCTGTTTGGATCAGACCTTGAGAACTCTGCCCAATAAGCACTGATGGTGCAAGTGAAGCAGGCACTTTTGAACAATGGTTACAGATGGTTACAGCCATCACCCCGAGGAAATGAATTTTTCAGAATAGATGGCGGTTCCAAGGCACAGATTCGGAATGGTTCAATGCTTCAATGTCAACACTTTCCTCAGGGACATTAATTTGTTGTCACTTACTTGAAACACACAGTTGCGGTCACAGGAGAAGATGGACCGATAGATCTTATACCCTCCCAGTCGGCCCATCGGGCACGTTGCAACCCCAAGTGATTTATGAGCCACAGATGCGGTTTCCACTGTTCCATGAAAAATTTGGTCAAATCTGAACACAGATCCGGCAGAAATGCCAGCTCCGATGACGTCTTCTCCAAGTTCTACTCCGGCAAAGCCCACTGCAGCAGCCCCGACACAGCCCACTGCGGCAGCCCCGGCGGAGCAAACTGCGGCTCCGGCGGAGCAAACTGCGGCAGCCCCGGCGGAGCAAACTGCGGCAGCCCCTGCAGAGCAAACTGTGGCAGCCTCGGCAGAGCAAACTGCGGCAGCCCCAGAGCAGCCCACTGCAGCCCCAGAAGCCGCAGCAGCCACTGAGACTGGGGCAGCCCCGGAGGCCGCGGCGGCTGAACGATTGCCCTCAGCGGCTGAGGTGGAGGCGCAAAATCGTGACTTGGCCGCAGCTCTATGTGGGTCTTTGATGGGGGCAACAAAACAAGGGCCTTGAAATTCCTGGACGTCTGTTCAAAAGAATTGGTTCTTTGATGGGCAAACCAGAGAGATGTGCAGTTATGCGAAATGCTGGTACTCTGGTGAGGATTTGCCAGCTTTGCAGTCTGATTCAAAGTGGTTGAACTGATCTGGTTGCTTTCCATGTTGGATTGACAAGGGCTCGTTCTTAGCCTTTGGCTCTAAATTCCCAGATTTCGTCCCAATGGGATTCAAGTCGCATCCTGGGCATCACATTTGATTCGCAACATTGATGAAACTGAGTCTCTGCCTACTTCGAGACAGCTTCCCCGGTTCCCCTTCTCGCTTCATGAGAAGAAAAAGCTCTACAAGGTGAACCCCCCATTCTTGGATATCTATGGATTATGGGTTTAAGTTCACCCATGACATACAGTTATTTCATAGCCATAAACTCCACTTCATAGTCAGGTTGGGCCGAGCTGGAGAATGCCTTTGCTATCCTTCAAGCCGAGCGCGACGCTTTGAAGCAGGAGGCGCAGCACCAGTTGACCCGCTGGTTGTGAACTGGGGATGGGGCCCCACAAACAAAAAGGCCCAACAAAAATGCGCAAACCCTACTGCAGAACGATAGATATTATGTAATTTATGTACAGTACGCATTGCTTTTCAGTCAGACCTGCCTCGAAGGTGTAGACTACCCAATGACATGCCAACAAGTCCAATTTGTTTGCAGTGATTTAGCCTCAGAGTACCGCAAAATTTCATTGTTCTTATCCCATATGCTCCATATATGGTATATTTACCTACATTTGGGTGATTTTTAGGGCAAATGTAGGTAAATATACCATACATGGAGCATATGGATTATTCTTACACTAAACATGGGCCATTTTTCTTTGACACTCTTTTCCTGCGTATGCAAGCTCTACGAACACTCATCACCTTGTTTCAGCGTGAATCCGCCATCTCGACATATCTCGACTACTTGTTGGTTTCCCATCATGTTTCCATCCTGTTTCATCCCTTCATATTTGATCCCTTCAAATTATATATATATATTATATATAGATATCCCCTTTGGCGAAACCCTGGTTTAGTAATGCTTAGTGTATATATACTACCAGATTTGTGCGTGTCTTTGGGGTCCATTCGAGACGGCGAGAGGTGAAGAACCTTCGTCAGCAATGTGTCGATGAGAACATGAAGGACGCAGATCGCCCTCAGCCCTAGGGGTGAAGTGGAGTTTAACGGCTACCACGTGTTGTTGTTTTTTTCCGGAAATCTGACCTGGCAATAGAAGCTCCTGTCATTTACATGCGTAAACGATGTTGTTTTAATAGGAAAGAAAGTGTTACAGAAGAAGAGACATCATTTCCATCTAAATCTGATAGTCTGGCTGGTGGTTCAACCCCTTCGAGATGCTACTCCCCAACCACAAAAAATTGGGCGGGGGGTTCTTGAAATGTTCATCACCAAAACCCATGGGTTTCAATAGTAAGGTCAGGTCATCCATGACTTGGATGACTGGGGATACCACCATTTTCCTTTGGAAAACCTTGTGGTTGGTCATCTGACTCTGCGCATCAAATTAATCCAAGTGTTGACCCAGACGGAAGCTATCTTTTTCTGTCATGATACGTTATGAGAATTACTGTATATACATGTCATGTGTATACTTTATTTCATTATATTTGAATATATGTGGTGGATGATATGCATAAAAACGAGTGTAACGATACCGTAGAATATACGTATGTTTGCTACACTTCATTGATATATATATATATAGTTACAATATCACTTACATATCAGGGAACATCATGCCAACTCCATGTGACTCAGCTGTGCAGCCGAGATCGAGGGCTTGCAGGGTGCCACAGCATATTCCCCAACTGCCTGATGTTTTTATGTTTCAGCTTGACAGCTTGAAGAAATATGAAGAAATGAGACTTTCACTTAGTTGGCATATAGAAAATCACCGTGAGATCAAGATCTTTTTTGGAAGAACTGGCCGTGTTGGACCGCTCCAAAGTTGTGCGGGCCCCATGTCGTCGCAGAAGGCCGGCCAGGGCCCAAATCCCATGATCACTGGACCCACTAAATAGTGCAGTATAGTGTAGCGAACGGTTGAATCAACCGCATCTTGTCGCTTTTCATGTTTGTTGCTTTATCCTCATGAAAGTTCCCAAGCCAACCAGCACACCTTGCCATATTTCTGCCTGAAGGTGAAATTTAAAAATGCTTGGAAAGGATTCGCCTTTGAATCCCGGCCACAGTTGGGAATTCGCATTGTGGGAATGCCCAAGAATGGCTCATGTTGATGTGACCTGCTGGAATGTTTGGGGATTTGCACCGAAAGTGAGGGCTTCAAGATGAACGGCTTGGAGCAATTGGATGATCTTGGATGGATGGGTACTATATCTGGGCTGTAAGTTTGATGATTCCGGTGTCTGCGCATGATTTTTGTTGTTTCTACATCCTTCATATCATCCATTTGTTTAGAAAACAACGCAGACAACAAAGGTTTTTTCAGCCACTGAGGACAGAATCATCGACGACCAACTGGAAGTTTTTTCCCCTGCTGAAGTTGAGGGTCTTGTGGTAATCTCTGGATGTGTGACCACTACACAGCCCATGCAAAACAAGGCGCGGGATGCCCAGGGAATCCCAGGGATTCCAAAGGTGAGCCATGACTAGCCAAGTGGCTGCTAAAATGCTGGCTGCTAAAATGCTGGTGGATGGGACTTCAACTGCCCAGATGTGAGGATTCTCATCAAATTTCTACTCACCAACCAGAAGAATTTGAATGACAGAGGGTGTTAAGCACTTTGCACTTTTTTTTGGGTGTGTTTCCAGAATAGCTGATGAAAAAAAACGCACAATGATCGTTTTGTTTTCACAATTGCCACTGTTGATCCTTTGAACTCCCATTTCCAGGAAAACTACGACCTTCGCTTGACCAACGAAAACGGCGTTTTAGAATTGAAGTATCGGCCCAGCCAGCAGCGGCGCTGGTTCCTGACGCCCATTACGGTGTCCCGCTATGAAGGGATACGCCAATGTGGCGCCAGTGTCACTTGGCGGGGGGAAGGCAGGTCCAATGCTTGGAAAGGGCCTGTTGTTGGGGGTGCAGTTCCAGCTGGAAGTGGTTTAATCATAGTTACGGCAGTTGTGGGGGCTATCTCCCAACTTATGGGGATATACCATAGACTTATACCCATCAATAAAAATACAACTGCACCCCCAAAGCAGTAAAGACATGTAAAGATCAGAGAACGGGTGTGGAGATGCAGCTCGAAACGATAAGGCCTGGGTCAACGAGCAGGGCCATGTCTACATGCACTTCAGCAGGCGCAGCGAAATGCGCTCGGGGATTTGGCGAACGACCATGGCTCACACGAATTCGTCTTGGATTGATTACAAGAAGATGCACAGAAACAGTTTAGGCCTATTGGAATATATATATATATTATAAATGTGTATAATGTATAATATATATATTGATATAATAATAGATTATGATAATTTATTAAAATAACAATATAACAATATAATCATAATATATTAATACAGGAATATAAAAAATGATGATATATGGTATGTACAAATATGATATATGATTTATATATAGTAAAATATATATAATATGTAATATATATTATATAATATATAATGTATCATATATAATATATAATGTATCAATATGTATCATATATACACTATATATTTATATGTAGTTTTGTCATATATTATATATTATAATATTTTATATATTTTATATTATTTACCATCTATAATATATATATATACTATATTATGTTTCAAATTATGCCGCATCATATTTAATATAATATATATATAGTAAATATTATAGAACATAAAGCATATTTTATATTACATATTATTTATTATGTAGTATATAATATAGAACATATCATATTTGATATATATATATATAATATAGGTCATAATATATAATGTAATATAATGTATAATATAATATATTATATAATGTGTTTTATAATTCATAACATTCAATATGTAATATATATATATAATATGATGTAATATACAATATTCAATATGTTATATATATAATATATGATGTAATATTTAATATAATATATGAACATACATTCATAACTATATTTATACATATTTACATATAATTATTCATAATTATGTATATAATAATGGATTATATGATACATATCATGATGCTGAATCAGGAGTATGAAGTACCAAACATCTCCCAAGGGAGGTTCCATTTTGCAGCCAACTTGGCGAGGGTTTGTGATGCTCCCTCTGGTTTGATGAGTTTTAAGTCTCGGTACAGCATCCAACAGCTGAATATCTGGCGATTCTTCACATCAATACCCAGTATGGTTCCTGGAAATTCTCTAGACCCCAGTGGACACCCATGTAGAACCATGTAGCACCTAGTTTGGCATCTTTTGCTGGAATACATTTAGATCATTTAGCAAGCGGGACACCAGTCTTGACAGGTCAAGGAAAGTAATGTGTGTCAGATTGTGTCAGCCAATTTCAGAATTCAAGTCTCAAGTACTTGGCCAGAATATGAATTGTTTGCACTTGCTTTGCCGCAAAGTCAATTCCAGTGTTCTGCCATGTTCTGCCATTGTTCTGCCCTGTTCGTTTGTTGAGTCGCGACGCTGTCCGCGACTCGGACAGGAACGCCATTCCAATGGTGGTGCACTTCTCTGGATTTGCCTTCAGTAACATGAGCCACGACGATGGCATCGAACTGACTCTGGTCGGCATCGGGATGGATGGTTAGATACCCCCCCGGTTTTTTTGGGCCTAGGGGTTCATAAAGCCATGATGAAACCCATAAGTTCACAGTGAATCCCAGTATTTACAATTTGTATTGATTCGTAAGTTATGACATTAATACGAAACCCATTCATTATGTAGCCATGACCAGACCCCATACAGCATGGCACATTCGTTTTAGACCCATATATATATAATATATATATATATATAGACCAACTCTTATTTCTCCCATGATCAGACTCATCAGACCCATTTTTTTTTTTCGTTGGTTCAATCACCCATATCACTTGGCCATGGCACATGTTTCCAGTGGATACATCTCCGATGAATTCCGATGATATCACGGGTATATCCCATGATGGTTGGTTTTATCCCATCGATTCTCCCTCTATCACCGTTGTATCCCATAGAACCGCCGTTTCCAATTTCACCACGTCCAAAATCACTGAGGAAAGAAGCTGACCCGAAGAAAGTGAAATTCGATGAGGCTGGGGTTCTACAAGATGCTCCCAGTTCTGAGTTATGTGGCTTTATCACTGCAATATATAGCAACCTCCCAAAAGATATAGGAAAAATGATGAAAAATGGAGCTATGATCAACTTTTCTATCCTTTGGGGGTTCGATCTGGATATATTTGCCACACAGCCTAGGGCCACGACGGTCACCTCGTATAACTTATCCACTTATGACTGGAACTCTAGGGACCTTTGGAAGGGGAAGGGGTACATCTGTGTGCGACTCTTCTCGAGTAAGATGGCAAAACTCACCTCAGAATCAAGTGCGACCCTGTTTTGTGACGTGAGATGGCCATACTTCAGGGCTTTTCCATGTCCCCTGGATTTCGCAGAGAAACGAGCCCCCGGCAGGAGGATCCGCCCAGGGCGTACCCATTGGGTGATCTGGTGCTGTTGCAGGGCTGCTTCCAAGAAGCCAAACATGGCAGCAGTGATGCTTGGCTCATCGAGCGGCTCGGTTTCTGGAGATATTTTGATGAGAGTTGATCTCCAATTTTTCGGGGAGTTAACGTGACTCATGAGATTCCATAGGTTTACTCATGTTAATGGCAGTTGACCTCCTATTAATGTTGTTTTTGGGAGTTAACATCATAGTCAATGGTCGATTAAATGGGTATTTAATGGGGAGACCATGGGATATATGACGAACATGAACTAAGACTATGTAGATGGGTTTGTCTGAAAATGAGGTATATCATCCCCAAGTGGCAATTTTGATAGGGAGAGTGTTGATTGATCATCAATGGATTCAGGGGTACCCAACATGTTCAAACACACACGAGTTCACCAACAATCATACTATCAATGTATGATGATGTTTAGTATTATGTCTATGTGAATGCAGAACATGATGAATACATGATGAATACATGATGAATCATGATTATACTATATTAAACTCAGGAAATATGCAGACAAATCCATGTTGGCAAGAATCGTGGGTGTTATGAAGGATGTTTTTGACTGCCTTGGGGTATGTGTTATGCTTTGGAAGGGGAATTGGAGCTGCTGATTTGGCGATGGCAAGCATCATGGTGATGATTTGATGCGACGTTGCCAATCAGAATATGGTTGGGTGATACGAGTTGTACTGGATGAAACTGATGAAACTTTATCTGTTCCGGGTATGACCAATATGTGTAGTCCTTGATGTGAAATCCTTCAAGCCAACTTCGATCTATAGTTCGATCTAGTCCAAACATCCTAACTATAGTGTTCCAACCTATTGGATGTCTCCACAATCTTACTATGTGGTATCTAGTTGGTACTTGCGAAGTGATAGGTCAATTTATAATATACTATATAATATAAACCGTTCTAATTCTACCATTTGAAGGTTGTCACAACCCTTCAAAACCAGGGTTTTTACTGGGTTTTGCCAACTATTGGCTGTACCACATTAAAACTTTTACGGTATACGTGTTTGAGCAATCCAATGGTTCAGGGCAAATTCTTTGGAGGACCAGCAGACAGATCTCATTGTACACTCGTGAAATGGTTTACATGGGTTGGGGTAAGCATTGCTGTTCGTGTAATCTCCATTTCAGCATCGCATCTCCAAAAAGTCCAATCAACCGTGTTTGTCCATCTACAGAAAATCACACAATCATCCTCCATAAATCAACAAACATCATCAAATCATGACATCAAATGTATCAAGTCTTAGGAATTTCCCATGGATTTTCTCTATAAATCCCAGGATATCCCAGGATCCCCGTTCCAAGGAGAAGGTGGCGCTGCTGCCTGAGGGTCTCCGTCCTATCCGCGAGGTGCGGTGCCTGGCCCCGCTGCTGGTTAGCCCGGATCCGCAGGCCAAGGATCTGCCGCCTTCGGACTTTGCAGCTGGGATGAGCCGGACATTGTCCGGAAAAAATGGGAAGTCCACTTGATTCACCCGCCCAAAAGTAGGGATTTCACCATCCAAAACTAGGGATTTAGCGAAAGATATATAGATTTCACCAGGCAAAACTATAGAGATTGCACCAGCCAAAGATATATAGACATTTAACATAATTTTAACAGCCAAACATGGAGATTCAACAAAATTGAACCAGCCAAACAACGGGATTATATAACCATGAAAAATCAAGAGATTTAAACCATGAATATGATCGGACAAAGGAGTCATGGTGGTTTAATGGGGATATTTCAGGGCTATATGTGATGGGATTAGTATAACCATGTAAAACCAACAGATATGATATTTGGGTTCGTCCGAACATGGTGGATTGGCCGTCAACCTATGACCGTTTTCATGCGGAAAATGATGCTGAAATATGATGAGCCACGGGTTTTTTTGGGGGAGTTTGGAGCCGATTTTCAGATCCAGATCGGAGGGAGCCATGGCATCAGGGTTTCCCATCCCGTCGGCGGCTTGGTGGGTGGTTGGGTAGTTCTTGACTTTAGACCCACACCCACCTACAAACATAGCCTTATAATTCATGGTACTCTGGCAATTGAACATCGCCATGAACATTACCATTTGTAGATGTTTTGCCAATGATTTCCATGCCCATATTTTCTCCATGTTCCATGGCCATGTTTTTTTGTTCCAGGCGTTGGGGTTGTACCACCGGTACAGTCCCAAAGCGCAGATGTTCCATCCCCATCAACCAGAAGAGTAGCCTTGCAACTATAAAACGCGCACGCAGATTCCACGGAAAAACACAGGGTGTGCATCAAGAGGTCCCAAAAACCGGGGGTTGAGGAAATAAGAGACATATAGAGACATCATCACGCACAATCATCAGATTGTACCACAAATATCAGGGTTTTAGAGCCTTTGAGACTTGAGCCGTTAAAAAGGGGCGCGGTGTTGTACCCCAGATCCTGGCGGGCCATTTTTCGGAGGAAGATTGCAGCTGCCTCTGAGGTAGGGGTGGAGTCCATTGCCGTTACGGTACAACCAGACGGTGGCATCTATGTGCAAGGTGGGGGTGACCATTGCTCTAAGTGGCATTCCATCCATTTCCATCCGGTTGCTATTCCCCGATTGAGAAAGGTTGTGAAGCGGAGGTGAAACATGGTCAACCCAATTACATATAGATAAAGGTGTGTATATATATATAATATTATATACATATGAGAGAGAGCATTGTACATTATTATAGATCAGCAGAAATCCAGAGGGGATCTCCGATGATCGATTTCCAATGACTGATAGGCGGCTTTGTGTACAACAACGACAAGAAGGGTCACATGCGAAAACTGCCGCAGAAGAAGAGACTTGGGCATGGTAACTGCATGGGGTTGGAGCCACTACCTTGGGTCTGACCATCATTTTTGGTGAGAAACGGCATGGAAAGCTGCATCGATGAGAGAGACACGTAGACGTAGAACTTGAAATTTAGAACTTGAAATTTAGAACTTGAAATTCACGACTGTCGATTTTGGGAGACCCTTACAGCCCCGTCAACACTTGAAAATAGTTGTAATTATATATATATGACATATATGATATAATTATACATATATGAAAAGCTTCCCTAGTCTGCCTTGATGTTGTTTGAACTGGGAATAAGTGTTATACCCCGTGTAACTGCTTACCAATCATGCATGCATTTATGGGAGAAGCATCACTTATAGTGAGAATACATTTCCCTGAGAATCAGACATAAATAGTACGCATTATGCACTTCTTGTTATATATGTGCATATAATCATATATATATATATACATATATATATTGGAGTGTACAAAACAATATAAAACACATATATTATATGAGATCCGCTCTAAAATGCCTACGATTATACTTGCAATATATGTATATATATATATAATTATCATATAATATATATATATATATTTATATTTATATCTAATATCCACATCACTGACCTCACAAGCCGTTCCCAGGAAGGGCAAGGTGTGCCTGGACGGCGTCCGCTTTCTTTCCACCGAGCACACGACGCCTGTGGAGGTCTGCAAGGCCGTGCAGCCCAAGGAGCTCCGCAACGGCGCCAAGGAGGCTGCGGTCAGCAGCTTGCTGCAGAGAGTCTCCGGAGGTCAAGCAAAGCGCAGTGCCGCGGCGGTGAAAAAATGTGAAACATGGTGAAAAATGGCTGAAAAATGGGTTTTGACCATGGCAGAAACAGTAGTTAAACATGAACATATTATGGATTTAACCGTGGATTTACCTATCAAACATGGTTTATGAATTGTAGTAGTACAGCCCGAAGTTGTTTAACAGTTTAAGCAGCAAACAATGATGTTGCTCCATGTTCTGAGTTGAGGTAAATCCCAGTTTTGACCCATATGTAAATGCGTTTGATGGCCATTGACCAACCATTGAGGGATCCAAAGATACCTTTGGTGATCCAACCTGGGGACAATCCTCATATCCGTGCGCAGATGATTTCAAATTGCATGCTTGGTAGCGTTTGGTATCCGAAAAAGGCACCGGTTTCACTGGGAAAATCTCAGAATTGTATGGGGACTATGGGGCGGAGGTTGGCAGATGACTGGAGAATGATTGTCCCACCCAAAATGGTTGGCCAAAAAACAGAAGTGATCTTTTGGGATAGCATCAAGTTGATGCAATCTATGTCCGGCTCGGGTTTTCACATCATTCCTTCCGGAAACGTGGCAAGAATACCGATGGAACGGGGCAATATATTTTCTTTGCTGAGTTCGGGCTTGGTTAATGGCATATCTTGATTTATTGATTTAGGATACTGTGGGTAAATCAATGCCATTTTTACCAACAATTTTCCTGAGAATGGTTGAAATCCCACCTATAAAAATGGCGGCATTTTAGGTGCTGTGTGCAAGAAGCTGCCTGGCAACGTGGTGGTCCTGGAAGGTGGTACCGGAGGGTTCCGATTTTTTTTTTCAGAACGGAACTGGACATAGCTACAATGTGAGCCCCCCCAGTTATAAGTTGGTTTATAAACCCCATTAACTATAGTTATAAGTATCATAGACCATAGTTGTTGGAGTTATAAACCAACTTAGCTATCTAGGGGGCGCCACATTGTATGATAAGTGAGGGTAGATAAATCCGAATGTCAATGTTTGGTTGATTTAACATGATTTCCCCAAAAATACACGAACGTATAACATAGATATACATAGATATGGAACTCCAGTGGTTTCTCTGTAGAAAAATGAGCTTATTACTGGAGGGTGAGGGTAAGATGATGGAGCCAAAAGAATTGGAAGCAATGGAAAATTACGGTTGTCAATAGGTAAACCATCTAAGAATTGCTGATTGTCCATGACCAGATTTGATGACAAGATGATATTGATAGATGTGTTCCCAATTTTCAAAATCCATATCTAACCATGAGTCAGAACCCTGGCGCCCTAGGTACCCAAAGTCATAGTTGGTTAATGGATGTTTATTTCCCCAAAGATGGTAGCATTTCATAGGTAACTTGTCCCATCCCCATGTTTTAGGCCATGGATCAAGGCATTACACAATTACAGACGCACTGACCTTGGGCTGATCGGTTGATTCATTCCCTAACCAAACAGTTTGGCAGTGAGATGCATATGTGCATGTCTCACATATATATATATATACTATACACAAAATGTATGTACATATAAGTATATACACATACACTTTAATACTACTACAGATTATATATTATTTATACAATTTATATTTACACAGAGATGTAAAGGGTGGAACTTGACCGTTGCTTCCACAGTGCCCTGGTCCACGCTGCGCGCAGGTGCAGTGGACTGCGTGCGCCTGCGGAATCCCAAGTTGGCCGTGGCCCGGCTCCCCGAGAACTGCCGTCCGCCGCAGCGCATGTGTTTCTTCACGCGCGACCGTTCTGAGGATGACCTGCGAAAAATGGGATACGTCGCAAAATGGGGATGTGAAACCAACAGTTTTTTGGGTATATGATTCCCCTGTTTTTCTGTTGTGCACTCCCGTCCGCTCCTCCTCCTCCTCCTTCTCCTCCTCCTCCTCCTTGCGTTCTCTCTTAACTCTCTCATACACAACTGTCTCACACCCAACTCTCTCACACACAACTCTTTAACACACAAAATTGGAACACACTTAGAAACACCCCGAAGGGAGACGATGAAGTGAGATGAAATGAAAATTCATGTTTCCTCATGCTGGGTTTTTGGCTTTGCCCAGTTGCCATACTGAGATTACTGCAGGTACACACGGTTGATCAGACCGTGCATCCCACTCCAAGGCATAGCTTCATTGCATTGGGTTTGCCAAGGAGTGCCCAATGCCCCTGCTCGTTGGTATACTAATTCAAAACGAACGATCGAAACCCATGTGCTGCACGCCTGAAGATGCACAGATGTGTCGGATTGGAACTTATATGCAACATGGACTTCTTCGCGCTAGTTACCTTGAACATGTGGTCCCAACCGAACTAATCACCAGAACATTCTCTTTGATTCAGGGTTCAGCACATACACTCACTCACAAGACACGCAAATCCACGGATTGAGGAAGAAACATGCTGGTGGCGCGTGATAGGACAATCATCAAACTTACCAGGTCACCAAGGCAATGCTGGGCACTGACCTTTCGGATCTTATACTAACATACATGCAAAGACTGCTGCGAACTGGGTTGAACATGCTCAGCTGTTATGATGTTTTTCGATAGACTTGCAAGTTCGTAAATCTACGGTCGAACCACTCTCCGCGATTTCGCAAGATGCCTCACGGTGCAGTGGGTTTCTTCGTGCCAGCTATCTAGAACATGTAGTCCGAACTGAACTAATCAACATAACATTCCCTTTGATTCAGGGGTCGGCACACACAACAAGCCCAGTATGGGCACATGCTTTTCCACCCCTCTTAGGCACGCCTGTTGCTCAGACTAAGTAAATTGAAATGTCACCCCTCATGCCAATTCAGGTGAGCACCTTGTTTGCTTAATTGTAATACAAAACAATAGGTTGTTTGTGTTGGAACAGCGAAGCATTAAAGACCATCAATCATAGAAATATTCATGTGGAAAACTTACCGCCGGATGCTCAACATTCTGGCTGCCATAGCGCGTAATGGCTTGTACGGATAACCAAGTGAAACATACGATTGAATTAAAAACTCAACATCATGCTGTGCTTGCTTGTATGGGTGGCTGTGTCTTGCTGCTAGGCAGATGCGGCTGTATGCGGCAGAGAGCTTGTGTTGTGTGGAAGCTGCAGAGCCAAAAGATTGAAACTGCGAAGCATTGTTTGGTTGAATGTAAGACAATGTATGTTTTTGTAAGTCAATAGTGCAGCCCAAAAAGGAATTGTCTGGTTCATCCTCAAGGATGACCGGTTCTTGGTAAAAGGTGTCTTGTAAGAATGGTTGGATGATTGCGTGGTGCTGTTGGGATTGGTCAATGAGTACAAGCCTGTTGTCAACGTATCGTGTGATCAGTATTCTGTTTGAGTGTGTGTGAAGATATTGTTGTACCTGTGGTCGGTTTAGCCAATCTTGCTCGGTCAGACTGACCGTGATGTTTGCCAGGACTGGGCTGATTTGGTTGCCAATTGCGCTGCCGCGAATTTGCTGAAATGTTTGCTGGAGCTGTGAAAAAATTGATGCCTGGAGAGACAAACTGCATATGTTGTAAATGTCTCCAAACCTGATCTGTCGTTTTGTCATTGCAGCTCGACGAGGCCGTCCTCGAAAAAGTCGTAGTGTGGTGTCTGGCTGTTGCATGTCCACTGTGAAAACAGTGTCGTTATTTACATGTGGGTGTTGTTGTTGATATTGCTTCAACAGCTTGGCAAGTGCGTGAAGGATGCGGTCTGCTGGTATGGATGTAAAAAACCCTGCCAAATCTTGGTTGTAAATGGCAAGGTCCAGGTCTGCTGGTGCATTGTGAAAGAAAGTGTGGAGTGTATAGAAAATTTGCTGGAGTGATTGTAGTCCAAACGTCTTGGACATGCAGGCTTGAAGCATCTGCTGTAGAACGATGGCTGTGGCTTTGAGAAGCTTCTCAAAAACAAAACCACGATAGTTGATGATGGGCCTGGCGGCAAGGAATTGTTTTTTCTGCTTCAATAGTATGTAGGCTGTTGGGCAGTCGCTGTTGGTGTTGTATGCCCATTTGTATTTGTGAAGCCAGGGTTGATGTGTAAGCTGTTGTAGGTATTGTGTTGCTTGTGGTGGTGTCAAAGTGAGGTGGGTGTATACCGATGAATCTCCAAATGTTTTCTTGAGGACTGTCCAGTAGAGAAAAGGACAATACACAAAAATGGCTGTAGCAGCATGGTCGCGACAGTGAACCACAAACTGTTGCATAATCTTTCTGAGGTATTGAATGTCGCTGTGCCCAATCCATTGTTTGGATTGCTGCAAGTGCTGTGGCCACTGTTGTTCAATGTAACTCTGCCAGTCTGCATACGTGATTGTGTTAATGTTGTAATGTTGCAGCCAGCGTTGTAGTTTGGGCCAAGTTTGTTGACAGTAGTGGTGTTTTGTAGGGTACACTTGTGTGCCAGCATGCGTGGCTAAGAAATTTGCGAGTCGTGCTGGGACATTCAGGTTTGCAGCAGGACTGGCAATATGTGGTTGATCACATATTGTAGTGCTGGTAAGCCGTGGGTGTTTTGCAAAAAGTTGTTGGCAAGAACATGGTGGAGGTTCGTTCCAGGTGAATTTCTTCATCCAGGAAAAGTGGCTGAAAAGGGCTTGTTGCATGGTGGTATGCTTTCCTGCCGTAATGTTGCATTTTGGAATGTGAAAAGGTGGTAGCCATTGTTTGTGTTGAATGGCTATCTGCCGAAGCCAGTGGCGTGTTTGGTGACTGAATGTTTTGTGGCTCAGTAGAGGCAGTATCAGTGGTCTAGGACTTGGCGGTAGTGGTAGTTGTCGAAATTGAATAGCTGATTTGATCAAACTGCGAACTCTTGTTCTTGGTGGATCTTCCATGTTGTTCGAAAGTTTGTAGAGTGCAAATAGGTGATCTGAGTGTGTGTTGTTGGAACGGATAAACTTTTGCATGTCAAACGACCGTTGGCTTTGTTCCGCGAGTACGTGTAGTTGAAGCCAGGCAGTGGTGTGTTTGGACAGGTTGTGGTTGTAAAAGTGGAATACTTGCTTGTACATCATGCGGCGGCGGAGTCGCGCATACAGTCGCTGGCCATGTCCTAGGAATGTGTTGGCGATTGCTTGTCGCAAGTGTGGTGTTGAATGTTGTTTAGTGACCTTGCGCTGCATTATGAGTGGATAGTTGAGTGGTGGGCACCAAAGCTGGATCATGTAACTTTCCAGTGTTCGTGTTTGCAGTTGTGACGAGGTTGTTAATAACGGGAGTGGTACAAACTGATAGTAGTTGCCTTGGCTACAGAACCAATGCAATGCAAGCTCACACGATACTGGTTGACCGTTTTGTAATTGTTTCAGCTTGCGGTGTCGGGTGTTCTGTCGATCATGTAATGTGTGTATGGTGCTGCCGATGTAATGTTCTGTAGACGACAAGTGTATGTTGAGTTTTGCTGTGCCGTAAACATGCAGCAAAATATATACAACATTGGATTGGTGAAACAACTGGCGCATATCCTCAAAAGTGCGGACATCTTTCAAATGTGTCCGACTGAATCTTCGGTTCCATTTTCGACACGAATTTTGATTAGGATGATTTGTAATCCAATACAAAACACAGAAAGAAACAGCAACACGGAGAACCAACCGAACAGATACAGAACAACAGTTTTGATCAAGCGGAAAATGTTCGAGACAACCGAAGAAGACGATACATGCGGCAGCAAACTGTACATGTTTCGGGTCATCTCGATCTAGTCACTCAAGCTGTGTCACCCCAAAAAGCAGCAACTTGTAGAGCTCATCCGCGCGGGCTTTCGATGCCACTGATACTGGCAGGCCGAGTGAGGCGGCCTTGTCTGCAAAGGTGCTTTGCTCGGGCTTTGGGATCTTCTTGAGAAGTCCGGTGAGTGTTGCAAGAGCTTCTTGCAATGCTGCTTGGTGTTGTTTGGGAATGCTCTGCTTTTTGATCCAGGCATCAACGGTTTTGGCCGTGCTGTTGTTGGGCGATGCTGAGGCAAATGGCCTGACAGTATTGGTGCCAGGGAGTTGCGTGATTTTGGCTTGAAGGTCTCCAATAGTAGTGCTGGTTGGTACATCATGTGCGCCCGCTGCCGGTACGGCAGTGGGTGAGGTTGTGTGTTTGCGTGTTCTTTGTGTGTCTTTGGTGTCATGGTTGCCCGGCCGTTTGGTGATCCCCATGTCCGTCAAAGTGCGCGATCTTTTGGCCGTTTGTGTGTTGGATGTGTCGGGCTTTCGTTTGCGTGCGGGTGTTGGTGACGGTGGTGCTTCATCAGGTGTGGTTGGCGGGTGAGGTTGTGGGGATGCGGCTTGCTCTTCGTCAGTGGGTACCTGGGAAATGGTCTGGGTTGCTGCTAGCTGTGCTTCCAGCTGTCGAATTTTGTCTTGGGCTTCTTGTAAGCTTGTATTGGAGAATTGCCGGAAATGATCCACTGTGGAATTCACAAGGTGGTGAATTTTGGCTTTTTTGAGTTGATTGGGATCTGGATCGGTGATCGCAATACCTTGCTGCTGGCAATATGCTGCTGCAATGTCATCTAAATCCATATGCTCATCTCGAAGTTTCATGGACAAATGGTGGAAGAAAATGGACTCTTTGATGCTGCGGGCAAACACAAGTGATGTGAATTTGCCATTGGCTAAGGCTCGAAGGCTCCAGTTGGACCAACCAAGGTAAGCCAATTCATACAGTCGTACGGAGTCAATGGGTCTTCCTGCTAGATGATACTTCTGACTCCAGGCTGTTGAGGTGACTTGGCGAGGAAAGGAAAGGCCATACTGTTGCTTGGTGTCAAAGTGGTT